AGACAACATTCTCTTAACATTAACTTAAAATATTTGACTTACCTAAAATACAAAAGATGTCCTTTTTCCTCATTTATTTTCAAACTATTTTTTAAACTATTTCAAACCAGAGTCATACAATCTATGGCTCTTCAGAGGAAAGGACTTTAGAACAACAACTTCCATAACAATAATAGACCAATCAATTTTACTGTACATCATGTGACCCTTAATTCCCTTAGGTATTTTAACAATCAATTTTAATTTCGTGTAACAAAATTTGGAATCATCCAATGAAACAATGTTTACTTGTTAATAAAAGTATTAACTGAAACCTGTAAGTTCAAGACAAATCAGCTTATGGTTACTGATAGTGTTAAAATTTCTTTTGTAACATTTACTATCAAAAGGTCTGAAATAGGATTAATTATCTTGTTAAAGCGATTATCATAGATTGGTTAACTTAGATCTTCCTATCTGTATTTGTTCTTATGCCTTCTGTTATAACATATTACCGACATTAAAGTGTACCTTAAGAAATAAAAGCAAAATAAAAATTAAATAAAAATGAATAATAAAAAATAAAATCAAAAATTTTAATGCATAATACAACCCTCGTATGCCTCCTACTTAAGCAAATGGTATTTTACTTAGAAACTCTCAATTAATTAAGCATATAGAACTATTACGATCTCCAAAATGTATTAAACTAAATAGGAAGCGTTACCCCTTTCCTGTCTTTAAGTCGCTCGTTGAGGTATAGACACTGTTGAAACCATCTTTCATGCTCTGCCCAGGGCCCGTCGCCGTTATTCCCAGTTGCGGAGCCCGCCTCCGCAGGAAAAACACCGGACGCAGTCACCGAAACCTGCAAAAATATACAATATGACCGTATTATGAGAACAAAACCAGCGCACTTAGACATTTTCAGAAACTTGATGCGTCAAGTATCCAACCCATTGTTATTCGTTGCATTGAATAAGTTCCTCATTGTATACATGCTAGGATCCAGCTAATATATAATTTCCGATCAAGTAATGAGACATATGTTTAAGCCATGAATGTACATTTATTGTGAGTTGTTACAAAACTTGCTCGTACCTGCATAAAAATAACCCGCGTCTGCAAGTACAGACGGCTCTAGAATCTCGGGACAAGGCCAGACAGAAAACGTGTCCAGTCTGTGTTGGTAGTTAGCATAATCCGGATGCTTATGTTGTCGTCTGCTGGAAAAACTGTGCATTTTTGTCAGGCAACACTTCACTCTGTTTCTGTAAGCGTGTCCCATTTTGATGGTCTTTCTCCGGTTCCGTACTTCCACCGCTCGCGTTGCCCGTCTGCTCTTCGGTGTGAATACCAACATTTGACTTATCGACCCGGTAAGGAAGGCGCAATTTGGCGAGATTCGAGAATGAATATTGGACGCTATGTCACCTTCTTTAAAACCGTGATATACTTGTTTGCATGAAAAACATCGGACAGTGTCATCTTCGCCGTGTCCACAGTAGTAAAATCCATTTGCTGCCAGGCGTATAGGTCTTGCAGGTGAACTCTGCGGAAATGTACAAAAGGTTCGATACCTTGCCCATTCAAACTTCATCAAGTCTTCAGTATTCCATTCTTTTCGCATTCTGTAAAATATCTTTCTAATGATAACGGAAGAACCATAAATGTTTGTTTTTTACTTCGCCTCAGTTGGTACAATGTTGCGTAGCGGTCTTTGCACTTCATCTCCAGAGCAGTTCCATATTTGGAAATATTGTAGTCATTTAGAATATCCTCAACATACTTGTCTGAAACACAAAGCATTTTAAATCGGTCGAATGTAATCCTGATATTTTAACATTTTTGTGCATACAGCATCTTGAATTTATAGTGCCCGCCAACATCAAAACGATGATCAAACTATACAGTAAAAGATTCCTGTTGATAAATACACGATGCATACCGCCTGGTTCCATATTTGCACGTTTTAAACAGTCGGGTGTTGAAAATGAGGCAATAATAAACGAAAATATAAGCAGAGCTAGAAATAAACGTCCACCGATCATTTTTGTTTTTCTAAAACGAAAGTGAAAGTAGGAGAGTTTGAAAACTAATAATAAAACTGTGATCCCAAAAACAAACCGGTAGTATTAATGATGATAATACATGTATGTATAGTGTAGCATTCCTACTCATTATCTAAGTTGTAAAAAATTCTTCTAAACAAAAAATAAACATATCAAGCTTGTATCTTTGATACATTTTGTATGATAGAGTACTCGGATAAACTATTTTTAACTAAATAAATCGTCAGGGTTGCATGATCATAGGCATAATGTATATATTTTTCCGGTTGGTTTTACCAGAAAAAAAGCATTATAATCCGGCATTTAACAACTTCCAGAATAATTCACAGATTGATAGATTGTGGGCAAAATGTGAAGTTTATAACCTGATGAAGAGCTTCAATTATTTGTTCAAGAACGGAAGATTCATAATAAGATATATAATTTATCTCGCTGTAGATAGATCTACTTATTTACATGAACTTCTTTTCAACCCAGTTTATCGGAATTAAATGGATACAAAAATAAACGATCGGTCATTTTCTTTACCCTATATACGTATCGTAAAATTTAATGATTTTCTCGAAACTTGACAAAATGAAAAGTTTATTTGTTCAGGAGCTAACGAGCGGAAAGAAATTCAATGGTCCATACATTTGACCATGGCCCGGGTTCTGTCGTCTCGGTGAGAGATATACTATACTCAAATTAATATTAACAGGTTGATAATTATCTTTTTGTAAATATAACATAAACATGTTTTTACTTATAACTGACAATTTTTTTGTTGTTGTTTTTTGTGTTTTTGTTTTGTTTTTTTTTAAATAATTTTTGGTCATATCTGGGTTATATATCCGGAAATATATCTCCGCAAATGACCAGACTTCAATGAAGTCTGTACTGCAGTACCAGTACCAGAAATTCAGCTCTGCTTCTAATCCCACATGATTTCTGAATGACCGTAAGACTCAATGCCCGAGGTCACTCGCCTTGCCCGAAGATCTAACCAGCAACCCCAACGTTCTCGTTAGTGGACGGACTCGTCCAGAGAGTAGTACACGTACTTCTGAACGAATATAAATGATTAAAAGAACATATAGACAAAGCTGACACCCCCTCCCACATAAGCCCCTTTATGACACGTGTCGCACGTGTTGCCAATTCATGGATGTAAAAGTGTCAGTGTTGGATTGGTCCCTTCATTCCATTCTTTAATTGCATAAAAGAGTACAATGTGTATAGCAACATTTAATTAAATGCTCTATGTAAAAAAAGTATTATGCTTCACCGAGATGAGTTTAGCATTATAGCAGTTACCTAATATTACGAAGATTTTATATGCTTAAAGTGTCTTTTTATTATTGACAAACTATGTTGTGTTTTTTAAAGTTTTTTTTAGTCCTATGTTTTTGGACATACTAAAAGAGAAAGACATTCTGTTACAAACAAATATAACATTGCATGATTGACGACATTATTCATTTCTTGGTGTATTTGTATACCTTCCTGTTAAGGTAATGATTTGTGTATCGACGAGTACATGGAATGCTGTAAAGTAATTTATCAATACTTTCCATATCTTAATGGACAGGTGCCACAGGGTTGGTGGTTATAATAAGATATATCAATAAACCCTTTGATTAGTTTATGTTTTATAACATGCCTTTTCATGGGTCAGTACAAATGATTACTTTAAGGCCCGATTACGTTTCATTTAGGTATGTATATTGTTTATATCAAATAGGATATGTATTAGTCAGACAATGAAAGTCTTAACTTTCAAAGGCTCTGGACAAATAAACAAATACACAGGAAATTGACCCGATGCTGTGAGACACGTGCAATAAACAAGGGAATATCTTGCCGCTCATGCCAAAATGCTATTTTCGCGAAAATAACCCTATTTTCGTATTTTAGTTATACCCTGCTCATAAGCGGACATTACGGGTATTCCAAATATTATGCAATATCTATTTATAGATAAGTGATAACAGGTTAAGTAGTTACGTAACTAGTTAACCTGATAAATAACTAGTTAATTAAGAGGTTAACTAGTTACGTAAAAACGTAACTAGTTAACCTCTTAATTAACTAGTTATTTATCAGGTTAACTAGTTAGGTATTTACGTAACTAGTTAACCTGATAATTAACTAGTTAATTAAGAGGTTAACTAGTTAAGTATTTATGTAACTAGTTAACCTATTAATTAACTAGTTAATTATCAGGTTAACTAGTTACGTAACTAGTTAACCTCTTAATTTTAAGATGATAATATAATAAAAGGATGGCAGTTGCAGGCACTAACATGCATTTATTTCCCGTTATGATCTTTAATTTATTGAAAAAATTAACTAGTTACGTAACTAGTTAACCTGATAACTAACTAGTTAATTAAGAGGTTAACTAGTTACGTAACTAGTTAACCTCTTAATTAACTAGTTTGGTATCAGGTTATCTGTTGGCAGAAATATGCCACCATAATTTTCTGATCATCTTTGTCGCGTATCGACATGGTTTTAAGTAAGTGACATATTTTAACCTGTTTTGAACATCTAATTTGACGATGGAATGACCCCTCAGCAGAATCAGACAAATACCTTTATAACTCTGTCATTATGTTTTATAATACTTATCATGCATGTTTATTGTGTTATTCATGTGTAAAAAAAAATTGTATGAATGTTATTTTAATATCTAAAAGGAGCGTTTGCCAAAACAATCAAATTATACTTGTAACAGGACCAAAGCGTAATTGACAAAATGACAAATAGAATGGTTGTTATTGTTTGATGATGTTGTTTTGTGTGTATGTGTTTCTATATATTGTTGTTTAGAAGGCCACATTTAAAATTATGATATGTTACTTGTGTTTTACGATGGTATATCTCAATGTGTTACCTTCTTTAAATAAAGATATTATTATTATTATTATTATTATTATTATTATAAGAGGTGTTTGAAACATTATAGAGACAGGCTATGATGTAAGTGCAACAAATATATGTTTTAATTAATCAAGTCTGCATATTTCAGTCCTGTTTGTGATTTTTGAACAGTGTGCAATGTTCAACTTTCATTGGAATTCCCTTTCAACATTTAACTTAAAACAGCAGCTGCATAAAAGTTGCCCCATACTTCATCTCTCATCTTGTTTTATTTTAAGATATTTCGGGATCATTGAACATATAATGTCTTTTAGTGTTGATTATTAAATACCGCTTAAGTCGGTGCTAGACGGAAGTCATGTTGCATTTATCATTTTCCTTTAGAAATATTCAGTATAACCAAATCTGTCATTTGTGTTTTATTGCTCTAGAGGGATCTACCTACCTACCTATCTACCCATCCATTCATCAATCCATCCATGTGTTCGTTCGTTCGTTCATTCATTCATTCATTCATTCAATCAATTTTTGGCCACCTTATTTCTAATGCAGGCGTCACCCTGTCCCGAATTTGGCATAAGATGGACACATGAAAAAGGAAATGTTCAAATTCGGATCTGATCGGAATAACATCGGGCCATTCGAGAGGGCATCTTTTACCATCTTAGATCCCCGGCAAAATTTTTCAGGCTCCGGCAGCTACTTCGTGAGCGCTCGCAAAATCTTTGGCATGCCGAAAAAGAAGGTAGCAGCATTGCTTATTTTTATACACCTTAGAAAACATGATGAGCAACTCCTACAGGGCAACCTTGGGTGGCATGATAAAGTTTAATTTAATATGATAAACAAGATCAACAAGGAATGGCGGCGTTCAATGAACACAACCCCCCCCCCCCACACACACACACACACGACCCAGCAACAAGAACTAGTGGCAAGGAGCCCAGGAGGATACCAAACAAAAACAGGACAGAGCGCAAGGCAGAGCACGGAGGGGCTAATCACTAAAATGATATATAAGATTAAATAATAGTAACCGACAAGGAAATCAAAGAAAACAAATAAATGATTACTTAATAGGCTCACAAAGCAAGGACACAGGGGAAGGGGGTAAGAGATTCGGTGAAGGGCAGGCTACATAAAAGAAATAAAACTAGGGGCAAAAGGGAAGATACTTACCGTGGACGAGAATACAACAAGGGGCACAGACAAATATGTCACCAAAGCAGTATGAAACAACAAAGACGTGCATTTGAGGAACACAGAGGGGCGCCGCCTTGGAACGGCCAGTAGCATTAGTATTGCTGTTTAAACCGGTTAATGGTGCACCAAACCTCACTCTTAACCCCACCAGGTTCCTATAAACGAGACAGGGTAAGTAAAATGAATCCCCGACAAGTGAAAGTCTAACAGTTGTTATAGTAACAAAAGGTGAACACTGAAATGATCATGTAGAAACATATAAAAGAAAACCCTTTGATCATAACAAAAGTACTCAATGTCTTAAAGGAAGACGGAGCAACAAGAAAATCACCTAAAATGACCCAACGAAGCAAGACAGAAGACGAACATTACGGCAATTCAGTCCCAAAAGGCTTTAAGAACTGTCCATCATTGAGTCTCGCCACTAAACATGCGGTAGGATCATAACCCTTTTTAATAAAAAGTTTAATAATTTTAGTTAAGACAACAGATAAATTACAATGACCAAAGATCATACGAACTTTGTAAATAACAGCCCATTAAAAATCAGGCTGGCAAATCCCTTGTCGCAGAAGTATTTTTAAATCACTTTTGAATTTTGAGATTAAATCAAAGTTACGATTGTAAAGTTTTGTAAAATATTTACGTTATTTATTATCGCGGTAGCCCTGTTTGAGTAGCTTGCTAGTAATGAAAATATTTTGCTCGTTAAAATCCTTTATGTTGCTACAAGCTCTTGCAAATCTAATTAACTGAGATACATATACCCCGTAAGATGTTGCATGCGGTACGTCTCCATCTAAATGTAGATACTTTACTATACCAAAATCATCTCTTTTATCATAGATTTTCGTATGAATAGAATTGTTTTTGATAGTAATATGAAGATCCAAAATAAAGTTTAAACCTAGTTTAGCTCCTAATATTATCTGCCATTGAAATTTTCCGCGGTTGACCGAAGGTTTTATACCACCCGGAGGTCATTTGACGCCTTCGTAACCACGTACGAACGCATCGTACTCAAAATACGACGTCGTGCCCCTTTCCCGTGAACTTCGCGTGTCCTGCGGGTAAACTACTTGGTAAAAATTTGCATCTTTGATGTAACTTCGTGTGTGGATCTGATGCGATCGCGTGACCTTCGGTAGGAATCGTGTATTGAATTTACCAGAGCACAGTCTAGCCACTGAATCGTTCTTTTTATGTTCTCATATTTACAATTTTTAAACTAAGTTTTTTACTATTTCCGTTACCGTAGCAACCTTAGATTTTACTTAAAAAAATAATGATCATGCCTTCTTTTCATGTAACCAGCTATCGACATGTAAGGTTTTGTCAACATTTTTTGTGTAGTGTTTTAGTTATGATGAAGGAATTGCTATCTATTCACATACTAATCTTTAATTGATTTTAAGGAGTCGAGGGATCCAAAAGTGGACAGACAGACATACATGCAAACGGATAAACGGTCGGATAGCGCACCTTATACAATGTAAACACCGCTAGGGGAATAATAAAGATACAATACTCCTTCTCTACCTATAGATGTTGTATGATGTAGTAAATATTGCTTGTAATCAAAAAATAAAGAAAGATTCTGAAACCACTTTAATTTCAAACTTTATTAGATCAAATAAGCCGAAACGAATACCAGTATGTAAATATATATAAATGTATGGGTTTTACAAAAATAAAATGTTATAAATAAAATCAATCTTATTCACAGGTCAAAAAGTACAATATTTGTGTAAATAATATCAGTTTTCGTTAAAGTCAAAAGACACATGGACACTTTTAAGGTTTAAATGTCGACTTGGAACCATCAAGGCCAGAAAGCCTTAACAAATGTCGCTTAAGTTTAAGCTCCAAGAATTCCAACATGGGGAAATAATACATCATATCTCATAAAATTTATAAATACAAAATGTTATACATAATTTTCAGAAACAAGCAAAAATTATATAAAGTCAAAGTACATCTATATGTATAAAACATGTGTTATTGAAATTCCGAAAAGCAAAAAATAATACTTAAATTAACAATCTGGCAATAAAGTATTCATATAGACAATCTATAACTAGCAGTGAAAATTTTAAAATGCAATCAAAAGCAATAATAAAATATCAATGTTTGAAAGAACAACGTGCAAAAAAGTATTAAAAAACCCTTCCTTTTTTGGGAAAAAAATAAAATAAAAGTAGACTGAAAGTACTATACACATCACATACAATTCAAATGTTATAGAATACAGATCTTATTATCACAGAACCCAAGCTATCACATAGATGAAAAGCCCAAAAATGTAATAATGCTGCCTGATCATTGACAAAATACGCTGATAAACCCGAGAAACTCCATGTAAACCACTCAGTCTTACTCTCGTGTCAAATACTAGCGCGTAAGCATCTTGTTTCCATCTCATTCCCCTTATCCAGAGCGTTTGAAAAATGTAAACCCGATTTTTTCTTCATTTCCGGTTCAAGACATAAACGCTTTCACGCGACCTTCAATCAACTTCCGACAAATAGCACACTTCCGAATATGGGGTGCGCATGTCTCACAGGAAATCATGTGACCACATGGTATGAATACCATGTTGGAGGCATTGTCCATGCATATTTTGCATGTTAGCTGGTTTTTCAGTCTTTCATTCTCTTCGAAAACGTTTTTAGGAGCTGAAATAAAAAAGGACAATATATAAAATCTTGTAAATGATAAACTCTTGTTTCTTGTCGCAACAATTACAATTATACCAGTGCTAGAATCATGCGTCTTGGCAGTGAAACGTGTATCTGACCTGATATGTTGTATTGAATTGTTATGCTGTGTAGACACTAATGTGGCAGGATCATTTTTCAGAAGAGGACCAACCAGACATGTGCGTTGAGCACTGGCCACTCCATTTCCTTTATCATACCCCTATCTCCCTTTATATTTTTATGGCTTGATGTTGTCCTTTTACCGCCTTCTCAAACTGAGCTGGACCATTATGGGAAGGTCCTTTATACTTCAAAGAATTGTGTTAATAATATTTAGTCGTTCATGACAACAAACAACGAAATAATTGTATATGGATGTTGTTGATATGTATGAGAGACATGATCCGGTATGACATATCTATATCTAATATACAAATATTGACTTTATAGCTGTTGAATATGATGTGATATGAACCGGAAAAAATAGTATTGCCTGAGGCGATAGCCGAGGTCAATATTAATTTTTCAGTACATATCACATCATATTCAACAGCTAAAAAGTATATATCTGTTTTATTATATAATTTATATTTAGATTTTATATGGGTTATCACATCTGCCTTTGCATACGAGGGAAATCAATATTTTTCAGCGTGTCTACTTTTTCAATAATTTGGCCCTTTCTATTGGCATGCTTATCCCTATTGTTCTTAAAAATGTAATACGGTAACTTAAGTAGACTAATTTGACTCTACACCCCACTCAACGTTTTTTTTTTTCAGAATAATAACAACAAACTTGACGTGGCGTCACGTAATAATCTCGCGTCTTTTTGTTAGAAGAAAAAACGGTTAATATACTCCGAAAATCTATTTTTAGGGAAAAAACAGTGAATATACTCTGATATTGACCTGTTATTTTTTACAAAAAGTTGCTTGTTAGCCAATTAGGGAAAGGCATTTCAAAGCTATTTATAGATGTTATAATAAATAGTTGATAATTCAAAAAATTATATCGACATATTTAATTAATGGAATAAATGCTGACATAACAAACACTAACCGAAATTATGTATAGGTTGGTATTTATTAGGGAAAAAACCCAAATCGAATTGGTCAAGAACGGCGCACTAATTCAGTGTTTGGTGTTATTTTTAAAGAATGATTAATAGCTAGCCAAATTTGTGTTACGCTTCATTTGCGCATCAGAACGGGAACTTCCAACCGGTGTTAAATTAATCTCCGATAAACACCGCTGATACCGATATTATTCCTTAAATGGAGTCATGAAAACCACAAAAGCATTCATAATGAAATATTAAAGTGAAGCGCATTAATGTGTAGAGCTTGACAGCTTTATTTCTTACTTCCCCTTTATTGGAAAACCAACTTTTCTAAAACAATACACCGAATGTATATACCTTTATCTGCAGTGCTGATTCCCGAGCCTGCTTTGTTTTCGTTAGTGATAATATCAGACTTGGCACTTAAAAGATTCGTATTTTCTGGTTGTGTTTTTTCCTTAGCTGCATTTAGTGTTTCCATAGCAACCTATAAATACATAACATGATATACAAAATGTAATAAGTTACTCGTATTAGAACGCAGAACAAAATTATAGGTAACAAAATATAAGGAATGGTTTTCTAGCAAATGACGCGTAATAATTTATGTTTCGGGATGAAATGCGTTTTTATAATGCTTTATCAATGATCAAAATTGTTTATTATTACCTTTTCTATATTGAAAGCTTATTCATATTGTATAAATTATGTATACATTTTGTATTCGAAATACTTCGGTATATGCCTCCTACTTAAGCAAATGGTATTTTACTTAGAAACTCTCAATTAATTAAGCATATGGAACTATTACGATCTCCAAAATGTATTAAACTAAATAGGAAGCGTTACCCCTTTCCTGTCTTTAAGTCGCTCGTTGAGGTATAGACACTGTGGAAACCATCTTTCATGCTCTGCCCAGGGCCCGTCGCCGTATTCCCAGTTGCGGAGCCCGCCTCCGCAGGAAAAACACCGGACGCAGTCACCGAAACCTGCAAAATATACAATATGACCGTATTATGAGAACAAAACCAGCGCACTTAGACATTTTCAGAAACTTGATGCGTCAAGTATCCAACCCATTGTTATTCGTTGCATTGAATAAGTTCCTCATTGTATACATGCTAGGATCCCAGCTAATATATAATTTCCGATCAAGTAATGAGACATATGTTTAAGCCATGAATGTACATTTATTGTGAGTTGTTACAAAAACTTGCTCGTACCTGCATAAAAATAACCCGCGTCTGCAAGTACAGACGGCTCTAGAATCTCGGGACAAGGCCAGACAGAAAACGTGTCCAGTCTGTGTTGGTAGTTAGCATAATCCGGATGCTTATGTTGTCGTCTGCTGGAAAACTGTGCATTTTTGTCAGGCAACACTTCACTCTGTTTCTGTAAGCGTGTCCCATTTTGATGGTCTTTCTCCGGTTCCGTACTTCCACCGCTCGCGTTGCCCGTCTGCTCTTCGGTGTGAATACCAACATTTGACTTATCGACCCCGGTAAGGAAGGCGCAATTTGGCGAGATTCGAGAATGAATATTGGACGCTATGTCACCTTCTTTAAAACCGTGATATACTTGTTTGCATGAAAAACATCGGACAGTGTCATCTTCGCCGTGTCCACAGTAGTAAAATCCATTTGCTGCCAGGCGTATAGGTCTTGCAGGTGAACTCTGCGGAAATGTACAAAAGGTTCGATACCTTGCCCATTCAAACTTCATCAAGTCTTCAGTATTCCCATTCTTTTCGCATTCTGTAAAATATCTTTCTAATGATAACGGAAGAACCATAAATGTTTGTTTTTTACTTCGCCTCAGTTGGTACAATGTTGCGTAGCGGTCTTTGCACTTCATCTCCAGAGCAGTTCCATATTTGGAAATATTGTAGTCATTTAGAATATCCTCAACATACTTGTCTGGAAACACAAAGCATTTTAAATCGGTCGAATGTAATCCTGATATTTTAACATTTTTGTGCATACAGCATCTTGAATTTATAGTGCCCGCCAACATCAAAACGATGATCAAACTATACAGTAAAAGATTCCTGTTGATAAATACACGATGCATACCGCCTGGTTCCATATTTGCACGTTTTAAACAGTCGGGTGTTGAAAATGAGGCAATAATAAACGAAAATATAAGCAGAGCTAGAAATAAACGTCCACCGATCATTTTGTTTTTCTAAAACGAAAGTGAAAGTAGGAGAGTTTGAAAACTAATAATAAAACTGTGATCCCAAAAACAAACCGGTAGTATTAATGATGATAATACATGTATGTATAGTGTAGCATTCCTACTCATTATCTAAGTTGTAAAAAATTCTTCTAAACAAAAAATAAACATATCAAGCTTGTATCTTTGATACATTTTGTATGATAGAGTACTCGGATAAACTATTTTTAACTAAATAAATCGTCAGGGTTGCATGATCATAGGCATAATGTATATATTTTTCCGGTTGGTTTTACCAGAAAAAAAGCATTATAATCCGGCATTTAACAACTTCCAGAATAATTCACAGATTGATAGATTGTGGGCAAAATGTGAAGTTTATAACCTGATGAAGAGCTTCAATTATTTGTTCAAGAACGGAAGATTCATAATAAGATATATAATTTATCTCGCTGTAGATAGATCTACTTATTTACATGAACTTCTTTTCAACCCAGTTTATCGGAATTAAATGGATACAAAAATAAACGATCGGTCATTTTTTTCTTTACCCTATATACGTATCGTAAAATTTAATGATTTTCTCGAAACTTGACAAAATGAAAAGTTTATTTGTTCAGGAGCTAACGAGCGGAAAGAAATTCAATGGTCCATACATTTGACCATGGCCCGGGTTCTGTCGTCTCGGTGAGAGATATACTATACTCAAATTAATATTAACAGGTTGATAATTGTCTTTTTGTAAATATAACATAAACATGTTTTTACTTATAACTGACAATTTTTTTGTTGTTGTTTTTTGTGTTTTTGTTTTGTTGTTTTTTTTTAAATAATTTTTGGTCATATCTGGGTTATATATCCGGAAATATATCTCCGCAAATGACCAGACTTCAATGAAGTCTGTACTGCAGTACCAGTACCAGAAATTCAGCTCTGCTTCTAATCCCACATGATTTCTGAATGACCGTAAGACTCAATGCCCGAGGTCACTCGCCTTGCCCGAAGATCTAACCAGCAACCCCAACGTTCTCGTTAGTGGACGGACTCGTCCAGAGAGTAGTACACGTACTTCCGAACGAATATAAATGATTAAAAGAACATATAGACAAAGCTGACACCCCCTCCCCCACAGACATTTTGTGGAAATAATGGACATCTGGAAAGCAAGCGATTGAAGCCTCAATCACATCAGCCGCAGGAAATTTAGTTCGCGCGATTTATAGAGAAATCTGTGTCGTAGAAAGGTCGCAAGCTTTTTCGCAGTCTATCTAGACAGTCTTGTAGAACGTATGGCAGACGTACGCTGTTCGTACGTGGGTCGCATGACCGCACGATATTTAAACAACATTTCGTACGTTCGTCGCAAAATGACCGTGCAACAGACACAGTCCTAAGGCAATCGTACGAAATTGAAAAAAAACGCAGGGGCACGGCACGACGCAAAATAATTCGCAAGGCTGCCGCGCGATTGCCGTGCGATATCTGTACGTTCATCGTACGAATTCGAAAGTGAGGATTGAATGCAACACCATCATTAGAGCACCCCTTATTGTTTCATTCAAACCGTGATGAAATCCAACCACAAGGGTTACATTTGAGTGTTCTAAGACAGAGACTTCGCGAAGAAGAAGAGCGACACTCAGTAGTTCTAGTGCTGCTAAGACATCTTTGTATTTTGTGCTGAATTTGATACTAACATTTTTTCCTCAAAAAAGTTGTAGATAGCCGACTAATGTCTTAGAATATGTCTATTACTTGTGTGTTTTATACTTAAATATCTTATCTATGCTTTTAGATAAATTGTGTTTTATATTGTTAACTTTGCTAATAATATTATAATTGTAAGTTATACTCGTATAAAATGCAAGAAATGGCTTACCCACTTTCTTGGATATCTCCGATAGCTGTTTCACTTTTTAAATCTTGTCAGAGTACCGTCGTGTTAGTAAACCCTTGCACTAATATGTTTACTGTTTCAGCGGACATGGGAAATTTGTAATTTCGATAAATGTGCGTATATCCTTGGAGTCAGAGTCTTCTTTTGAAGCTCTCTGTGAAGTTTCCAGTGCAGATTTCTTTGTAATCTGCTGTTCATTTGTTTCAAAAGGCTCTTCATCGGCACCTGTCCCAGTAAGGGGCTTTACCCCTTCCCTAGTTTATATTATCTAACTGGCATGTCTAGAGATTGACTGTTGGGTATTTGGAAAGGATACGATTTTTTAAGATGCGCAACTGACGTAACCATCGTAGGTCTGTCACGGCTGCCGGACGACTTATACGACTGTCTTACGATTGTCATCTGTCATGTGGTAGCAATTGATACCGGCCCGGTCGCACGATGCTCGTGCGAAAGACAAACGCAAAACATTATGACATGAGAACTTCAAGAAATCGTGAGTCTGCCATACGATTGTTTCAAGACTGTCTTACGACGACCAAAATTTGCAAAAAAAAACGCAAAAATAATGTGCATGTTGCGAAATCAGTCTGCGACGTTGCGGCAACTTTGCGACCTTAAGTATTCGTACGACTGTCTTGCGACTGCCGCGCGAATCACAACGATTTTTTTCAAAATGCGTTTGTACGGCTGCCGTAAGGCTGATGTGATAGAGGCTTAAGCCCCTTCCATGCTGACAGAAGTGTCCGACGATTTCATTCAAATTCACGATGTACAATACGAATTTCAAAACGGGACAATTTCATTATACAAATGAGGTAGAGTTGTAATCGATTCCGTGTTTGATCTCAGCTAGTCCTTACTTCACTGGTCATTCAGCGTCAGGTTACCTATATACAAGGATCCACTGCCAGTTATTTCCTGATGCATGTGCCTAGCATCACACTCCACGTATTAAATCGTAGGCCAACTTTCTCAAAAAACTTCCTTTGAAATATAAGCCAAGAGATTCCAGTAAGTGATTACAGTGAAATGCAGCAGGTACATGAACCAGACCTCGATGAACCAGAAATCCAGCATCGCAGACAGCGGGGCAACAGTTCAATAATTTACATGTAGATACATGAACAAAGGAGATTCAACTAGAAATGTGTCATCATGCCACGGATGTCTCCGCATGCAGCCAAAATTTCAGATGTTATAATATTTAGTTCCAAATTTGTTTGCACAAATTTTTTTTTTCATTTGCAGTTCAAAGCCCTTAAAACTTTTCAATGTTAACACAAACCATTTTCATACAATGTTCAAAGCACTGAAATTATTCAGTCTTAACCTTTTGAAAATAGCATATTTCATATTTGTAGCCAAAATAATGGCTACATACATTTCCACAAAAGTATGAGTGCTGAAACTGACAGTTCAAAATTTTTCCAACATTCAAGAAAGATAAGTTTGTCCAAAATCATTGAACCACGACCAAATTCAAACTTTCCACAAAAGTATGAGTGCTGAAACTGAAAGTTCAAATTTTTTTCAACATTCAAGAAAGATTAATAATATCTGTCATATTTTGCAGTTCGGATCGGAATATCCGTCCCGAGGTGACCCGCCCATTGGGTGGTAACGAGGCTTGCCGAGTTACCGCCCATGGGCGGGTCACCGAGGGACGGATATTCCGATCCGAACCGCAAACATATGTCAGATATTTTTTCTTGCATATTCTATCATATTCCATTATATTTTAAATTCTTTATCTTTATTTTCAATGAAAATGTATATCATTACAACCGTAACTACTTTCATTCAACAGCGTATGAATTACAAAATCATTCATAACGGTAAAATGACGTCATTTTTATCGTGCCATTGTACAGCACGCGACTCATCTGGAACCCCCCATGCCAGATGAAATTTCCGGCATGGGTAATACTAACGGAAACGCCAGTCTGATATGCAAGAAAAGTTTGTCCAAAATCATTGAACCACGACCAAATTCAAACTTAAACTGCTTATTCCTAAGATGTATCTATATTATTTTCAAAGTTAAAGGGACATAACTCTGCCAAAAAATCATCGAACCATGACCAAATTCCAACTTGACCTGCTCATTCCTTTGACATATCCATATGTCAAATTTGAGTTGAATATGTAACACTGTTGGGTAGATAATAAACAGAAACTGAAAATTTCATATTATTTTCAAAGTGAAAGGGGCATAACTCTGCCAAAAATCATTGAACCACAACCAAATTTGAACTTGACCTGCGCATTCCTTTGATGTATCCATATGTCAAGTTTGAGTTGAATGTGTTGTACCGTTGGGGAGATAATGAACGGAAACTGAAAATTTCATATTATTTTCAAAGTGAAAGGGGCATAACTCTGCCAAAAATCATCGAACCATGACCAAATTCGAACTTGACCTGTATTTTCTCAAGACATATCCATATGTCAAATTTGAGTTGAATCTGTTGTACCTTTGGGGAGATAATGAACGGAAACTGAAAATTTCATATTATTTTCAAAGTAAAAGGGGCATAACTCTGCCAAAAATCATCGAACCATGACCAAATTCGAACTTGACCTGTCTTTTCTCATGACATATCCATATGTCAAATTTGAGTTGAATGTGCGCAACCGTTACTAAGATAATGAACGGAAACTGATGATGAATTGAGTTGAATGTGTTGTACCGTTGGGGAGATAATGAACGGAAACTGAAAATTTCATATTATTTTCAAAGTGAAAGGGGCATAACTCTGCCAAAAATCATCGAACCATGACCATATTCGAACTTGACCTGTATTTTCTCAAGACATATCCATATGTCAAATTTGAGTTGAATCTGTTGTACCTTTGCGGAGATAATGAACGGAAACTGAAAATTTCATATTATTTTCAAAGTAAAAGGGGCATAACTCTGCCAAAAATCATCGAACCATGACCAAATTCGAACTTGACCTGTCTTTTCTCATGACATATCCATATGTCAAATTTGAGTTGAATGTGCGCAACCGTTACTAAGATAATGAACGGAAACTGATGATGACGGAATGACAGAACAGGGTAACACTATATGCCCCGGCCATTACATGGCGGGAAAAATTTGCCGCGTCAAGACAATACCAACATTTGCGACCAACATGGATCCAGACCAGCCTGCGCATCCATGCTGTTCGCTTACCAACTCCAGTACAAGTAGAGAAACTGATAGCGAACAGCATGGATCCTGATCAGACTGCTGATCGGATGTGCAGGCTGGTCTGGCAAACGCACTATGTTGGTTTTGTCGTGACACGGCTCAAATATAAAACAAGAACACAGTTTTGATCCACAATTTATTTGAAACCATGAACAAAAAATATAGTTACATCAACTTTGTTGTTTTGATGATGATATATTAAAATGATGACATTAATGATTGTGAAATATGTGAAGCCTTCAGAAATATCGACTGAAACAAAATTAAATCATGACATGCAACAGTTCTTTTACAATGAATCTTTAAACCCTTAACCTGCTGAATGTCTTAAATGGACCAGTTTTTGTCCCTTAGTTTCAAATTTAGGGATTTGAACTTGGTCAGCCTATAGTATAGAGCCTGGTCAGACTGCATGGATGTGCAGGCTGGCCTGGCTCCTTTTTTTAAGTGACAAAGGCTAATCCCTTACAATTCTAGTAGGTTAATGGTTCAGATTTTTCCATTCATTGCTCTGAATAGTTTTTGATCTCTACAATTCCTGTGAGATAAAGTACAACTTCTTCATCAGCAAATACCAAAAAAGACACATTTTTGTGAAACATTACTGTTCAACATTACACATCACGTGACCAAAAATTGTACCATGTGACCATCCTATTCCTTGCCGTACACCTAATCTTATCCATAAGTTTCCGCGAGTCATTCTTGTACCAACTATTCCCATCCAAAACATCCTACAAACTGAATACATGGAACAAAGAGAAGTCAAAAACAGACATAAATCAAATCAAAAAAGAGAAGAAAAAAAGTTATGTTCTGGTTAAACATATACAAAGCAGATTTATTATGATTAAGAACTAAAATAAAAGCATGACACTGACCTATATTCATATTTACACACATACCCTAAGGGTACAACTATATTTAAAATTATATTACTTTAATATTACAATTCTTTCATTGATTTTCAAACTGGATTACATCCTTGATAAATTAAATTTTGGAAGTCTTATCATAATAACCACCAAGCAAAGGAGAGAGAGAGTAAAAAGTTAAAAATCGATAAAACATTTTTTTTTTCCAGTAAAAAAATACACAGGTGTGAAATTCTATGGTGATTTCATTTTTCAAAAATAAGACTAGATATTTTTGCCAGAAAATCAAATTGAAAATAAGCATATTTACATTCTCAAAGATTCTTTTTATTGGCCAATTTGAATTTCATTTTTGTTTCCATTTATTTACAATATAATTAGTTTTCCCTTATTCTAAAGTACATGTAAGTATTGTTTAGAGTTTGAGACAAGCCAAATGGGATTTTTTACTTATATCATGGAGAGTTAGTATGATTATTTGATTTAAATATTCTTTTAAGAAAAATATATCAAGAGAGGATTGTTTAAGTGCATAATAAACAAAAACATTCAATACAATATACATGGAAAATAATAATAAAGATTTATGTAAGAAGCTATCTGACATGAACTGACGAAATATATTCAATACTTAACAATGTGATAGCTTAGTATTGGACTTAAAATTTTGGCCTATATTATATTGGTTCTGTTTAATGTTCTTATTTTGGTATTTTTTAATCCATAATGAAAGCATCACACAAGTTTACATTTATAGAGAAAATGATACAACAGCAATCAGACTGCGCAATGGCAGGGGGTGGTCATCCCATCTGGTAAAACCATTAGTTTGGTTTTTTTATTAAAAATTTTTTCTTTATTTAAAATTTTGTTCTTTTATCCCAAAAAAATTAAATTTCAATTCCTTTAGGTGAAAAACTTCTCACATGTTCTAAATCTATCATTATAAAACACATATTTGCCTTTCTACTGAAAGAAATATTAAATTCATTTCCGTGGATTAAAGCTGCATGTCTCCAGATGAGCCAAAATATTTAAAGAAAATCATACTTGACAAAAAAATACTGAAATTTTAAGAAAAGTAAAAAGATACCACTGGCAGAAAAATGTAATAATTGCCATTTATGACCAATTTTGCAGTATTTTTCACTATCTCATCTGCGTTACTATTGCAGTAAGGGCAAATTTTGCATATTTGACCTCTTTTTGGTATTTTTATGGTCTGAAAGTACTGTTTGCAATTTGAAAATTATTTACTTTGTTCACTACGCAATATTTTTTAATACATTTTCAAAATTTTCATGAAAATTAGCATGAATCTGGAGGCGTGCTGCTTCAATGTGCCTTTAAATCAATGAAAAAAAATATCCTGGTCCATTCCATTTCATCCAATGCCTTATGTTATGACTAGAAACAAATTAATATTGGGCCAGTAATCAAACTAGTTAATACAGTAAACAGTAGGTCTTTTAATAGTAAAAAAATAAAATTATTTCAACCATCTTGATAATTACACGGTCTTCAAGAAAGTGTCTTGCTGAAATAAACTATCATTAAGACAGTAAAAACAGAAACATACGGAGACTATAACAAAATGCTGGGCTATATTTATTATAACATTAAAAGCTTAATTATAACATATGTACAAAGACTTTAATTTAACAGGAAAAAGAATCATGAAATGCTATTTGTGATCGTTAATTCTCACCCAATGTTTATTTCATTGATATTTACAACAGACACCATTGCCAAAATTTAAAAAAAAAAGAATCAAATATATAAAAAAATAATCATGAAACAACAAGTCATAACAATCATCAGCCATTAATTCTCATCATGTTATATCTGTAAAATCAAATAATACTTATCCATCCTTCAACAATGCTCTCTTTTCTACCTTAACCTCTCAAATTATCTTAAACGAACTTGTCCATCTTTCACTCTGGACAAAACCATTCATCATTTTAAGGGAAAATTTCAAAAATATGTGGGCGACTGAATGGTGAACAGACAGTGCAGACCATGATCTGATGACACCGATATATCGGCTGATCTTTGTCTGCACTGATCACATGGGTTGATTTTGTTTACCAACGGTTAAAAACATGTTAAGCATAAAATGGCACTGCTACACTTATTTACAACTTGCATGCTTTAAGAATTCTACTTTTTTCATCATACTTTTGCATCACCCATCAGATTACGTACAGATTCGAGTCAATGGTATTTAAATTGTGTCTTCCTAGTAAAATACACACATATTGGTGCCCTAACCAACAGCATTGCTTAGTTTTATTTAACCAGTAATCTGTTCTTTTTGTGAAATGGATTTGACCTGCCTTGAATTTGGAAAAGTCCTTTACAAGTTCAAGGGATTCCAGTATCAAAATACATAAAATAAGCTACAAAAAAGTTTAGAGCCTGGTCAGACGGCACGGATGTGCTGGCTGGCCTGTGGTCAAGGCAGATTACTTATTTTGCAGATTAAGTGTTAAGTCAGACAGTTTAAAATGACTAGGAAACATAGTTTTCCAAGTAAAGCTATGAGAAAATGCTTACTTTACAGTGATGTGAATTTATAATAAAGTCAGCCTTCTTAAACCACTTTGCACCCTGAATTTATGTTGGTTAAATCTAGATTATAATGCATTATAACTATTGAAATGCATATAAATGGTGGTCAAGCTGACATAACAAATGAAATCAAGAATGAGGTGTATGACATCATTGATTTCCTAGACGTTTTTTTTTTCCGAACAAATTTAATGTGTGATCAAATATGTTATGACAAAAAGACATATTCTGAAAACTGAAAAGGCATTTAACCATGATCAAAATTTTACAATTAAAGACCTATGGCTGTTTTCAACACATAACTTTTAAACACATAACTATCTAAACATATGGCTATATAAACACTTGGATATATAAACACATGGCAATTTAAACACATGGATAAAATATTTATGCACATGGCTATTCAAACACATGGTGTTTTCTAGTTAACAATCTTGTGAGACATTTAGATGTATAAAACTTTCATATGTAGCTTACCCATGAAAAACCTGAAATTTTACAATAGAATAAAGGAGGTGGTCATTTTGCATGAAATAATCAAGAGAGAAAAATCATTCATGATTAAAATGACTAACATATTTAGACAAAAAGGAAATGTGAAACATTGCAAGTACATACATACATAAAAAATACTGATACATCATTCAACAAGAGCCACTAACAATCAAAACATCGTAATTATTGCCCATTCCAATTACAATAATGCTTACAAAGACTTGAAAAATTTCTACATAAATTTCTAAATCTGTAACTTCATTACACATATATTGTACAAAGATATAATTGTCAAATGTAATTGATGTAATTAGTAAATGTACAAATTATGACAAATTTTCTTCTCAAAAGTGAAATATACATTGCTATCTAAATTCAAAAACTAAACTCTACAAATATATTACACAATGGACATTGCTTATGGTGTGTGTCTAAAAATGAAAATAATATTAAACATCTGTTCAAGTGATCTATGACAAAAATAAGGACAAATCAAGGGAGAAAAAAAATACCTATATACAGCTTCAGAGTTTACCAGTTTCAGTAATGACGAAAACATGGAAGAATTATTTATAGCACTTTTTGAATTATCTTGTACAAAAATATAGAAGTTATTACATCTATTTCTTTTTCAAAATTAAAGCAAATTCTTTTACAATTATAACATCCACAACAACTTTAAGCACTGTACAAACTTCAAAGTTCTGCAATTTTAAAGGACATCGTTCAGTGCTGTACCACAGCTGAGGTTGTGGTTTCAAAATATGAGGCAGATACAGCCAAGTTTGAACCTCTAAAGGTGCAGGACACCTTCCTAAGCACAGGGAACTGTCACCATTCAGCCACTGAGCTTAATTATCCAGCGGCACTTCAACATTCATGCATTAAAAAAAGCTCAATGATCAGAGCAATCAGAATATAGAGCTCAATGATCGGGGCAATCAGAATATAGAGTTCTATTGGCTTAATGTGGCTTGTTTAGTTGTTCTGACAGAGGTAATCTGCACCTTTAAAAGTTTGAATGCATGTCAACACATACTGAATCAATTATACAGAGACAAGAAATCTTTCTAAATGAGCCAATGAAAGCAAGAAGCCTTGCATGCAATAACAAAGAGCTTTTTCCCTGTTTTTTCCTTATAATATCTTGAGTGTAATTAAATAAGTTAATGAAAATAGATAAGTTTATACAATATCTTAATCACTAATATTAGTTATTTTAAACTAAAATATTGAACCAGGTGCACTCTGTGACATTGACAATAATAATAACTTTATCCTGCGAAGTATTTTAAAACTATGTACAGAGTCTATCTAAATGAATCAAGTATGAAAAAATGAAACATATACAAGAATAACCTTAAACAAATGCATGAAAATAACAATCAATCAACTCTCAAAACACAAAATCCGTTTCTAGGAAAAACCTATAGAGATATACTATCTGAAATATGCAATGCTTTACAGTTTGTTATCATTGTTTAAGTATGTTATTATGTAATCTTCTATACCGATTTATTCCCGTAGCTGCCATTCTAAGATGAAATATTAAAAAATATGGAGAAAAAGTACGACAAAAATATTTGATTCCAAAATCAATTTACATAATTCTGAATTTCTAACATCTCTCATATAATCAAACTCCTGTGAGAAAAAATTTCTGATTAAATGTATGCTATTTTGATCAGTTACAGTATAACAACTGGCAATTAAAACTCTACAAAACAATATGTGTGGAGGGAAAGTTTGAAGGAGATGTCTAAAAGGTATAAAATATGATGACAATGTCCATCCCTCAATCATGTTTTTTTTCTTATAATCACACATGGTTTATCTTGTCTTGAGATCCTTTGACTATGTTGCTATGTCCTGAAGTGCACTGAGGCTATATACTGAAAGAAAAAAAAATCTGATTTAAACGTCAAACAAGATCCTTTATGTACTTAGCGTATGCTAAGGTTACATAAAGACAACTTTTACTGCATAATCTTTGTAACATAGGTTGTCCCATAGACACAATTAACAACACATTCTCTATGCAGTAATTGTTCCACTTCACAAACATAAATAATTCAGTAAAAGGGTTTAAGTAAGTGACCAAGATCACTAATTGTGGAGTTGAGAAAGTTGCATAAAAAACTTTGATCCTTAACAAAAGGGTTAAATTCAGTAAAAATCTATGGCAGAGTTACAAATCCTACACAGTTATCTTCAATTAAAACTCTTTATGCATCTGAGAAGTTTTAACTGGATAACTGCCTGGTTGAGAGAAATGAATAAATTGTAAATAAATTTTAGCCAAGTAAACATATTGTAAGGATGAAAGCTTACCCATATTCTTCTAATACTCAATCAAAAATATCAATTTAAACTTAACAGGCAATTAGAGGCAATAAAGTATGTTAAAGTATCAAACCAATCATTCAGTAATTTGTACCTTGTTCAATTATTTGAATGACAAGACAGCTTTGATGGAGATATGATCTGACGGGAAGAAACGGTTAGGTATGCCACCAGTTTCCATCACTCGTTCCTTTGATGCTGTCTGTAGCACACCAACGTTCTCAAGGGACACAGAGCTGTAGAAGATGTAGTCAACCGTGTCACACATCACCCGATTGTATGACGAGATCTCAGGTTCATAACCCTGTCAGAACAATATTATAATGTATCATTTAATGAATCGATTCAAATAAAATAGAAAATTTAATTTTGTTACATTACAAATTAATGGTTAAATAGCCCACTTTAAAACTTTAAGATAATGAAAACTTTAAGATACTGAAGTGCTTGGCAGTGAGGTCATTCTCTACAGCACAATACTTGCGTACGTTCAGGGGTACCTGATTCAGTACCATAATATGCCAATGCTATTGTAAAAGGACAGAACTTTTAAAGTTTCCTCCATCTTATTAAATTTTAGAGCAATATTCACTCACATCTTTTCATTTCACTCCTGTTTATAATGGTTTGATATCAACTTATCTGATCAATGTAATTTGTTCATTTTCAATTAGGTATTAAATTAGTCCATTTTTGTCCTCTTACATATATAAAAAAGCTCTTCGCTAAACTTTTAATAATTCAATGTTTCTAATTTAAATATTTTTCATACCTGGGCTTCACTATAAACACTTCTTAACGAGGATGATGTATGCTGGAAGGCTGGCCACAATGAGTTCACTAAAGATGCTTTCTGTAAACAAATAAATAACTAGAAAACATGTGTTGACATTGTGCATTTATCAATGTACAGTATTCAATTTCACCCAAAGCTTAAGAGCAGCCTATATGCCAAATGTATTCAGGGTTTTCATTAAGAGGCGGCCGGCGGCCAAATTGGCCGCCTAGAACACGTTTTGGGCCCGCTAGAAATTCCGTAGATACCATAAATGAATACTTGGAAACTGCTTTTGGGGCACGAAAATTTACGATTCGCTCCTTTCTGTAATTTTATGCATTTCCGCTAATTGCGGTTCACTTCCTTGGCGGCACGTAAACATCCAATATGGCGACCAAAAAACGAAAAATAGATCGCAAAATCGACGATTTTTTTAATCTTCAACCGAAATCAAGTAAGTTTTCTAAAGAATTATATTGATTTGTTTTTCATGTTAAAATATCTTTCGCAGTTTCAATTGTTTACCGTTGACAAATGTTTATTCTTTAGTAAAATTACATTTCGTAAAGCGTTAACTCGGCCCTGTACAAACTCGGCCCTCTAATAACAACATATCAACAATACGACGGATCCTTGTATAAAATTACAAACAAAATTATTCCCTTAAAATTTAAGTGAAGACAACAAATATTATCATAGCATTATTTTTATCTTAAATTACAAGTATAATGAACCTACATCAGCAAATGTCACAAGTTTATTTTCTTAAAATATCTCAACTGCCCATTTCAACGGAATTATAGCTGGCTAAGTCGTATTATTATAAAAAATATTTTTCATTTTCTCATTATAATCTATATTTTATGACTTAGTCATGTTATTTTATAATTATAAATTAATCTTCTCATTATAATATAATCTAAATTTATACAAACAAAAATGAGTATTGCTATACAGTATATTTGGTTGTATTTGGGTATTTCGTGCTGCCACAAGAAAAAAATTGTAAAAACCTATCTGAAATAAACAAAACGTACGTTCAGCCTTTCTGTGCCAATTCACATACTTTCATCAATAACTCAAGGCTGTGTTAGTTTGAGGGCCCAGTTGACATATTTTTTTTTGTATTTTGTATATGTTGAATTTTATTTATAAAAAAATGTTTAAACAGTTTTGTTCACAATTGTTGTTAACTTTATATATTTCCATGTTACAGTTCAATCTCATCACGCATTTAATTGATAGCTGGATTAAAAAGGGTGAGTCAAAGTAGTATAATTTTCCCTGCCGTATAAAGTTTATTAGAGGATTATGAAAGTATACATTACAGAACAAACATTTTACATGCAAGGCGCCTTGTGAATAAAGCATTATATCAACATAAATGATTGGTCATTGTATAGTCATGATATTTCAGAAATAAAAAAACAATCCGATTCATTCTGGTAGAAGTTTTGGCAACCAAAGTAGTGACAAACTGTGAATATGATAAGAAAATGACTTAGTATTCCTGGTGATAAACTGCATTAACATTTTTAGACTGTGTAATTCTACATTAATATAAAACAAGAGGGCCATGATGGCCCTGAGGTCGCTCACCTGTATATAGCCCCCCCCCCCCCCCCCGGCCCAATTTTTACCCAAGGGCTTTTATTTGTTTATTTGAACAGACTTGGTAGACACCCATAGGAAGTTGTTTCATGCAAAACATCTAAGTTCTAGCTCATTGGGTTTTTTAAAAGAAGATTTTTTAAGTTTTTACTATACACATATAGTTAAAAACAATGACACCCCTCGGGCAGGGCCAGTTTTGACCCCTGGGCTTTTATTTGAACAAACTTTGTAGATATTTACTTAAAGATGTTTCATGCTTAATATCTAAACTCTAGTTATTTGGGTTTTTTCAAAGAAGATTTTTAAGTTTTTGCTATGTATATAAGGAAAATCAATGACCCCCGGGGCGGGGCCAGTTTTGACCCCAGGGCTTTTATTTGAACAAACTTGGTAGACACCCATTAGAACATGTCTCATGCTAAATATCTTAGCTCTAGCTCTTTGGGTTCTTTAAAAGAAGATTTTATAAGTTTTTACTATATGCATATAAGGAATATCAATGACCCCCTGGGGCGGGGCCAATTTTGACCCCAGGGCTTTTATTTGAACAAACTTGGTAGACATTCACCAGAAGATGTTTCATGCCAAATATCTAAGCTCTAGCTCTTACGATTCTTTAAAAGAAGATTTTTTAAGTTTTTACTATATGCATATAGGGAAAATCAATGACCCCCGGGGCGGGGCCAATTTTGACCCCAGGGCTTTTATTTGAACAAACTTGGTAGACATTCACTAGAAGATGTTTCATGCCAAATATCTTAGCTCTAGCTCTTACAGTTCTTTAAAAGAAGATTTTTTAAGTTTTTACTTTATGCATATAGGGAAAATCAATGACCCCCTGGGGCGGGGCCAATTTTGACCCCAGGGCTTTTATTTGAACAAACTTGGTAGACATTCACCAGAAGATGTTTCATGCCAAATATCTAAGCTCTAGCTCTTACGGTTCTTTAAAAGAAGATTTTTTTAAGTTTTTACTATATGCATATAGGGAAAATCAATTACCCCCCAGGGTGGGGCCAATTTTGACCCCAGGGCTTTTATTTGAACAAACTTGGTAGACATTCACTAGAAGATGTTTCATGCCAAATATCTAAGCTCTAGCTCTTTGGGTTCTTTAAAAGAAGATTTTTTAATTTTTTACTTTATGCATATAGGGAAAATCAATGACCCCCTGGGGCGGGGCCAATTTTGACCCCAGGGCTTTTATTTGAACAAACTTGGTAGACATTCACTAGAAGATGTTTCATGCCAAATATCTAAGCTCTAGCTCTTACAGTTCTTTAAAAGAAGATTTTTTAAGTGTTTACTATATGCATATAGGGAAAATCAATGACCCCCGGGGCGGGGCCAATTTTGATCTAGGGCTTTTATTTGAACAAACTTGGTAGACACTCACTAGAAGATGTTCCATGCCAAAAATCTTAGCTCTAGCTCTTACAGTTCTTTAAAAGAAGATTTTTTAAGTTTTTACTATATGCATATAGGGAAAATCAATGACCCCCTGGGGCGGGGCCAATTTTGACCCCAGGGCTTTTATTTGAACACACTTGGTAGACACTCATTAGAAGATGTTTCATGCCAAATATCTAAGCTCTAACTCTTAGGGTTGTTTAAAAGAAGATATTTAAAGATTTTTCTTTCGGTTGCCATGGCAACCAGAGTTCTGCATGGAATTAAATTCTTTGAACAATTTTTAAAGGTGACCACCAAAGGAACATTCCTGTGAAGTTTGGATGAAATTGGCTCAGTGGTTTATGAGGAGATGTCTTTTAAAGCAAAAGTTTACGGACGGACGACGGACGGACGGACGCCGGACGAAAAGCGATCACAAAAGCTCACCCTGTCACTTTGTGACAGGTGAGCTAAAAATTAAAGTCTTGTCCGTCTGCTTGCAAAAAAAATACCAAACTGATTATTTTCTGCACTTGTTATATCAATTTAACATAGTCATTATACTAAATGTAAGCATATATGCTATAATATTTAAAAAAAAAAAACTTTAAATACTGCATACAGTTTGATGAAATATGACAAACTGAACAAATACAAAAATTCAACACAAAGTTTATTGTTTCAAAATATATTTTAGATTCCACTCAAGATGTTCCGCCTAGCAACCAGCTGCACTCCCAGTCAGGAAAAGTTACAGTCCTGCCCTCTGTTGGTGATATGGCCAAGAAAACCTCGCAGGTATCAACTGACCAAACTGAAGCTAACTCAGGGATTTCAACCACCATTTGCTTCAGTAAAGGTACTGGTATTTTAAAACATCAAGAAACTGAATTTATGGTGTCCAGCATAAAAATTCAGGTAAAAAATTCTGAAAGTCTTGTCTGTCTGCTTGCAAAATAATACCAAACAAATTATTTTCTGCACTTGTTATACCAATAACACATAGTCATTATACTAAATGTAAGCTTATATGCTATAGTATTAAAAATCTTTAAATACTGCAGACAGTTTGATGAAATATGACAAACTGAACAAATACAAAATTCAACAAAAAGTTCATTGTTTCAAAATATATTTTAGATTCCACTCAAGATGTTCCGCCTAGCAACCAGCTGTACTCCCAGTCAGCAAAAGTTACAGTTAATATAGTCAAGAAGTCTTTGCAGGTATGATGTCGACTCTTTGGCATGCCCCCGGACCCCCTATCAGGCCTCCTTCAATCACATTCTGGCCTGTTACACAAAATCTTAATGAAAACCCTGTGTATTAACTTACACATATAGTTTTATTGACAATGACATATAGTAACATATGTTTTGTAGATGACAATGACAAATAATGACATATAGTTTAATGACACAGCATAACCTAGTGGAAAGTTTTACAAAGATCATTTCCACTTTACCTTTGCAATGCCAGCATTCAGCCATACTAGCTATTAATAAATATAACATTATTTTTCATGTTCTCAATCATTTGGGCTTAAATGTCACATCTGTCAATGAATAAGTTGGATTTTTAAAGCTTTTTCATATAATTAGGTTATAAATGGCCAATAACACACATTGAAGTTTCTGAGATATTGTTTTTTAATTCAAACATTGGAAATTCCCAGTATTTCTGAACTATTAACCCTTTGCCTGCTAAGAGTTATCACATAAGCTGTGGCAAACAGTTTAGTACCGGACTATACTAATGGACTATATGGCTGGTTACCACAGTGTCCGACTAGATGCTGAGTAAGTCAGATGCTGAGTAAGTCAGCATCTTTTCGGGTACCAAACTATTTGACAATCACCTTATTTTTAACTTTTTTTTTCATTTCGAAAAAAATGGATCAAAATTAAAAAATTTAAGCAAACAACATTTTAATCATTTGACAATTGTCCAAGCATGCAAAGGTTTCAAATACTACAAACCTTTGAATCAGGCAGCTCAAGCCCTTCAATCTTCATCAGTGTGTTGATAGTTTCATCGCCACTGGGATAACCATCCTTAGCTACCAGGTAGCCTGGACTCATGGGCGGTGAGTTGAAGTCCCCACATATTATATGAGGGAAGTTGTCCCCAGATGCCTTAGAAACAATCTCTTTCACTGCACTGGCAATCTGAAATGGATGACATTAATTGTGTGAATGACCATTTATTCTTATTCTGAAAAGAAAATTAACATTTTTGGACAACAAAACAAACAGCATCCTCTCCTGTGTATTGACTATTGGTATTTTATCGAAAAATATATCATGTTTAAACAGCTTATAACTTTTTTTTCATTTGGTGTACAGACTTCTTTTAATGGTCTTGTTTAAATAAATCAAAACTTTGTGTCAATTCTTCTGATTTACCAAATCAAGCTTTTAGATGAAGACTAGAAATTAAAGATAAATGACACAGCACCTTAACACCATGGTTACATTCTTGAAGGTATAAGCAAGACACCAAAGTAAAACCACAAACTTCCTGCAATACTATATAATGCCTTTAATAAAATTTAATGCAGCTAAATTTGTTAAGACAGAAATGGTTGCAAAAAAAATAACAAAAACTTCCAGATCTTGAATAATATTAACTAGTACTACCCTCATCGTCACCAACAAGTATTAGCAGTGATTTCGCAAGTTACCATTCAGAATAAAACATTCATGAAAATATCTTAAGCTTCAAACAGTGAACTATTATTTTGAGCATGCTAAAACAGTAAAACTCAACTTGATGTAAAAATGTGAACAAAGTTTAAAAACTGAATCTAACAGAAAAAGTGTAAAATGAAAAAGAAATATACCCTATACACTTGTTTCACAGCACTAGTTATCTACAAATTCAAATCTAACCAGGTTTCACAAAATAAATAAAAAAAAAAATAAATAAAAAAAATAAACTACTGTGACAAAACGAGTCAAGCAAAAAAAGCAAATGCAAAGAAATATCAACATGTCAATAATCGACCTATAGTAAGGTCTGAAAATTTGTATAAAATTTAAAAATGCTCATAATATTCAAGATCTACTATATGCAAAATGTTGCGAAGTTGGCATTTTTTTTACTAAATAAAACTATTTTAAAAGCCACTATTCTAAATACATACAATATCAAACAAAAAGATAGCCTTGTAATTAAATGTCTAACTAGAAATGTGTCCATAGGACACGGGTGCTCCCACCGCGCCACTGTTCTGTCAATCTTATGACTGTAGGTCAAATATTTCTTGAAAACTAAAAATCTGTTACTAAGTAAAGGGCAAGAACTTTACAAATACTGAATAAATCCACAAGCAAACCCCAAGGTGCATAAGTACACATGCTGACCAACATTCTTGTAAACTTTCAGGCCTACAAGTGAAATACTTTTTGAGCTATGCATGAACAAGTTGAAAATTGCAAATTTATACTACTGTAAGTCAAGGGCAATAACTCTTACAAAACTGAAAAAAATCCACATGCAAAGTCCCAGGTTCATAGCTTCACAGTGATGTGAATCATTATTCCTGTAATTTAGTGATGTTGATCATTATTCCTGTAAAGTTGGTTGATTCTAACTCAAGCACTCAAGGAACAAATAACAACATAATGAAACGGTTTTTACTAAGTCAAGGGAAATAACTCTACAAATACTGGATAAATCCACAAGCGAAACCCCAGGTGCAAAACTAAATATGCTGAGCAACCTTCCCGTAAGGTTTAATGACTCTATGTCAAATCCTTTTTGAGTTACATGCGACACAAGTTGAAAATTGCAAAAATTTTCTAAGTCAAGGGCAATAACTCTAAAAATACTTAATAAATCCAGACGAAAATACCCAGGTGCACAACTACACATGCTGATCAACATTCCTGTAAAGTTTCATGACTCTAGGTCAAATACTTTATGAGTTACATATGACACAAGTTGAAAATTGCAAAATTTTACTAAGTCAAGGGCAATAACTCTAAAAATACTAATAATATCAAGACGAAAATACCCAGGTGCACAGCTACACATGCTGATCAACATTCCTGTAAAGTTTCATGACTCTCTGTCATATACTTTTTGAGTCACATGCGACACAAAAGAGAACGGACGGACGGACAAGGGTAAATCTAAATGCCCGCCACTAAAGTGGGGGCACAAAAATTAAAAAAATCACCTAAAACATACACAGAATTAGGTGTACATGTCTAACACTATGCTGTTGTTACATAATGGAAATATTTTATAGCAATGATGACAAATAAATGGTCCGGAAAAATTATGCAATAGGCATTCATAAACAAGACACTGAACAGAACATGTATTTTACAGAATTCATTTAAACAGGTGAATGACAGACAAGTAATTATAGATAATTGTCAATATATCTGGGTTTCATTGACATTTGTCATTCAATATCGATATATCGTTGATATGGTCTACACTGAATCAATGACAGCTCTATACATATCTAGTACCCTTACACTGTTGGAACAGAAAATCTGCAAAACCATTATTACCAGTATAATATTAAGGTCTGCGAACTATACCGTCAGCTTTAACTATCATCTTGATAAACCCAAATTATTAATGGTCAGTTCGAAAAACGGCATAGATCTGGATAATTTCATATCAGCCATTCAGACAATTTAATGTTAGTGTAAAATATATAGATATGAATATATCCTGTATTGTATACCTGTACACACTGTATATCTGGCATTTTCATTTCTCCCCAGTTTATATGAACATTGCCAATCGTTACTTCACGACCTGTATTTTTACACTGCAGTTTTGTTACAATTACAACATCAGGTAAATCTGTATACGTCCTAACAGCCTCTTGTATAGCAGGATCTATTCCTTCCAATTCCTGAAAAATTACTTATATTTTCAATAAATTATCATTAAACTAACTTGTTTTAATAATAACTACTTACGCTATTGACTTCTACATTACTCATCAAAAGAACACTATGACATTTTTCGTATGTAACTGTGAATACTGAAAACATTCAGTTGTTTCATAGTTGTTGTTTTTCACAGTGCACTTATTTCAGTTATACTTAAACTGACCCCTAAATATAGCTAAATAAATCACATTATTTACACTTGATTGAAGAACCAGTACTTGCAATGTATCACTTCTGATATTGCTTCCTAGAAATTGACCAGTACTGGTGCGATACGAGGAAACACAAATGTGACAAGAGTAGTGCTCAAACCCAAAGTCCCCAAGGTGGAAAGAGACACATTAACCAGTAGATCATTGCTCCCATTGACTCAGCTGTAGGCTAGGAAGGAACATACAAAATTCCTTTAAATCACTTTATAACTGGACTGGAACATGAAATTCCAATATCCTTTGTAATATCTTATTACTTGACTTAAATTATTGTTGGTTACTTAATTCTATCATTCCAAGTGTGGCTTCCGTGGCTGACTGGTATGCACAAGCCAGCATAAAGCATGTAACAACACTGCATTAAGAACATTAACAAACTGTTGTTGTTTACCTTTTGAAGTAACTGTGAAAATGTTGTAGACTGTGTTTCAACAACTGTAAATCTACTGGTCTTGTAGAATGTGGCCTCACCCTCGTCATAGTAATCAGCATTTCTCTTCTTGTGTACTCCATCGTAACCAAGGCTATAATTACACGCAGTCAGGTTATGAACACAGAAAATCTTGCAAGTAGTTTATAATTTCAGAATTAAGGATTATCTGTGTATTATACTAATCTACTTCTCCTGCTTTTTTAAGAACATGTTCTCCTTATTTTTCAGATTACACAAAGGTACATTCATGATTCTAGAACATTTTTTTTTTTACAAAGCAAATCCCATCCTGATCCAAAACATGTTATTAAACAATAAAGTTAAAACAATAAGCCGGAGAGTAAAGTTTAATTAGGTGTCAAGGTCATATAATTTCAATGTCCAGAGCCAAATAAAGCTCTTATCAGAAGAATGATGTAACCAAGCAATAAGGCTTTATCTTGTAAAAATAAAAATGCAAGGGCAAAAGTTTAGGCTGTCCCAAGATACAGACAGACAGGAGAAAAACAATACACTCTTCTTGTATATCAACAGATACTGGGAGCATGTTTTATGAAAAAAGTAAACATCAGTTAAAAACATAGACACTCGTAAATTTGACTTTTAGTTCAATGACTTTCCTGCTCATTTTATTAGTTACTAGTACATAAAAATATTATCAACAATTATGAAACTCAAGTGCTCTGATAACCTTTAATCTTTCATTCAATATCTTGTACATCCCATTGTTATCAATAATGGAGTACCAAAATTTGAGGATTAAAACTAGCTTGAACAGTGTCATTAATTCAAACAATGGTAACTTTTCTTTATATAAAAGATAACCATCGGCCTTCATATTAAAATTAAGGCTCAAATCACACATTTTGGAGACACTTTTTTTAGGATCTTGTTCAGTTTCAGTAAGAAAAACTACAACAGAATTGTAAACAAAGCTAAAAGTATTCATGAATTTCAGAAAAAGTAAACGACTTATTTGTGTATAAATTTCAAAACAAAACAATCCAATAGTAAAATAAAATAGTCAAACCCTATCAGGGGCAAGTCATTGCTTCCTTGAGCAAGAAACTTTACACTCATTGCTCAGTACTGGTTGGTTCCAGGAACGGATTCAAATGTGTGTCTTTAAGCTTATAGCTTCCTACACAATCAAACTAAAATAAATTCTGTATAAAGTAATGTTGGGTATCGGACTCGAAAATCACTATCTATAATCAGACCACCACAATCGATTGTCTGCCGATAGTATAATCAAGTTTCGCATTTACTATGACCCCTTTTTCTTAAAGTACCAATCCTTGGATGTATTTTTTTCTACAGTTGTGACTACATTTTGAGAATAAATAAACTTTTGTCTCCAAGATTAAAGTAAGATAAACTCTTGTCTCCAAGATTAAAGTAAGATGTACTCTTTGAATCCAAAACAAAAAACACAAATACCTTATACAACTTTGTGACAGGCAATTTTTGTATTATACAACTTTATCGATTTTTAAAAAGGACTATCGATTGTCGCCGATTTTGAGGTGGTCCGATTAGTTATCGATTTTTAAAGACAATCGGGACAACACTAGTATAAAGCAATAGTCAAAAAAATATATAACATGAAAATAAACCTAAGGGTATTGAATACAGTACAATAAAAGTTCATGTATCAAAGTACTTCTGTTTGAACTATTAACATATGAGCCGCGTCATGACAAAACAAACATAATGGGTTAGCAACAAGCATGGATCCAGACCAGCCTGCGCAGTCTGATCAGGATCCATGCTGTTTGCTTACAAACTCTATAACAAGTAGAGAAACTGATAGCGAACAGCACGGATCCTGATCAGACTGCACGGATGCGCAGGCTGGTCTGGTTCCATGCTGGTCGCAAACCCACTATGTTGGTTTTGTCATGGCGCGGCTCATATATAGCATTTCATAAAATCAAAAATGACCTCTCTCTTATAAACAACAAAACTTACCTTTTCATGCTCGGTAATAACTGATCATTGAAGAACTGTGGACCTACTTCCTGAAGACACACTATATCTGAATCTAGATACTTCAACTCTCCAATAACATTCTTCAATCTGTACTCGGGTTGTAAGTACTTGGACTCAGTGAAACTATAGTCATTCTTAAACAAATGACAATCAGCTAGAATATTGTAACTCACTAAAGAAAATTGCTTAGAATTGTCTGATGAACCACTAAAAGTTGGATTTGGGATGAATGATCGGTTGAATATTGGATTGGGAAGACTGGTCTGAACCTCAGCACTATCTGAAGCTGGAACATCGCCCATTTCAATAACAACATAATCTTTTTCCAAGTCTCCCTGTGTACCAGAACCATTTTCCTGAATATCATCTTCTGTTGCTGATAATCTAACCTTTTTATGAGGTGATGTGTCATCTATCTCCTTGGTTTCAACATCATCGAATTTTCTCTTAGTCGGACAGTTTTCAACATATTTATCTTCCTGACTTACGAAATCAATTACTTCAATTTCATCATTACCTGCATTGGTATTAGTTGCACCATTACCCTGGACATTGTTTGCTACTGTTTCTATTTCTTCAATATCATCATCTGAAATTTCTTCAACAGTGGACACTTTATTTTTTGGTTCTATATCACCAGCACCCCCACGTTCAACATCATCACTGTTTGTCAAATCATTAATAACAGCTGGCTCCTCTTGTGTAATTATAGCTTCACCAGAATCCTCATTTAAGTCTATTACTTTCTGAGGCATGTCATCAGATTGTTCGCTAATATCTTCAACACCTTCATTTGAATCATCGTCAATTAAATTAATTGATGCCTCCTTAGTTACCACTTCATTTGCTTCAGTTGAATTTTCCTTAGCAGGTTCTTCTGCTTCATTTAATTCAACATTTTCTTCTACTTTATTATCATTTTCAAGAGACTGTGAATCAATTTCATCAACTGTTTCTTTTACAGTTTCTGTGTTTTCTATCATTTCTTTAGATTTCTCCTCTTCTGAATCCTTCTCATCACTTGCATCTTCTATAGTTTCTGTCTCCATTTCTTCTTCTTCTTCTTCCAATTTAGGATTTTCTTGTGTTGTTTCATCAGATTTTCCTTCGGATTTTTCATTAATGTCTTTGGTTTGCTCTTCTGTCTTTTGGTCCTCTTCAATACTTTCATCTTCTTTTTCAACACTATCTTCTTTTTCAACATTATCATCTTCATTTACAGGTTCCTTTTCATCAATTTTCTCTTCATCTTTTTCCTCTTCCTTTTCTGCAGTATCTATTTTTTCTGCAGTTTGATCTGTTTCATCTAAACCTTCTTCTGTTACTTCACCTTCTGTGTTTTTTGCAACTGCATCTGATTTAGAATCTTCCTCAGCAACATCTTCTTTTCCTTCTTCAACTGATTTATCTTTAATGTCCTTTTCAGCTTTTTCCTCTTTTTCCTCTGCAGTATTAACCTTTGACTCATCTTCAACAGGCTCAGTATTTCTAGAACGCCTTGACCGAGAGCTTGTAGGAGGTGATTTGGTATTCTTTACTGGTGTTGATTTTGTGGTTTCTTTCTTTGAAGCTGGTTCTTGCTTCTTTTGCGGGGATTGTTGCTTTTGTTTTGGGGAAGGCTTTTGTTTAGGTGTAGGCTTCTGCTTTGGAGCAACTTCAGCTTTCTTGGGGGTTGCTTTTGTTTGCCTAGGAGTAGCAGAACGTCCACGTGGAGTTGCCTTTTGTTTGGGAGTTTCTTCTTTCTTCTTGGGGGTTTCCTCTTTCTTCTTAGGAGTACTAACTTTTGGACTGGGTGTTACTGCTTTACTCTTTGGAGCTTTAGAATTTTTTGGAGTTCCTGGTGCTTTTGCTCCTCTTGAGGAACTTCTAGACTTTGTCTCTGTAGTGTTTTTCTCTACTTCTTGAACAACATTTCTGGTAACTCTCCCTTAAAGAAAAGAAATGTACAAAATGAAATCTCCTTTAAACTGTGAAAGAAAATAGTCATTTAGCCAAGGTTTTTACTAAAGAAAAGATCATTAGCTTATGAGTGTTTTATTTTTAATTCATATATGTGAATAACAATATACTCCCGTGATAGCAAAGTTACAAAAAGCTTTCATGAAGAAAAAAATATGCCTTAATTACAGGCTGTAAATTGGATAGATGATGATTTTCCATAGAATACGGAAGAAAAAATCCATCCTTCAAAATTTATCCTACAAAACCAATATTTTCACACAAAAGTTTCTTCTAAAGGGGCGTAACTGTATCAATAATGAGTAAATTCAAACTAGAACTGCCACTATCATGGCGTGAATACCCCCGCATACCACTTTGTCAGAATCAACAGTGGCCATTTAGAGCTCAAGGACAACCTCCCTGCCAAATCTGAGGTTACTAAGCCAGTGCATTGCTAAGTTATGTATTCTACATGCTTCAAATGTGAAAATGTCAAAATCAATACATTGCGGACAGGACATTCTTTAGCAATTGAGAAGAAAAACTTTTTTTTGTCAAGGTCCCTGTGACCTTGACCTTTGACCCAGTGACCTCAAAATCAATAGGGGTCACCTTATAGTCATGATCAACATCCATGCCAAATATGAAGACTGTGGGTCAAAGGAATCTTAAGTTAATGGGTGGACAAACTTTTTGAAGTCAAAGTCCCTATGACCTTGACCTTTGATCCAGTGACCTCAAAATCAAAAGGGGTCATATACTAATCATGACTAACCTCAATTCCAAATATGAAGACTGTGGGTCAAAGGAATCTTAACTTATTGGGCGGACAAGCTTTTTGAAGTCAAGGCCCCTGTGACTTTGACCTTGTGACCTCAAAATCAATAGGGGTCATCTACTAATTATGACTAACCTCCATGCTAAATATGACGACTGTAGGTCAAAGGAATCTTAAATTATTGGGCAGACAAGCTTTTTGAAGTCAAGGCCCCTGTGACCTTGACCTTTGACCTGGTGACCTCAAAATCAATAGGGGTCATCTACTAATCATGACTAACCTCCATGCTAAATATGACGACTGTAGGTCAAAGGAATCTTAAGTTATTGGGCAGACAAGCTTTTTGAAGTCAAGGCCCCTGTGACCTTGACCTTTAACCTGGTGACCTCAAAATCAATAGGGGTCATCTACTAATCATGACTAACCTACATGCCAAATATAAAGACTGTAGGTCAAAGGAATCTTAAGTTATTGGGCGGACAAGCTTTTTGAAGTCAAGGCCCCTGTGACCTTGACCTTTGACCTAGTGACCTCAAAATCAATAGGGGTCATCTACTAATCATGACTAACCTCCATGCCAAATATGAAGACTAAGGGTCAAAGGAATCTTAAGTTATTGGGCGGACAAGAAAAAACCGACGGACAGCCGGACGGCCGGACAGCCGGACAAGCTGATTCCAGTATACCCCCATTACAACTTTGTTGTGCGGGGGTATAAATATATCATATAGAGACAATTGGACAGTCACTTGGACAAATAGAATGCCATACAATAATACACTGTACATTCCTAAGACACATTTCTACAGGTCCAGGGCTTTTTTCCCCCTGCCCTTAAATTAGGGAAAAATTGCACGATATATATTTGCAAAAAGGGAAGAAAATTCAATTTTTGGGGAAAACTGCATGATTTTAAAGAATATTGCTTTGGGGAAGCAGTCCTATAACAGCCCTTGCTATAGAAGGGGGAAAAAACCAGAGGTCTATAAAAATAAATAAAAATAAATTGTTTTTGATTTGTCTAAATTTGCTTAACCAATGCCAAACCTTCTCTAATGTCTGATATCTTATACACCTTTCTCTGATGTTATACATTTGCCTGACTTTGAATTCATCACAGTTTGAGTAATTTTAAGTAAATTTATACTATTTTGAAATGTTTTTATGCTCTCAAGGTAAAACATGTACTGCTTTGTATAGTCACATTTTCAAGCGTAATGAAGTTTGGTTGAAATTCCTTGAGAATTGTTGTAGTTGAGGTACTGTACAAGTTTGGTTGACATCCCTTGAAAAATGGAGCAGTGGTACACAGAAGAATATTTTATGCCAAGCAACCATCAACATTCACCAATCTTATAACCAAAGTTTTCATTGAATAATTGTACCTTTCTGATTACTGGCACTCCTACTAGTTGGTTTTGCTTCCACTGGCTTTGGTTCCTCCTTCTTCCTTGCAGCTGATCTACCTCTTGCTGGCCTATATATAGAATGATGCATACACATACATTAAGTTTCATTCTCCAATTCAAACATTACATAATACATGATTTTAATTTGCACAATGTTGAGTAATTAACTATTGTTCAACCTTTTTTCTACAAATGTTTTACCAATCAAATTGAAACTAGGTTCAATGAATTAAATTAAAGTGTATAATTATATCTCTGCTGAATGCAGTTTACAAAATTTTTATTTGAATTAAATAAATGTTTGTAAGAAATATGTTGGTATATTTTCTTATTCTATGAGTGAATGTAATATATACAAAATCATTGCTTAAACATTAAAATCCTACTTAAGGACGTTTGTAGGAGTTTTCATATATATAGACATATAAGCAAAATTAAAACTGTTCAATAAAATTTCTTAAAACTTTCTATTATCATATTCTTTCAACATCATTTACATGCCAAGTTTTATGAAATTCTATTGAACAGTTTTAATTTTGCCTATATGTCTATATGAAAACTCTCGAAAACGTCCTTAAAACAGCAGCATAATATAATCAAAATATTATCACCTTTATTATATTCACAACTTACCTTGTTTCTGGCACTGGACTTGGGCTCACTGTTCTTCCTTTCTTTGCAGAAGCTGCTCTTTTGGGAGCAGGAGATGGGCTAGGACTAGCTTTTCTCTTATTTCCAGCATTTGGCTTACTATCTGTGGAAGAAGAAGCACCTCTTGTAGACCGTCTAGTACCAGCTTCTGGTTCTTTAGTTCCCGCCTTCTTCCCAGCAGAGGCATTACGCTTTGCTGGCATGGTTACAGGTTCTAGTACTTGTAATATCCTTAAAACTGTAAGAAACAGAAGAGGTCATTTATTTCAGTAAGTGAACAATGCCAATCAAACAGTTAAGCACATTACTAGCCTTGACTTCTCTTGCCATTAAATAGAAAAACAATAGCTGCCAACAGGCCTATATTTATTCTATACTGATATACTTACTACCTCTACATAGAGGCATTCCTAATGCCAAAACATTGTGCTTATTTCTCCAAAGGAAAAGCATGAAATTCCCAAACATCAGTCTGCATAAATGTTGTTGCTAATTTTCTAAATGAAAAAGTGTTTTCATTCAAAAGTTCCCACTGGCTTTTTAAAGTGGATTCTTACATGTATACCTGCTTCTGTCTAATTTTGGGGTTCACATATATACCTAAATTTTGGCAGAACAAAATAATATTTACCTTCATATTCTTACTAACAACACAGATAATTTTGTTACAGTGATTTACTGTTTGAATATTGTCTAAGCCATGGTAATACAATTTGCCATTTAAAATTGCTATGCAGGGATTCGGTTAGTGGGTGTTTGGGAGTCATTTACTCCTTGATTTTGGCTTGTGACTTCCAAAATGAAAATGTTCCTTCTTTACCTACATAACATGACATTTGGGTGTCAGACAACTTGCAGTCTCTGACTTCCAAATTTTGGAACTTAATGGAAGCCCTGAACTATGTATGAATTATTTACATATGAGCAGGTGTGGAAAATAGTGATGGTAATTGTGATCAGACTAGAGCGCTCCTCAGTACAAGAATGTTACCCAACTATTTAACCTAAAGGTGTTTTTCGATTGAATAAAAGAATATACAACAAGGACATGTTATTGTTCTAAAAAAAAAGAACAGACTGGGTTATAGTTGACAAGTGTCATATTTTGATATCCGAAACAATGCAAATATTTTGATTAGTAGTGCTTGGAATTTTTTCCAACTTGAAATTAAGGCAGTAACAAACCACTAAACTCACGCCAGGTTATGTTAGCCTAATGAAATTCTGGTACAGTTATTTGCCCGACCTTGTATCGCCGACCAAATTCATGAGCTTTGAAATTCTATTCATACAGTAATTAATTGTTTCATTTTAATATTAAAAACTTTATTCTAACCAACATAAATTTACAGTCTTCCAGTTCCAGTCAATGGCTGAGGCCACAATATTTAGCACAGGTCCTGTGATTATTGATATTTTTAATTTTATATGGCATCTTTATTTATTTATGTGATTCTTTCACAATTTAAGTGAATCAATGGGAACTCTGAATATCTTGAAATTCATTAATAAACTTTTTAGAAAGAAAAAAAAATACATCTAGGCCCTCCTTAGGATCTAGATTCTTTAAAATAGTGTTAATATTTGGAAGTTATACAACAATTTCTTCCTCAAATTCCTTGCATTCGCAAATTGTAATGAAAGGACTCCCTTTCAAATAATACAAGAGCTGTCCGTAAGACAGCGCGCTCGACTTTTTTATTGCTTGCCAATAAAAAAAGTTTTTGCAGTAAAAGGCAATACAAGAATCTCTGTATTTTTAAAGTGAACTAATTGTTTGATACCCTTGAATATTACAGCAATGTTTATATGACATAATTTATGGTAAAGTGAACAAGTGGATAGGAATGAATTTTTTTAGATTTTTTAAGTTTTTTAGTGCTTGCCTATAATACAAAACATTGACAGTTAAGGGCCATAATTCAAATAAAATCTTTGACAGAATTACCTTCTCCTGGACATGTTTGGGAATCATGATTGTAAACAAGTATTCCAACTTTCAAATTAATATCTCAAACAGTTCAGTCAAAAAGTGGACTGGTACTAAAAACTTAACCAAGATTCTAAGTCGATAAAAGGCCTTAATTTTTAAAACAAATCCTTGACAGAGTTACCTTCTCTTGCGTACAGATGGGGGTAATGATGTGAAATAGCATTAAAAGTTTCAAAGCAATATCTCAAAGGGTTAAGGCAATAAGTGGATTTTACCCATATTCAATGTATTTTCTAAGTCAAAAAGGGGCATAATTCTGTCAAAAACCTTGACAGAGTTATGTCCTCTTGTCTGTTGATGAAGGTCGTGATGGTAAACAAGTATGGTCAGTTTCAAAGCAATACCTCCAATGGTTTTGAAATAAAGTGAGGTGGTACAAAAAACTTAACCAAGCTCAATACACTTTCTAAGTCAAAAAAGGGCCATAATTCTGTCAAAAACCTTGACAGAGTTATGTACTCTTGTCTGTAGATGGAGGTTATGATGGTGAACAAGTATGGTAAGTTTCAAAGCCATACTTGTAATACTTCTGAAATAAAGTGGGGTGGTACGAAAAACTTAACCAAGGTGTGACGCCAACGCCGACGCCGACGCCGGGGCGAGTAGGATAGCTCCCCTTTTCATAGAAAAGTCGAGCTAAAAATGGTCATTTTCAGGTCTAGGAAAGTTGTATTATTATCATTTATGATGTTTGCCAAACTACAACTGGGCAGCACGAAATACCCAAATATACCCAAATACACCCAAATATTGCCCAAATATACCCAAATATTGCCTAAATATACCCAAATATTGCCCAATTATACTAAAAATATATGTTTTATACTAAAAAAGTGTTGTTTTAATCATGAATACAATATACACTTTCACTAAGATTTAATCAAACCATTTTCCTATCATTTATAGAGTATATGTACACCATTAAAGCTATAATTCTTTTAAATAACATGGACACTTGTATAATTATGATATGAAATTTCAACAAAATTACACCTTAAAAATGTAAGAGTAGACAACAAATATCATATCTTGATTTAAAATTGCAAGTACTTTCATAAAGAACCTATATAGTAGATAAGCAAATGTCACAACTTTATTTTCTTACAACATCTTAACTGCCCATTTCAACGGAATGAATGAAAGTTATAGCAGACTAAGTCATATTATTTTATAAATATTCATTTATTTCCCATTATAATCTATTTTTTATACAAACAAAAATAAATATTGCTATATTTGGGTGTATTTGGGTATATTTGGGTATTTCGTGCTGCCGCTACAACTTTCCTAAACCTGATTTTAACATTTTACTGTATCCACTGTATATTTGATTATGTTATCAAAGGGTCATTGTTTGTGTTGATGCATCATTCAACATATAGTTGTATTGTGCTTTGCAGCAGAACGGCATGTGTAGTCACAACTCGCATAACATTGAATTTTGATTGTTTAGTATCCAACAAAGCAGAATTAAAAGAAAAAATACAATTTTTCTAACCATTGTGGTGCACTGCAAAGTATGTAAATATATTGTCATTAAAAAAAAACGTAGTTTTGTTAGTGTGTCTAACTTTACAACCGTCATTTTGGCAAATGCATGTTTGCGCGCAATTCAGCGTTTAAAAGAACAAGGAAAACAGACAAAAACTGCCGGTCAAGAAAGATGACATGATTGAGAAAATGACAGTGTTGTGCGATTCAAAAGTATCATATAGCTACGCAATTATTTTTTTACCAATGCATTCATCAATTGCTTACTCTTTTATTTCTTTACCTAGGAGTAAACTTAGTTTTTATCATTCACACAACACGATTTTCGTTCTAAGCCGCCATCATGCGCAGGAATACTTCTTCCGGTGCGTTCGATGTTGTTTTAATTTTACCTTAAAACGTGTAAAAAAAAATCTCTGATATATCAAATTAAAATAAATTTTTGAATAAAGATTTACACTATAAAATCTATAAGATAACGCATAATTTGTCTGCTGATTTTTTTTCAGCAGTAAATATCAAAGTGATAACAGAACTTAGGCTTTAGATCACTAATTTGTTTTCAACGCGAACGATACTTATCTTGAAAGATTTGATTTGCAGTATGAGATCACAGTTTATGTTAACAATGTGTTATGTTATTTTGGAAATAAAAAAAAAATATTGAAATATTAATAATAAAAAAGATATTATAAAAAGGATATGTTTGTATTTTTTTCTGGCTATGGAAATAACAAACTTTTTGTAATTTTGGTAATTAAATATGTTTTCACAGATATATAAACAATCTTATAAATAACTCCATGATGTTTTTATGTGTTTCTATTCAATAACAGCTGATTTAGTATTCTTTTCCAGGTTAAAATTTTAAAAAAATGTAATTATATTTACAATGTGTTTGTAAATTTTGTAATAAAATATGTTTCTTATCATGTGTCTTTATCTAATAATTTTAAGTAATAATGTTTTCCATCGACAGTTTGAAAACAGGTGTGAAAAGTTCGTATTTGAACACGTGGCGAATCGTTATTTAACTGTGGCGAATCGTTAATACTCTGTGTCGAATCGTTATGTGGCGAATCGTTAGTGTGGCGAATCGTTACTAATCACAGGTCCCTCACCGCTGTAGGTTCGATCCTCACGCGGGTCGAAATCTTTCATGTGAGGAAGCCATCCAGCTGGCTTACGGAAGGTCGGTGGTTCTACCCAGGTGCCCGCTCGTGCCTGAAAAAAATACCCGGAGGGGCACCTGGGGTCTTCCTCCACCAATAAAGCTGGAAAAAATCGACGAAAAAATCTCGGAGGGACGCTCTAGGATGGCCCGACTTGAGTGTACGGTCGCCCATATGGGCTTTCCGGCGGCGACCTTAAATAAACGCATTAAAAATAATTGCAGTATGAAGTGTTCTGGGATCTAGTTTCATAGGTGTACCGCTGAAGGGAAGAAGGAGAAGCGAAACAAATCTGCTTGTTAGAATATCACAATGCATTTGAGAACATATATCTCTATAATAATGTTGATGTTTGAACTGGGCATATTTTTACAAGATTTTTTATGAGTTATTGAGTATAACGAAAAACAAAAGTGGGTTGATTGAAACAGAGACTTATAATAAATATATAAAGCTCTGTGATTGAGCGAGAGGAGCTTATCTTTTCTTTTTTTTTTTAAAATATTCTTAGTGTTATTTGGGTTACTGATTCTTATCAATAACCTAGGTGTTACTTACAGTATCTCTGATATCGTGTGTCAAAACCTTGCAATGACGGTCTGTCTCATTTCATAGTTTTGACAGTGTCCGCCACGGACAAAATTGATGCAAACTAATATGAAAAAGTGTTTCCATGATGAAATTGGCTGTTGAAAATATTTGATTTTATTATATAAGATGAATACCATTTTACCATGGTTTAATTATGTAAAAGTCCGATTTTAGCTGATAAGTTTGTTAATAATTGGAAAAGTCTTGAAAGTTATTGTATCATCCCTTCATTTTTAGCAAGTTGTAAAATTTAGAATTAAAGATCAATTTGTACAAAGCTTGTATTCTACAAAGTCTGATTAGCGCATAACTAAAAGATAATTCAAAACAATCTCTTCAATTTGCGTCTTAATTTTAAAGTTTGCCTAAAAACCTTTACTTAGCTCTGTGTCATTTAAGCTGTTGTCATCATACACTACCTACTAAAAAGTGATTTTTCAACTACCGTCCACGAAATGGCTCAATCAAGCAAAGCTTGCAACATTTTTTCACCTTTCGTATTTTTCTATTTTATAGTTAAAAATATAATCTCAAATTATGCCATTTGTGTCACAAAAATGCTTTAGTTGATAGGTTTTATTGCATATTTGAATTTACTGATGTAACATAATTGATAGCACAATGCTTATTTTTATTCACATGTTGGGCTTGGGAGGCTCGCTATATTTTTAGATTTGGCTTCTGTAACTATGCCAAGTCGGTATGACGTAATATATTCGTCCAGGGCAGACGGACGTAACTCATTTGCATAGTACCGCTTTTCTTAATTTGACGCTAGGTTCATGCTCCCAAGCAATTCGATCATTAATATTTAGATTACAGGAAATATATGTCAGTATGACGTATGCAGGAATGATGAAATCTATCTACAAATATGGAGATATAGTGTGGGTATGCGACCACGACTATCAGGTTGTTATAGTCATGTTTTCGTCATGATAGATGCATCAACTGTTGAAACTTGGTTACCAAATAGTTGATTTCGTAATGTAAAATCCATCTGACGTGGATAGGAAACCAGGGGAACCGCCAAGTCAAAATCACGCAGTAAACATTTCCCAACTTTCTAGGTTATTTCATCAGCCACCGTTTGTTATATAAACAGTGCTTTTCTCTGTGCAAGAGAGAGGGGATTGTGAGAAACACATTGATACTTATAGAAAATTTTAGAAAATACTTTGACAGTTAAACATACGGAAATACTTGCATTTAAAAGAATTTTTATCAACAAGACATTATCACTATATGTTATCGAAACAGATTTATGTAATAAAAAGATAGACTAGACTCCGACTTTAATGCTTGTAATAATAATAATAATAATAATAGTAATAATAAGTCACTATGTAACACTGACAGACGCAAATATACCTCTCCTGTACAGCCAATATACATAAATCTTAAAAGTTATTTCACTGTGAAGATATAAATCTATTTGTTAAGTTAGTGAAAACAAAATGACATTGTGAAATAAGTTCTATACCGTTGGCTCATTTAGCCTAAATCTTTAAATTTTAATCTTGGCTCTCGGGGTTGAGAGTTCGCGGCTCTGGGATGGATATTGGGCATGTCACTTTGAAATTATACAGTTTGATTGTTAACTTTGAGTTTTCTTTGAGTTTTTCCTTTATAATTACATAGTGTTGTCATTTGATATGCTTATGTCTGTATATGCATTGTTTTGAAAATAAAATCTAGAAAGTTTGAAATGTAGGCAAACCATATATATCGATACCAATAAAATTCATATTCAATTTAAAAAAATGTAACGAAAATGTAATTAAAAATAATGGAGACAACACAGCAAAAATGAAAATGTTGCAGACCCCATTTGAGTGAGCCTTTTCATTGGCGACACTGTTTAACTACTGTCCATGCCCTCCAGCACCAATTTAAGTATAACTTAAGTGTTAGAGACGAATTTAAAAACACGCAAATATGTTCGAATATTAAAAAAATAGGAAGTTTCACTTTAACTTAAAGGTAAATTATGTAACTGGTACTTGACGACAGAAAATAATTTATTCTTTATCATTGAACAAAAGAAAAAAGGCTTGTTCGTCAATACATAGTGCTTCCCCTTCCAGTAGGACAGGTCCTTCTGTTTCATTGCATTATAAAAGCATCACGTGGTCTTTTTCAGAGTGAAATTGTCTGTTCGGTTATAGCCCATTACAAACTCAAAGCAGACAACGTCCTGTTGTTAACTTGTTAGTTATTTTACAAGCGAGCGTTATATAGTGAGCGACCACGGTATTTTCATTGTTAAAGAGTTTTGACGGCACATTTCATACAATAAAGTTGGCATTATGTATGCAGATCTTCATTTAGCTCTGAGGGATAGATTCTAATAATGAGAAATTCTACATCAGCAGCATTTTAAATACCTATACGATTTTGTTTCTGGGAACTCTACTAATCTATTATATAATATATCTAAATAAAAAATATATAAGATAAATCTAATAAATCCTCTACTTGGACTACTGTTTATAACCATATCTATATAGTTAGTGTTGCCCTAGAAAGAATTCTAATAGGCTAAACAAAGAAAGAATTTACAATTTATATGCATGGTTTGCCTCAAGATGTTTTTATAAAAATATTGTTAAAACAACATTGGTCGTATTAAAGAACAAACAGTATTAAATACAAATACATTTATTGTCACAAAATTCTATCTAAAAAACTATATTTCTGGATCAATATTTTACATATATTGTCTTGATATTTCTTCTTAACAAAGATAATTTCAAACAATATACGTACAGGCACGGATTTATATGTGATATAAATCCGTGGTACAGGTACAGTTCACTGCCAACTTTTTCAATTTCTGTTTGTAAGTGATCCTACTTCTGAATAACTTTATAGTAATTCAGTCCTTAAAATTTTTATTAACTAAACAATCTATATCCTAATTTAGGTTTTTAATAGCGAGCTCGACGAGCTGGCCCGAAGGGCCTGCTCGCAAAGCGAGCTTTACTGTAACGCGAGTACCTGCTAAGTGATGGTTTTGAATGAAAGAAAATGGTCTAACTAAGAAAATGAATCCGAACACCAATATCTTTTATTCAGTCGTTAACGCTGTACAGACGTTTAAAGTATTGTTTACGTGACGTCACAATTAGCGCCCAAACAGCACGTGCAAAACAAACAAATCAAGTACGCTATTTTAATGTCGCAAACGTTTTAAGTTTTACATTTATTTCACTTAAAATAATCTTTATTTTCGCTTGAAAAATTATAGAGTGAAATAAAAATAAACAAAGTTTTATCAACGTTTTCAAAACTCGTTATTCATTTCACGACAGGGACGGGGCCATATTTAACACAAGTACGTGTGACGTCACATGCACTCGTCACTGCATTTGAATTTCATACTATTTCACGTAAAAAAGTACATCGAGCTCGCTTTGAGGCTTTGCCTTTTTCAATATTAGAGGGTCGAGTTGACCTGTGCCGAGTTGACTCGTGCCAAATTGGTATAGGGCCGAGTTGACCCTTTACTGGCTAAACATGTTAAAATATAGGTAAAAGACCCTTTACCGGTAAAAGATTTGTGTCAAAACATTTAGTTGTATTCAACCTCAAACGAGTCGAACACAGCCAGATTTTAGATATTTTGAGTTTTTTTCTTTGTGTGTCTTTTTGTTAAAAAGATTCCAATTTATAAATTTATGAGAATAAATAATAGTCTATCTTCATAATAATTGTTAAATCACATACATACAAAAAAAATAAAATATGACTGGTTGTAGAATTTTTTGTAACCGAGCGAATAAAGTGTGACCAGTCTAAACAAACCCACACGATCTCGAAACGAAAAGTTGTTTTGCTTAAAATGCAAATAATTCTATTTCTTAATTGTAGAATTTGAAGGTAATATTCACAGTTGAAAAAATGTTGATGTTGTGGCTCGATGCCAATGAAATGCCGAACATGCACGTCTAGAAAATCACAGAAATGTTTTACATTTATCGATCCGTGAAATATCCGCCATTTTTGTTCAAGTAACTCCTTTCGATTTTGAATGTTTGCTTATAATTTTCTACAAAACATGTATTAATTAGCATTGACATGCTGTCAAAATTTCTATTATTATTTGCAAAATATTCCTTACTATATTTGACTTTTACCAGATTGCAAATGTCGCTGTTACTGATGTTGATTTCTTTTCAAAATATGTACCCCACCCACATATATTTATCACTATCAGTCCACTCATGATATTTTAGGAAATCCGAATAGTTTGTAATCATTCTAATTGAAGGAATAAGCTGTGTATTTGAATTTTTAAAAATTAATGTAGTATTTTATTTGTAGAAGTTATATTAAATTTATTGTTGAAATATTTATATGAAATCTTTGGGACAAATATTTTATGAGACTGTAGGATTAGGAAGCTATACTGTAATTATTTGCTTAGTGTGTTCAATTATTATTTACATTATATAGGTAAAGTTATGCGATACTTTAAACATTTGTAACTTAATTAGGTAACAATGTATTATTCTTTAGCACTTCCTTATTTAATTTTCAGAAAATTAGTAGGCTATGACTCATATGGGAATTTCCTTTTTGTGATTTTGATTATGGCTGTTTGGATATTTGATTACTTCACATTAATTGCATAATTTCAAAAGTATTAAATGTTACATTAATTTTTATTTTTAAATAAAGTACTAAAATATTATGTTAACTGATTTATTGTTAAATTTATAATTAGCTCTGTGAGATATTTTTGATAACTTAAAAAGGAATGTGCTTAAAATTTTAGAAATATTTGGGTAGAATTTTTTTATTACAGGTAATACAAGACAATGGCAGATAGATCCCCAACTCCTAAAAAGGTACTAAATTTAAAATTTGTTTTGGTCATTAATATGTATCATGATGAGCTTGTCAGGGAATGCGTTTAAACTTTAAAGGTGTCATTGACTTTTCTGATTTTGTACAACATGTTTCATTTATATTGATACCTTTTTTTTTTAATTGAACAAATTTTATGATCAATTCTAAACAATCGTAGTACAAGTAACAGTAAGATATTCTTATTTTGTTTTAACAGCATTGAATGTTCTTTTGTTTGGATGTTTTATTTAATGTATAGTTGTTAATTCAATAAACTTTAATTTTTAGAATATGAATATATCATATAAATGTATATTAATGTTCAAGATAGTTTACAGTTTCGGTCAGTAAAAAAGTACATACGTTTTATGTTGTTTGTTTGATATTTCAGGTGCATTCAGATTCAGAAGATTTGGAAGGTCTCTCAAAGGCAGAGCTTATTGCCAGGTATAATTCTAAGGAGTTGAATCATACAGCTTTATTTAATATTCTGTTAGCAAATTGTTTAATATTTATAATAATAAATCTCATACATTTAAGTGCATAAATTGCAGAAAAGTTTTTTTTTATTGTAATAGATGATATTCGTAACTCAGCAAATTTAATGTGTTTTTTTTTTATCTAATCTGTGCATGCAAACAAACTATTACCATTGTAGCTTCACGCTATTATTTGCAAGAGTGATCAACCCAGTTTGTGTATTATAAATACATTTACAAAGTTATAACTGTAAAAGTTTGGTTTTAAACAAGAATGAGATGGGCAGAAAACTCTCATTTGCAGAGTTTCACATTTGCTCTTAGCCATATTTATCCATAGGCAGTCAATGTCAAATAAAAATGATAAATACGAGTTTAGAACACCAGCAGTCACCAAGAATATAGTAAAACATTTGTTATGAATTTTAGTCTGTTCTATTAAGGTGGTTGAGGTAGTGAATAGATAGACAATATATTTACAATTCTTTTTATCAATATTTCAGACTGAAAGAACAAGAACAATTTATTAAACAGCTTGAGTCAAAAAGAATAAAGCTGGACAAAGGTTTGTTTAAATTAGATCTCCTGTTGTTGTTTTTTTTATTTGCATGCTTTTATTAAGAACTACATGTACTTTGACTATTGTAATTGTATATATGTATTGTATGCTTTAGTAGGTTTAATCAAAAATGACATTAGAAGTAATGATTATCATAGAGTAGCCATTTGTTTGATGATATGCCATTCTTATTTTAAAGATGGATTGTACAATAGATTTGATGGGGTCACCAAAGTTTGACAGTGTATTATGGCTTATTTTGTAAGACTAAGCAATATAGTTTGAAAAAAGTACTGCAAAGTTTCATGTAAATATACAAGCCTGATTTTTGTGCAAGATTTAAAGCACTGCGAATCAGCAAACTGGCAAATGTATAAACACTATTATTTATTTGAGAATTGGTTTAAACATATTTTATTCCTCACATAAGCATATTTACATACATGATATTTACAATCAAAACAAGAAAAGGATTAGACTGGAAGCAACCTAATGCTTATTGAAGTCTTTTCCCAATGTACAATAAATATATGTGCTAAATAAGGCGAAATAAATTGTCGTTTGTTGACTAAGAAGGCTGATGTGTTACAACTTGCATCGAAAATGAATAAATAAATATAATATATATCAATTATCTAAAGAAAAGCAATATTTGAGAATTAAAGAGTGTCTTCAACAATAAGTTACATATCAAACATACTATAAAATAAAATTGTTATGTAGACAGGTTGCAATACAGTTTTAACTGTAGAGTTAGTAAATAGGAATGCCAATTTTTATCAGTCTATACCCTGACTTAACTATAAGGTTGTATCATTTTTAGCCGAGGATGATACTGAGATAAATGATCGTCTGAAGCAGCAGCAGAAAGATGCCTCTCGCCGTGAAAATACCCTCGTACACAGACTGACAACTAAAGAGCAGGAATTACAGGACTATGTGGTATGAAAAAGTGTAGTTATTTTTTAGCATAAACTGTAATTTCATTGGTTAGTGCCAGATATATAATTTAGACTATGTTGAAAATTTGTTTTAAATTTGTGAATCGAAGTAAAGAACATATGATATGCTAAATTTATATTAAATGCAATTAACTTTCAATCTTTCATACAAGTTAACTTCATCTGAAGTCTTAAGGAGAACAAGCTAATATTCTTTTTTGGTCACACTTTTGGGGCAGATGTTGATAAACTGAAATAATAATTTAGTGTAGTGAACCGTAATTGAAAATTTTGAATTCAGGCCATATATCAATATGATACAATATGCTTTTGTGATATTATAGTTCATATAGTATAACAATGGAGAAAAGGTTATTGAGTGAAATTTAAGATTAGTACTATGAAAAGGTATTTAATATTATTACTTTTCTGGCTTTCAGAACCAGATTTCTGAGCTAAAACATGCGCAAACACAAGGAACAACTCAGCTGAAATCTATGTTACTTGATCCAGCAGTCAACATCGTGTTTCAGAGAATGGCTAAGGAAATGGAAGAAGCACAGGAAAAACTTAAACAAACCCAAAACGAACTAAGTGCATGGAAGTTCACTCCTGACAGGTGCTTATCTCTCGATTTGGTAACTTTTGTAACTTAGGAAATCACCGGCAGGGAAATATTGACTGAAATCTACAGCTTGTTGTCGCTTGAAGGGAACGAGATGCGTAAGCCAGCCAGAAATTGAACACTTTGTGGCGTTAATCGCGAGCTGACTCTTTCCCGAGTTGCTGGCCAATCACGTCACAGTATTCATGGCAGGCCCATCCCCCCTCTATAGACAAGAGAGCTTGTTGGCTCGGTAACTGTAACAATACTGTCAAACACTGGGGAAAAACATGGTGGTAAACTATAATTGTTGTGATGCTGATCCTTTTTCACTGTAGGGAACAATTTTTCTGAGTGTCATTTCATAATGCATCTGGTTTTTGACACACGTAAAAAAGAACGGAAATTGGTTGTTAAGAAAGTCTTGATCTTATGTACAGATGCGTAAATACTTTTAAAACTTTTCTTGACTATAGCCAAGGTTTGACAATATTTTAGATAAAATATCTGATATAGCAAAGCACAATCCAGCTTGACTTTAAAATCCTGCTTACAAACTTCTCACACCAAATATTTTTCCAGCATATCAAGACTATTATCTTATTAAAATCTGAGATCTTTGCTAAACATCATCACTATATAAATGACTAATAAATATTGCTATGGAAGTTGAAAGAGTTCAACTAAAAGACATTATCTAGTTAACCTGGATGTCTTTGATGGAAACTATTGGGTAACGTATTTATTTCTATAGTTGTAAGATGAATTATTTACAGTGTTTTGTTATTTCCATCTTAGATTTATGACAAGAACTTGCTGTCAACTTGAAGACTTTTTTGAATATATATCTCCAACTTTTAAAGATTGAGAATAGAATTGAACATTTGTATTCCTACTGTTTTTGTCAGAAGTTATTTTAAAGTGTTACTGTAAAAAAGGTTCTTTTCACAATACAAAGTTTAACAACCCACAAAATAATGAAATGTTATAGAATAGAATTGATTCTGCGACTTTGATTGGCTTTAAATGTTGATAGATATATATTCATGAAACTTCAAAGAAACAGATTTTTTGTTTTCAAAAACCTTGAAGATAATTTTTTTAACGTTCAAAGATACTTTTTTTGTAAGTTAAATAGCAATTGAAAAACCATACCAAAGATACTTGTGTATAGTCTATGCTTACCAACTATTGATTGTATTTGGCACGGGGGGTTTAAAAACATAGCTAGCTTGGTGTTATTCAGAGGCCTGCTCATGCCTGATACTATGCATGGAGGGGCACCTGAGGTATTCTTACACCAGTAAAGCTGACAAGTTGACATATTGAATTTATGTTGGTGTAACAGAAGCCAATTTGTTAAACTTAAAACAATGAAATAATCTTTAGAAAAATATCAATATCAAAAAATAGCATTGTCTTTGTTTTGTTACTCAAAGGCCATCTGTATTTTACACACATGGTTGTACTACACACAGGTATCTGTGATAATTTGCATGATCATTTCCTTGTTAAAAGAGACATTTCTCCAGCAAAAAGTAAGGAAACGTTTGTGAAAAACTTTAAATATATATCAGTATGTTTTTAGTGGTTTTTTTCTTCACTTATTAGCTTTCTTTTATACCTAATGTATAATATGTTTACTGTTTTATTGTGTAATTAATTTGTTTCTGTCTTGAGAAATGCCCTTATACACTGGAAAGTTTGATTTTCATTATGCATTCAAGGTAATGTAACTCAAGAGTAAATGCAACCAGGCGCCTATTGGCTATTCAAAATCATCTATTTTAGTCATAATGACTTGCTATTGGTGTTTTAAAAGGCAAGCTAGGATGGAATTTCATGTTACAATGCCGCAAATTAATGAATTTTAATCTTAATTATTCTTTCGGGACATAATAATTCCCGATGGAATGCACTTAACGTGTCGAAGGAAGTGAAGTTTCTAAGCGCGTTGAAATGATTACCAAGTGAAGGTGACATTTGAAGAAGCTAGATGCAGAAAATTTGTGTTCTATCTCCATTTGACATGTTGATGAAGAGGCTCCATGTTGGATTAGTCATTATGAGGGAAAAAATCCACAATAAAAGTGATAACGGCAGCTGAATTGAATTTGTAAACGGGCCAAGTAGTTTTCTACTTCATTCTGGAAGAAAGTATACTAGAAGAAAGGTAACAGACTGTCATCTTGTGTGGTTTTCTTTTGAAAAATATCTGTACTCCAAAGAACAAAAGTTGATTATGAAATTTTCTTTAGAAATCAGGAATGGATCAGTAAAGAAGTCTCAGAGAAGAAGTTGAATTTAATTAAACCAGTTTTATTAAGGTGGAATAGAATTGAAAATATTGTATTTATGAAATGCAGTTACTGGGAGTGTCAAAGTTGTTATATTTTATTGCAAAATAGAACCAAAAACATTGTTAAGTTTCTAATGAAATCAGCAAAAAATGTTAAGTTTCTAATGAAATCAGCAAAAAATATGTTCATAGGGAGATGCATGCGGTATTTTTTTCTACAAATTTTCATGATTATTTAAATTTCATATAGGGCAAATATGGTATGTTAATATTTTAACAAAGTTTTTTGGTCTACTTTTGTAGTTCGGCCACAACCTATCATAATATGTAGTTTTAACAAAGTCATGTTTCACATTTGTTTGTGTTTGTTTTTGCTCTATCTTTGATTCAAGGGAAGTGATTCATATGTTTTTGTGTAAAGACACATTGCTTTCAAAAAGCCATTTTCTATAGCATGATTGAAATTTAACCTACAGTGACAAATTGAGCTTCAAACTGAACTGTAACAGACATTTTTTTTCTCTCGTGAATGAGTGTATGGAGATTAGTAGATATAAATATAAACATAAAAAATGTACCTGATGACAATGTGGCCCCGAGAAGGAAAAGGAGTTCTGTTATTTTGGCTGGCAGAAATTTGTCAAAATTGGTACAATGGATGGCAGTGGTAAGTAATTAACTTTTTATGAAATGTAGTTTTTTCAAGGACAAAAGAATTTGTCATCCTGCATTTCTAGTCCATTTTATAAGGGAAGGAAGGTATCTACTAAATGAGTTATAAGTGAAGACAAGATTGTTCTGTTGTCACTTTCTAGGATTTTTTTCAGGATTTTGGGAACATTACCATAGGCATGGAATTGGGAATTTCAGTGATGTTTTGTAAAAAATTGGGGGGAAATGCATGACTGAAATTTTGCAGTGATTAAATAAATGCAAACAATCGCTGTCTGGGATGGCATCTTAAAAGCGTTAAGTTCTTTAGCAGTGAAGAAGCCCTTTTGTTCAAAGAATTTTAACATTGTTATTCAATACTTTTATTTTGTAACTTTCAATTGGGAATTTTTTCCTGTGGATTGGGAAAGTAATATACTATTTCAATTGGGAATATGGGCTATAAAATAAGCCCCAAAAAATAAATAGGTAAATTCCCAGCATGTATTTCAAGGGGACATACATGAATATTTTTGACAAAGGACGTAATTTAGCTTATTGTTAATTACTAAAGAATGGGGGGGTTGCATATTTTTATTATCATTTTAAAATTGTTGCCGAGGCAACATCTTCCTCTTGACAGCATTTTGGAGATCAAAAATAGCTTGAAAAGGAAGAAAATATCCTGATGGAGTATTTGAAACAATAGGGATAAAAAGACATCAATGATAAATTAGATATTTTAATGATGTTTTCAGTCTCGGGAAGTTTCATTCTACATTTTATTTGATCAGAGATAAAAACTCATTATTTACAGATGTCTGAGAAAAAATTAATCGTACCAATGTATGCTCCTGGTTGCATTTACTCTTACCCTGAATGTGTCGGGTACAAGCTAAAATAATTGAAGTATTTACATTCTTATAATTTTCAGTCCCGTAACTAATGTCAAAGTAAATGGACGCTTTGGTCTCAACAAAACAATTCAAAATGTATATTTATATTTTATTCTTCGCTAGTACAGCAGTTGCAATAAGTATGTCCCAATTTTGCTTTTTTCTTAAACAATAATACCAATGTCTACTTGAAATGTCCGGAAAAAAGTTTTGCGCAAGTTACTAATAAAATGTTTTTGATATCCTTGGTCACATTTTCGTTGGCACTGGTTACGAGCTCTGATTGAAACCTTGCATATTTTTGTTATACATAATGTTATAGGAAAGATTATCTTTGCATTGAGTCCTGTCAAAAGCTGTTGTTCTATATGATTTTTGTGCTTTATCTATAATATAATGGGAAGGATTTTTTACCAAGTCTTGAAATATTGACTTGCCAATGTCACCAGTACCCCCCTGTGGCTAAGGGGTTGCCTTTAAGGGTTGAGGCATCAGAATTGCAGCCAGCATTAATCCCTGCGTGATTTTAAGAGTTGGGTTTGAATTATTGGAATTTATGTATCTCTTAGCTCCAGCAGGTGAGATGGTTTTGACCGCTAGTGTTGCTTTAAGTTTGTAACAGCCCACAAAATCATTATTCCCGTTTCGGCGCCATATGACCTAAATTGTGTTGGTGTGCCTTAAAAGCCAATCAAATGTTACCAGTAAAGAGCCAGCCTATCTGCAAGCTGACCAGCTTCATTGCTCATCCACCAGAACTAAACTCTGCTATCATACAAAGCCTTACAGTAGAGCTTGGTCTTTTCATATTTAGAGATTTTCAAAACCTGTGGTTCCCTGCATGAAAAAATAATTACCTGATACATATGAAAAAGATGAAAATCTAAATCAAATGCCCAGCAACTGAAAATGCAGGTGTCGTATAAATTATGCAATGTTTACATCGGCGAATTGCAGGGGCAGTGTGTCTAATGGAGGTGCATATCATGTCACATAAAAGTGTTAATTGCAGCCAGTTATTGGCAGTATCTGTGCATTATTAGAGTTATGCTTAAATTTATTGACAAGCGCTGTGTGACACGTAAAGATATGTACATGCTGTAAGTAAAAATGTTCAGCGATTAAGTTAAAGATTACTTTGCATTAAGTTACAAGAAAATGAAAATCCACAAATTTAAGAACCCACGAAAATGCCCGTTTTGATAAAACCACGAAATTTCATGCCCACGAATATAAGTGAATCCGCAGTAATATCTTCAATGAACTTGTCCATCTATTAATCTGGTCAAAACCATTATTTTTTTAGGGAACACTTTGAAATATTTACTAACAGAATAGCAAACAGTGACCAGATTTGGCACAGATATGCCCACTGATCATAGACTGCACTGGTCACAGGGCCACAAGCATGTTAAGGGGTAATAATTTAAATGACTAAATACAAAGGGAAAAGAACTATGTTGCTTCTTCTGAAGAAGTTGGTTTGATTAGATTCAAAATTGGCTGTAAAGGGGCAGAATGGGATAAAGCATGTTTTGAAATAAATCACTTGATAAAATTTCATAAATAGATTGAATTTCTTCCAAAAGGCATGATAGGTAAAGTGAAAAAATCATGTTCAAACTTCATTGGAGTAGGTGCATAGATTCTCGTTCCATATTGCAAGGTATTTGAAGGCAAGGATCATTTTAGATTTCAAACCACCCCCCAAAAATTGCATGTTATTAAACTATATTTACAGTCAAACAGGGAAACGTTTAATGGCACGATGTCAGATGTTACTTCAAGAGAACGAGGAATTGGGTAAGACAATCGCATCGGGTAAGACTGCTAAACTGGAGGGAGAAATAGCGCTGCAGAAAACACTTGTCACTGAAATGAAAAATAATCAGTCAGGTATGGACAAAGCTTTTATAACTTTTGACAGCATCATTTCCAGGCTTTTCTTATTGATTCTCATTTTTTTGGGCAAAATTTAGTGTAACTGTATAGCATCAGAGATAGGGAGACTATCTCTTCATTATAGACTTGGATGAATTAAAGCAGAAGTTCAGAAATTTTGATTAGATTTATGATGCAATTTTTAGATTTTTACAACAGTTTTTTTTTTTCTAAAGCAGGGGCTATTTAAGAGTAATGTCTACGAATTTTTAGATATTTTTTGCTAAAATTCTATTTGCATCAAGTTGGAGATGGTTTTTTTCCCTCTTGCACAGAATTTCAAAGAAAAGGCCTGCATGATCGAATGTTTGTGCAGATATTGTAGCATTTATACTGTATATAAACAGCAATTCTTTTAAAACTTGCCAATATTAAATTTTGATCTTTTTGGTATCTAAACGATTCTTTATAGAGGAATAAGTGTTCCCTGCTTAGCTCAATAGGGAGAGCATAGGATTTGTAATCAAGATATCTGGTCCAATCTTAGAGCAAGTTAAAATTTCTCAAAAATTTGATTGTAATGGTCATTTGAGCCGCGTCACGACAAAACCAACATAATGCGTTTGCGACCAGCATGGATCCTGATCAGACTGCGCGGATGCACAGGATGGTCTGCATCCATGCTGTTCGCTTACAAACCCTATTACAAGTAGAGAAACCGATAGCGAACAGCATAGATTCTGATCAGACTGCACGGATGCGCAGGCTGGTCTGGAACCATGCTGGTCGCAAACGCATTACGTTGGTTTTTTTGGTGACGCGGCTCATTTGTAGTAGTCAGTCACTCGTGAACAAATTGGTAAATACTGGTAAGTTATACAGGAAAGCCATTGTGGTCAGTTGACTGATGATGTTGTATGACTAAAAATGTGCTAAAATCTTCCTGAAAAAACAATTGATGGAAGAATACTAATGAAATTCAAGTTTCTGTATATTTTTGACTTAATTAACTATGCACATGTATATAAACTAGTAACCCAGTCTTTTTCAGGAACAGAATTTTCAGTTTAAGCTTAATCTTTTTACAATAGTTTTGGGCATCCATGGCCATGTTGTTATGGTTATTGACTCAAAACCACTTGCCTTTCACCTGTGTGGGTTAGAATCCCAACAGGGACTTTGGAATCTTTCATGTGAAGAAGCTATCAAGCTGGCTTACAGAAGGTCAGTGGTTCCACTTATGTGCTAGTTCGTGCCTTAATAACCTTGATCTTCCTCCACCAGTAAAGCTAGAAAGTCGTCATATGATCTATACTATGTTGGTGCAATGTATAAAAAAAGTAAGCTAAGAACTTATTAGTTGAAATTGCTAACGTATTATCTCAAAGTTTACTAATATTAAGTCCTTGTTAAAGCATGCCATAATACATATTTTGGCTCTGTTCTCTCCAACAGGACCGAACAGCTTGCTGCTTTGTAAAAGCTTTTGATATTGAAATCTTGTTATTAATAATGGACAGTTCAAGGATAAGTAGATTATACTGATGTAGCAGGTTCAAGCTTAAACCAAAAGTGATAAAAACTTTGTTCACTGTATTGTGCTTGGCCAGCTTGCCTTTCTGTATTGGTCATGGCGCGGCTCATTTCAGTATCGTCAGGTTATGGTTGAATATTATCTGTTGCTTGTTTACAGAGCTAGATGAGTTCTTGGGCGATCTGGAGGAAGATGTTGAAGGGATGCAGACTATGATCTACGTATTACAACAACAACTACGCGAGTCTAAGGAACAAATAGCCGCCCTAGAGGAAGAGAACAATCGCCTCAGATCTGGCGACATGTCCGTTAGTAAGACGTTACCGAAAAAACCTGATAAATTAGAAGAAAGACCAATCAAAATAGAGAATAAAAATCAAAATGCTTACTCGAGTGACACGGACTACGCTGGTATGGCAACAAGATTTTATCAAGAGAAGACAGATAGTGATCTCGAAGCGGAATATAGTTACGAAGGTATGTATGAAAATGACGACAAATATCAAGAAGAACTAGAACGTCAACAGAGTGTTGAAGCAGAGCAATATGATTATGAGGAAAATGGCTATAAAAACTACGATGACGATTACGATTCGCAAGACTATAAAAGCTCGTACATGGAAACAGAAACGGAGCAGGAAGCAATGGAAACAGACGATACTCATCAAGAAATGTCAAAAGAAAGGACTCGACCGCTAGAAGTCGAAAATAAGTCAAATAATGAACACAGTCATTCTGTGCCAAATGAGACTACACAAGATGTCACAAATTCATCTGTCCATAACACATCCCATAGTCGATCACCAAAGTCCGTAGACACTGCTAGGCAGCATAAAGACGATAAGCAAATTTTACATCAAGAAAAAATAACAGTGACAGAACAGGATTCAAGAGATGTTGAAAATGGCAGAAAAGATACGGTACGGACAGAGTCATGTGGAAAAGGTAATAAAACAGACAGAGAAAGAACTCCTGAGAAATCTAGAATTCCGAGTCCGAGGCCATCTAAAGTTAGTCCAAATAAGAAAGCTGCTACAAAATCCAAGACTTCAGGGAATGAAGGAAATCATAAGACAGACGCTACTAATGGTAGCCCTCCAAAAGACCACAGTCCTAATAGTAAATATACAAAGCAGTTGACAGTCGATGTTAAAGAACGGACAGACGTTTCACAAAGTAGGTCCCCTAGAGACAGAAGTCCTGGTTCCACAGGTAGTTTGAAGGATCGGGAACCAGTTTTACAGAAATTTATGAATGGTGTTACATCAACTGTTGATGATATTGAAGATTTGTAATGTTGTAGTTTTTTTTATCATGTTTAGCAAGTAATTGTTTGTTATCTAGATGCATAATACAGTCCTCACAGTTGTCTATAAGGCTTAACTCGTAATAAGATCTTTGGTGTAAAAAAACCCAAACAAATAAGCTTTATATCATAGCACTAGAATATATTTTGCTCTTAACTTAAAATATTGCAGGACCTTTAAAAAGTTTTTAAAAAAAGTTTCAATCTGATAAAATTTGTTGGTTGTGTTTCATGAATGGGTAGGGGCAGTTTATACCTCAAAATATATCATTTGACTTAAATTATTAAAAACACAAACCCCGCAGGGTCTGAATTACTTTGTTGGTAATTAACTTCAACATGATGTTAAGCCTGAATTATCAAACATTTCTATATAGGCATTGTACCTTTTATATTTGTAGACACTTACTATGAGAAAGAAAAATGACCCAGCTGTCTATTAATTTGTGTCTAGGTAACTGTTTGTTTGAGTGTACACATTGATTTTTGTTATCTTGTCAAGTGGTGATCTCTCTATTATCTGTGTATAATGATATATTTAATATAAAGGTAAGTAAAATGCTGAGTAAATGAAGTGTGATTACAAATGTGCTGATGTTGTGTGTACATGTACAAAGTTGCTATGTAGTGTGGGATTTAAGATTTATAAGTAAAAATGGGCAGTTAAATCAATGTTGTTAGTAAAATATTGCCCAGGTAAGGTTGTCCTGTAGCGTGTAAAATAATGTTTCAGATATAAAAGATAAGTAAAAATTAGTTTTTGCCAGCCCTAGTAATAGTAATATGGCAAGTTTCAAGCAACTTTATCAAAGCCAAATGATTTCTTTAAAAATAGTGTCTCTTAGGTAACCATTTGATATTGCTGATGTGTTAAAATTTTGATTTCTGGATTTTTATTGTATTTTTCTTGGTGCATTTATTGTTATAATACATATTTATTGTAACATCCATTACAGTATCAAACTTTCTTTTCTTACTTTATTTTTTCTATTATTGGAGCCTGAATAATGTGATTGGTTTACATACAAGTTAAATATATAATAGTAATATTAATGATTTTTAAGAAATGAAGCCTATTCCAGTTTTTGTTTTTGATAGGCATGATAATTAAGTTCAGGTTAACTATAGTTGCCTTAGTGCAATAATAAGTTTTCTATTTAATTATGTAAGGAGTTAACCAGTTACTGCACTAAGTTGACAAAATTGCAGTTTAAAGCTGAGAACGTCCATGAATTTAGCAGGTTAAGGATTAAAACCCGAAATTTAAACAGTCATTTTAAAGGACTAGGGGAGAGGGGCAAAGGGAGTTTTAGTGGCAAAACTATAATGCCAAAATATTGTTTGTTGAACTATTACGTGTAGCACCAATTGTAAAATATTATTTCTGATCTTCCATTTAGTTTTATTGCTAATACCAAATTTGTTAATTCATTGTTTTCATACAGTATTTTTTCACGTCCCCAAAAACTTGGGGGGAGGGGGGTATAGATTTACTCTTATCTGTCTGTCAAACTGTCTGTCTGTAAACTGATAAAACAATTGAATGTGGGGGCTCCATATCTTAGGGACACATTTCTTGTTTTCCCATGTATTTCTAAAGCTTTGTTGTGCAAGAAAAACATTTATACACAAGGTACAAGAAATATTTTTCATTTTCAGCTTAAGTGTTTTTTGGTGTGTTTTTTTCCATGGGTGAAGTTTTTAGGGTTTAGAACATTTAATGACATATAAAAAAGTTAAGTTACATTATTTTAAGATATAAAACTTGTTAAACTTTTTGGTTTTTATGTGATTTCCAGAATTATTTTTACCTTTTTTGCGTACATTTATTTCATTGGAATATGTCTGATCAAAAAGAGTTTTCAATTCACAAAGGTGTAGTATATGTAATAGCGTATAGTTGTTTTGCAGTTTTCTTTTTGTAGTTAAATGAAAATACATTGATGCTATTAAACATTTTGGACGACTGCAGGGCTTTTTTTTCACAGGTTGGGGAAGGGGACCATTTCCTTAAATTTTGGGGAATATTACATGTAATTTTTGCAGAAGGTAGAAGATACTGTATAAAAACCGTATTTTATTGGAAATTTGCATGATTTTTAAGTATTTTACTATTGATAGGGGGTGGGGAACATCTGTTCACAGCCTTCTGTTATTCAAGGGGAAAAAAGCTCTGGACTTCTGAATCTTTTAACGTTATTGTTCTGAATGTTTGAGGATATTTGGACTTGTCATCATGGCCCTAGTGTTGATGTGATTCTTTTTTCTAGACCATTTCAGAGTGTTTATATTAACAATATTATTTTGGTTTTTCTCTACTTTATTAAAGTTATGTACCCAATAAGGGTTCTCAGCGATAGAAAGTTAGGCCATTAACATTACTTTTGAAGCTCATTTGAAGCAGTCATTGTATATAATTATGATATAAACAGTTCTTTATTTCTTTACTTTGTACACATTTCAATGTATCATAATGTTAAATGGTACTAAAAAGCATATTTTTTCTGAACTTTGATTATTGTGAGTGTCTTATTTTTTTATAAAGGAAAAGTGTTGAGGGATAACTGCAAGTGGTCATAATTTTTGTTGCTTTTCATCGACTTATAATTCATTTTTCAATGTATTCCTTGAAAGATTTTTATTTTTAGAAAAAATCAGCATAATAAATATAAAGCAATAGTTTTCAATAAAATTTATCAGTTTTGTTCTATGTTTTGAACTCCCCCTTTACCCTGCTGAAAGTTATGAGTGTTTGTCATGATTATAGAGCCAGGCCAGCATTTGCACATCCATTTAGTCTCTGTCTGACCAGGCTTTATATTGTTGGCTGACCATCCTGATACCCCAAAAATAAATAATGGACAATTCCAAAATTGGAAGCTGGACAAGTCCATTCAAGAAATTCAGCAGGTTAAGGGTGAAGTATTGGCATGCATTCATAAAAGTGATATTTTACTTATAGTTATATCCCATCTGAGCTTCTGTTCACAGTTTCTTTTTTAGATAGTACTTCAACATAAATTACACATGTTTTAGACTGCTAAGTGACTAAGGCAGCTTGTTAGTTCTATGTACTTCAGAATTTTAAGGGTTAAGTCTTCAAGTATAAGATGATTTTTTTCTGTGACAATTACTTTTTCTCTACCTTTAGGTCAAGTATTATAAAGATTAAGAAGTGTTCTAAATACCCTGCAGTGTAATAAAGTTAGCGCTGGTACATAATGCAGGAGTTTTTCGATGACATTCTAAGAAGTAGTGTTTGAATTGGATAAAAACTGAACTAAAAAAAACCACATTCACCCACTATAAGCCCCTCTTTCTGCCATACTTACCACCACCCCCCCCCCCCCACCCCCCCCCCAAAAAAAAAAATAAATATTCCCTTCCCTACCCAGTTGCCCCCTTCATTATCCCAACCCCAGCCATCTAAAATATTGAAGCAAAGCTTCAGTGAAAATTGTTAAGATTATAAGTCTTGCTTGCAAGCCATTCCAGGATTTTTTGTAGAATAAAAAACAGAGTTCCCCTTATATTTTATCAGTTCACTGGGGTGGGGGACATGTTATACATTGAGTAATATTTATTATTCTTATGTTATATTTTTTCCTACTTAACTACAAATGCTCAATTATATTTAAGTTGATTTTTATGTTTCTTATTTAAAGAATTGTAATGGAACTGATTAATTGTATAGAACCCTAAGAGAATTGTACATTTTATAATTGCAACTGATAGTGTGTTACTTGTAACATTGTTACCCTAGTAGCATTGTTAAAACTGGTTATTAAAGCAACTTGCCCGGAGATGAGTTATTATTTACTCGCAACAAATTATGTAATGTAAAAATTGTAAAAAATGACATACATTTTTATATGCCTTTAGATCGTCTTAGAACTATTTTACATATTTTAAAATTTGTTACCAGCTTTGAGTCATTGTGCTTTTAAACATAAACCCATTTTGATAACTTGTGCAACAGTTTTGTGGATACTAAGTAAAAGTAACTTTGGAGTTGCTTAAATTACTTTATTTGTTCATTTGACAATTTTTTTACAAACATTTCTAAATTAATTGTTTAAAAAATGCGAAGATTTAGTGGCATACTGCTTTAAAATCATTTAAGTTATGACAATGTTAGATAAAGCCCTTGTCATATTGTTGAGTCTTGTTTTTTATTAGTGGTCGTATAAATGTTTTATGACTGGTTAAGTCAATTGTGTCATTTAAACAGTGCATTACTTGCTAATGAATAAAACAAAATAAAATGGTATTTCACTCTTCTGTTATATCTTTAAACCTTTTAGCTCCACTTTTCAAAGCAAACAAAGTGGACATATTTGATGATCCGCTCGTACGCATTTGCGTCGCCCATGGTTAACCTTTTTGGTTTGTTAAGGTCCATTTTCCAAATTTGTTTGGGTTTTACGTCACACGGACACAGTATAGTTCATATAGCGTCTAGCTTTACTGGTGGAAGAAGGTTTAAGGTGCCCTTCCGTGCATCATTTCAGGCACAAATGGGCACCTGGGTAGAACCACAGAAGTAAAGTAAGCTAGCTGGATAGCTTCCTTACATGAAAGAATTCAAAGGCCCTGTCGGGATTCGAACTCACAGTGGTGACAGGCAAGTGGTTTGAAGTCAACGACCTTAACCACTCGGCCACTTCTAACATGACATTTAATTTACTATCTAAGGCAGATAAGTCTATCAAGCATTTTTGTAGAATTTTGCCCCCTTTTTGCTCTTAATGAAACTGTCTAGCACTGAGAAAGGTGGAGCGTGGGTCTTGTTACAAAGTTTTTTTGTGTTGAAGTGACAAAAAATCTTTTGAAAAGTAGTCGAATTGCTTTGTCTGGGTTAAAAGTTTAAACATTTATGTTGACTGGTTCTTCTACTCTTGTTGTATGGCATTTATTCTGATCTTAGTCGGCTAAGTACTGGGTCAATTGCGGAAGAATTGGTTATTATCCCATGCCGAAAGGCGGCGGGGGATATAGAAATGGTCTTCATCCGTCCTTTCGTCCGACATTTTTGTCCGGAGCATATCTCAAAAAGTATTTGAGGTATCAACTTGAAACTTCATAGTTGGATAGATCTCACTCAGGAGGTGTGCACTGCACAAGAATTATAACTCTACCTTTCATAATTTTTGAGTTATTGCCTTTGTTTTTTTTCATACTTAATTTTTCACCTGAGTGGAGCATAACTCAAAAGTGTTTGAGATGTCAACATGAAACGTCATAGGTGGATAGATCTTATTAAGGAGGAATGCTGTGCGCAAGAATGATAACTCTTCCCTATATACTTTTTGAGTTATTGCCCTTTGTTCTTTTTCATACTATTTTGTCCGGAGCTTATCTCAAAAAGTATTTGAGATATCAACTTAAAACTTCATTGGTGGATAGATCTTACTGAGGAGGGGTGCAGCACACAAGAATGATAACCTACCCTGCATTATTTTTCAGTTATTGACCTTTGTTATTTTCAGCCATCAGTATTCACATAGGTTGCAAATCTGTAATCACTTCAGCCATCAGTTTTCATTATCAAAAGACCTCTTAAAATTGAATTATTCTGCTCTACTACATATACATTCTTCCAATGAGCAAACACATTTGGCGTGGGATGGCCATGTTGGCATGGCTCTTGTTCCTGGTTAGTTATCCCGTCTGTCCAGATATGAACAAAAATGTGTTGAAAACCAAACGAAAAATGCACAGTATACTAGATGATCAATATGTCTAAACCCTCGTATCATGGGTAAGAGCTCTACTAAGGTCATAACCCGTTTTCATCAGTACTGGAAAGTGGTTAGTTCAAGGACGCTGAGTGTAGTGCAGATCGATACACTTTAAGTTGCTTTCCTCTCAATTCAGCTGAAAAAAAGCTAAATTTGTTCTGGTACAATCAGAGGTAAAGGATAGAACCTCTGAATGACATTTCTTGAATCAATGGTATGATAGGAGCACTTTAAAATGACTTAAGCTGGTCCAGTGATAGATGTAATAATTGAACGTTTTAAATGGCCTCCTGTCTTACATGCGGATTACATAGCGAAACAATTTGTAAAAGTCCTTAACATGTGTCCTGATTTGCGCTTGTTTCTGTGATCAATTTGACCGCCGGAATAGAATAGCTAACGTGGCCATTTTGATAACTAAAAGTAGATAAAAACGTTTGACAATATCATTTTGAACCTCAGCTGAAAAAGCATTACATTCTTGAGTGGTCTCTCTAAAAACTGATCCAGATACCTCTTGTTTACTTTTATACTCCATAAGCCAGCATAGCGCACTGTCCGTCCGATATTTTTGTTTGAACTTTTACTCGGCAACCGCTGACTAGATCCCAATGAAACTCCACAGGAAGCATCAAAGAAACGGGGCATATTCCCGCTCACCAAGTTTTCATAAAGTTATGTCCATTTATGCCTATTCAGCTTCTATTCATATATTGTCTCAGGTTACTGTACATTTAGGTGCTCATTGGCCGCCCGTACAATGACAAAATTCATATATTTAGCTACTATTCTGTGGAATTGCGTGGAGGTAAATTATACTTGAAACAAACTATTTTTAATGTTCTATATGGGCTTTATACTATATATAATAAGACTAGCCTTATTATAGTAACTAGTCCATATAGAACATTAAAAATAGTTTGTTTCAAGTGTCTGTGGATGTATAGCCTTCGTTTGACCACTGTTAAGTTTACTTGAGGTGATCTTATGTTTAATGTGTCTACCTCTCAACCTAATGATCGAATGTTTGAGTCCAACGTGGAACACGCACATGTTCATGCATGTGACATTCTAATACTGGTTAATTCCATTTAGCGCGGAAGTATTTAACGTACGTCAAATCGAGTTTGCTCCTATATATCAAAGGGTCGTCGCATCATCACCTACCTTAGCCTATGAATATGTCTCCTTGAATTGTACGACGTTCATTTTGAACTCATTTTAGGACCCAAAAACTCCCCCCCCCCCCCCCCCCCCCCGAAAAAAATAAACAAATTAGAAAAAACATTGACGGAGGAAAAATAAAAATGAAGTCCGCAAAGAGAGTAACAATTCTAATCTGTAATCATTTCCCTACCTTTCACTAAAACAGTCCGGATAGTTACAATTACATACGTGGTGACCATGCATATATTAAAGTTTTAAGAAGTGGGTCAATCAATTGTATCAGCGGATCTGTAAATATGCACTGTTAATTACAAACTTTAATGCATTTGTTTATATCTGATGATATGTATTCGAAGGCTATAGTACTACAAAACATTGCGTTTAATACATCGATTGAGAACCTATATTGGACTCATCGCTCGTCCAATAGTGTTTGTCCTGCAGTTTACATGTCCTGATTCCAATCAAAAGATACTAGACTTTGACACAAGCATGTAGATCCGGGCCAGTTTTCAGCACGACCAGCTAGGCTCTATACACCGTTGGTAGCTCCACTTCTGTGTTTTGATATTGAAATCACTTTAATTAACCTTGGAATTAACTGTTCCAGAATAAAAACTGAGAATTTCCATTTCACAAATATAGCAGGTTAAAAGATAAAAATATATATATATATATTCTTGTATATTGCAATGAATTGCATTGATATCATTAAAAAGATTTGTGTTCGAACGAGCGTATGTTCCATGTACACATTATTCATATATCTTTTGAAAAACCATATGATTTTGTAAAATTCTGAAAAGAGACCGCTGATCTGTTGACCATATGCGAAGATGTGTTTGGCCTTGTGAAAGATAAGAAATATACAAATACAATGTGACACTAGAACAGAGATAACGATCAGTTCGCGACGTTGTCAAATTGACAGTTCATGAATTAATATCATTGATTGAGTTAGCCACGGTGTTCAGTTGTTAACAAAATTAACTTAAAATGGCAACAAAAAAGGAAAAAGTCGGCATTATTGGAAGGTATGATAATTATTATCAAATCATATTATCAAAAGGATATTTATTTCAATTTTCATATTTATGTTTGGCATGCTTTTGTTGTGCATGTATCATGTATCAAATGTACATGTATATAGATAATGTATGTAATTATAATTACAAATGACATTATCTTTAATTGCAACATATTAAAAATAATTATGGATCTAGTGTGCTTTTTCAATTTTAAGAATACGGTGAACTATAGATCTATATAGTACGTGTTATTAACACTTATTTATTTCCAATTTACAAGTAATAAAGGCAGAACTATGTTCCAGATTTTTCAGAATGTCATTGGTTCAGTAGCTTTTTCCCCTCACTGTCATGACCATAGGCACTTGGTTTCGGGATAAAAACCCTTTTGGGAGGTTTGTAGATTGAATGTAACTATTTTTAGTAACATCGGAAAAATAACGTTTTTAGAATCGAGACATCTACATTAAAAAAAAAACACAAAAAACGTTCTACAAACCTCTCAAAAGGATTTGTTTAATCCCGAAACCAAGTGCCTATGGCCATGACAGTATTAATTTGACAAGAGTAGGTATTACGTTTTCAACGTCTATATTTAGTAATATTTTTTCTTTCTTTCAGTGGTCTGATTGGACGCAGCTTTGCTATGCTTTTTGCCGCCGCCGAGTATGAAGTATGGTTGTACGATATTGAGAAATCTCAGCTCTCCGGAGCTTTGGAAGATATTAAAGCTCAACTGAAAGATCTTGACAGTCTTCAACTTTTACGCGGATCACTCACTGCAGAGGAACAGTTTAATAATATAAATACAACCGATAATATTGAACAGTGTGTTAAAGACGCAATCTTTGTGCACGTAAGTATGTTCTTATATATAATCTAGCTACCTGCAGCATAAGGTAAATGTATTGTTATGAATTTTAATGATATACGGCATGACATTCGAATGAAATAATTGTGGCCCAACTTATTTGTTTCAAGCTGGTATCTCTGTATTATTTGTATTGAAAGCAGCGGGTCTCCATGCAGATTCATGCTAATTGTCCTTAAAAATTTACAAATGTATCAAAAAATAAAATATTATCAAGTGAACAAAGAAAGTTATTTACATGTTAAATCTACGGAATTACAAAAAGTTAAAATATGCAAAAAAAATAAATAAATAAATAAATGATTGCATGACATTTACTGCAGTTCAAAACACAGCAACAAATCTATAATCCAGTGAAAATTATCAACTATTATGAATTGTTGCTTTTGTATACCAGTAATATATCAAAACAAAGGAAAGACTAGCTTATTTAGGGCCTTAATTTTGTGTGGGTATGAAGTAGATACACGTCCATGCATTTTAATGCATTAATTTGTACGTGTCCAAACGACATTCAATGTCGTGGAGAAAAAAAAAACAGACACACATTATGCTTACTATTACATTCTCTTGTTTTTCAAATAAAATCAGTCAATATATTCGTATTCCTGTGAATTCTGCAAGACAATTGTTACGAATTGTAGCTTTGAAACAAAACAAACAGTTAAAGATCGGTTACGTATTGTATTTCAGGAGTGTGCTCCAGAGCGTATTGAACTAAAGACTTCCATTTATGCTAAGATAGATAAAATGCTGAGTGACACCTGTATACTAGCGACATCTGCAAGTGCTCTCCTTCCGTCCAAACTGGCAGTTAATATCCAGCACAAAAACCGATTCATCGTGGCACATCCGGTACTTGGATTTTTTCAATCCTGTTTTATTTTGTTTTGTATTTCATTAAATCAATAAACCCTTAAAATGAATCCGGAGTGAATAAATCAGGTCTCGTACGGGTGGAAATAGCACTGAACAATGATGCATTTGAGTAATATTTCCAAGCTTAAAATATACTTTGAAGGAATGGATGAAGTTAAAAACTTACGCAGACTGCATTTATACCAAACAACATTTCCCTTGGATTGACTGGTTCTTAAAAAGAACACGTTATTATGAAAACGCTTATGATGTCTTTATGTGTTATTTTATCATGTGCTATAATTCCATACAATGCATTATACCATTTCCGTTTGACAGACGAATCCGCCATTTTATGCACCATTAGTAGAACTTGTACCAAGCCCATGGGCAGACCCAGACGTGGTTCCGAAAACAAAAGCTATTATGGAAAAGCTTGGCCAGGTACCAGTGATATTGAAAAAGGAAATAGACGGATTTGTCCTCAACCGAATCCAGTATGCTATATTCAAGGAAAGTTGGAGACTTATTAAAGTAAGTTTGTACAATTTTTCGTAACTTAACTTATCAAACCATGTGCTTAATTCTTTTGTTTCCATTTCCAATTTTACCCAAAGGAATATCCAAACTGTATACATTTAATCTTTAATCATAAATTTCAAATGTTCCTAATGTTAGCATTTTCTTATGCAATTGTTTCGGATAAATTTTAAATTGTACAAAATTTATCGCATTTTTATTATTTAAAACAATATTGATCTAAACAAAGTTATTTCTTCAAACTGTTCAATTATTAACGGTAGCCTGGTATTCTTTCAGGACGGAATAATTGACGTCGAAGGCCTGGATAAGGTCATGAGTGCAGGACTAGGACGTAGATATGCTTTTATTGGACCTATTGAAACTGCCTACCTCAATGCCGACGGTAAGGACCAAACTAACATCTGATTTGATTCCATAGTATTAAAATTCATATTGTTCACATGTGTGTTTCAATGTACTAATAATTTACTGGTCTATAAGATTTTAGAGGATCGTTCATAAGCTGCAAAGCAATCTTACAGTCCATGTCGTCTGCAAGAATCACCAGAGTCCATGTGATTGTTTGTGTTATTCAATAACAGAACATATCCTTAGCGAATACCTTTGATCATATACAAGAAGTGTCACACTTTTTTTAAAACTTTCTCAAACACAAGTTTACTTTGCACAGTGGGTTTATAGAATTTGTGTAAAAGTAAACATTTACAAGTAATCCAATATTTTGCAATGCATCAAAGTCCCTTCCAATCAAGTAAAATGGAAATTCGCGTGAAGTTTAGACGGATGCCAATTTTAGTACCAAGCTTCCAGTTTTGTTCCTCTTGTTTCCGAACAACCGGATTCAAGTATGAAGATGTTAGAGGATGAAATGCATTCTCATATAACCTGTTTGTTTCATGCTATATTTTACCGCCTCCGTGATCGAGGGGTTAGAGTCGATGACTTCTAATCCAGTTACTTCTGTGGCGTGGGTTCGATCCTCGGGAGATGCTTTGGTAGTTATCACGGAGGAATGTAGTCTAGTACTGGTGTAACTCTCCAGGAACGACGGTTAGGAAACTACCCGCCTATATGACTGAAATACTGTTGGGAAAAGGCGTAAAATAAAACAAACAAACATGCTATATTTTCCAGGGATGTACAGTTACGCAGACCGGTATGCGACTATGATTGAAGGTATAATGGCAACATTCCGGGAACCAGACAGTTTTTCAGGACCAGTTCTTGATCAAATACAGTCTGAAATGGAACAAATGGTTCCCATGGATAGTCTGCAAGCCCGCAGAAATTGGCGGGACAAACGACTTGCAGCCCTAGCTCAGTTACAGAAGAGAATGGACGATGCTGAAGGGAAGAAATAGCATTACATGAACTTCGCTTTGCTTCACCAAATTTTACGAAATTCAATAAAAATTAAAATTAGAATGTCGTTTTATTTTTTATTTTGATCCTTCTTCCAGAGTATGGGAAACATTCATGCGCAAACTTGATGTTATGCTAAGTCTCTCAGTTATTTAGAATCAAGTTTGGAATGACATACTGTAATTCAGTTTTTATTTGTTTGAAAATAACTTTTTTATTTTCCTGCGGTAGCTTATTTGTATGGTCAATTAATCATGCTGTACGATTTATCATTAAATGACCTTATTTCAGTTTTTATTTTCTGACCAGCAAAAAAAAAGGGGGTTGTCATCAAAGATCTGATAAAAATTGGAAAGTCATTGCCAAAATTTAATGACATGTTGAACATTTGATAATCGTCGAATTTTGACTTTTGAAAAGCCATTTGAATTTCTGAAATTTGCATAGTTTTAAAAATGCCGAAATATTTACTAACATCGTCTAATTATATCAAACATCTACTAACGGTAATTATAATATCACTCTTCACAATGTGACTTTTAAAATGAAAATGATCTTCTTTCTTCAGTAAAGGGACTCCACTGGGGTCTTTTAGTATAAAGGGGCTGGAAGTATTTATTTTTTTAGACCTGTGTGCTATTTTATGTAGATATGGACAAATAACTTATGTTTCAAAATTTCATACCATTCCCTCACTATGTTTTCCAAGAGTTAACATTTTATTGCGCCAAATGACTCAAAAATGAATAGAGTCGCAACGCTTTGCTAAAAATCGTGTACAAAATCGATTTTCAAGTATATTGTTTGTATATTTCGAGATTTTTTCATTAAAGTACATTATTAGGTGTTTGCAAGAATTTCAAATTTTAGGTTTTAAGGCTTCTTGACCCAAGTGGAGTTAAGCTAACTTAATGCGCTAGTACAATGTTCCATTTTCAAATTTGAATCAGTTGACGTCACCAACGTACATCCTTCAGACCAATATCAACAACATACTTCAATCTTGTCTCTAAAAGAACTGCACTAGACAGGACTGATTTTGAGAATTTGGCTCCCTGTAAGATGCTAGAGGCATTTTGTAGTACAAGTGGTATCTTGGTGTATTTTACCTATTTAAGGTATGCTGAATCCGATAAAGGTGGATACCGAATTGAAAAACTTGATCTTGACCATTGAAATGGCCATTTAAAATGACCACAAAAATGGCCGCCAAATTTCTTTATTATAAATGGATGATATATCAAAGAAAGGAAAAGCCTGAAATTTGTCACAATGCATGTTTAGGTAAAAACAAATTAGACACCAAAACAGAATTAAAAGCACAAAACAATCCAATATGGCCGAAAAATCCAAGATGGTAGACATTTTTCTTTAGGCTAATATAATAGTAATATAGAAGAAATATATTAAAAATAGTACTGAAAAGTTTAAGGCATTTAAACATATTTAGGGTTTACGCAGCGAACACTACACTCTTTCCTGCCCTATATGCTAGATTTTATCTGGCACTCTATGCCTTCAGCGTTAAGATGTGTGAGGGAGTTAAAACGTGTGCATACAAAATATACATTAATTAAAGGCATTTTTCTCTGAGTACCCTTGGGTTTTGGTGTTCGTTTTTCTGTTATCGTTCGTCGTCTTCGTTCTTCTGTTATCGGTTCTCGTCGCATTGCTGTCAGGTATTGTGTTATTGGTCGTGACTTTCGTTCTTCTGTTATTGGTCCTCGTCGCAGTTCTCTTGTTGTCAGTTCTTCTGTTATTGGTCGTGATCTTCGCTCTTCTGTAATCGGTCCTGGTCTCAGTTCTTTTGTTGTTAGATCGGTTCTCGTCTCTGTTTTTGTGCTTTCGATCGTCGTCTTCGTTCTTCTTTGTTCTTATGTTATCCGTTCTCTTCTATTCTTCTGAAATCAGAGTCCTGGTCTTTGTTTTCTTGTTGTCAATTTTTCTGTCATAGGTTCCCATCTTATGTTATTCTGTTATCGGTCCCTGTCCTGTTCTGTTATCGGTTCTCGAGTTCGTTTTTGTCATCGGTTCTTGTCTCTTTTCTTTTGTAATCAGTCCTGGTCTCCGTTTTCTTGTTGTCAATACTTATGTAATCGGTTCCCGTCTCTGTTATCGATCACCGTCTCCATTCGTCTATCATCAGTCAACGTCTATATTCTTCTGTTATCAGTGGTCTTTGTCCTGTTCTTCTGTTAGCGGTCCACTTCTCTGTTGGCTTGTTGGCAGTTCTTCTGTTATCGATCCCTGTCTCTGTTCGCTTGTTGCCAGTTCTTCTGTTATCAGTGGACGTCTATGTTCGGTTGTTGCCAGTTCTTCTGTTATCGGTCCCTGCCTCTGTTCTTATGTTGTCGGTCCTCGTCTTTGTTCGCTTGTTGTCAGTTCTTGTCTTCGTTTTTCCTTCTGTTATCGGTCGTCGTCTTCGGTCTTGTACTTGTTTCCTGTTCCGTTAAGGTCTTCTCTTGTTTCTATCGTTGCCGTCATTCTGTGTCTATGTCCTGGTTAGGTCAATCTCGTAGTCATTTATTCGTTCAGTGGAGTAGCGGGGGATCGAACTCACGACCCCTTGATTTGTAGGCAGACAGTGTAACCACTGCACCATAGCGCCCGCTCTGAATAATAACCATTTTTGAAAATCCTTTATACATTAAATACTATTTCAATGGCTAACAAAGGGTGTATTACAATTATATTTTAACACCTCTACTATGTAGCCTACCCACGTGACTTTTATATGGTCAAAGAAAATATTACTCGATTTACAACAAATAATATTTTTATAGATAACTTTGCTGTTACATTAAGATATCCTATTTTATTTTTTTTTTTTTTTTTTTTTTTTTTTTTGGGGGGGGGGGGGGTAGGAGGGGGTGCAGTTTATATTTTAAAACACTTTTTGTCTCGGTTTGTGTTGTGTTTATGGCATTGAAATGACATTTTTTGACATTTCAAAATAATTTTTTAAAATATTCATTTTAAAACATAAATACCACAATAAGTGCAAAATATGTGAAAACACAATGAACAACTTAAAAAAATATCATAGCTACAAATAATGTTGAAAATTACGGAACACATGAAGTGATATTTTCCACACTTCTTCCGGAATTGAATTCGTTTTTACGAGATAACAATTCCCAATTAGAAATATTATTTCGTTTTACCGAAATATAAAATCTTAATTATGAAATATTGATTCGTTGTTTCGAAATATTATTTCGTAAATACGAAATATTAATTCGTTATTACGAAATATTAATTCGTAACTATGGAATATTAATTTGTTATTACGAAATATTTATTCTTTGGTAATATTTATAAACTAAGCTTATTGTTAAATATAAGTCAAGTAAAAAAACATAAAAAGTGATTTTTTCAATCTTATTATTATACCTTAACGCGCTAGTAAAACAGTACTGTATATACTGTTAATTGAGCCATTAGGCTTATTATCGCTATATTTGGTGGCCAATCTCATTAAAATCTGATCATATTAAATAATCATTTGATTTTGACAAGCGGCCATTTTGAATTGACCTTTTGAAGGACAAGGTCAATTTTATTTTCTTGGTATCCACCCTCATCGTCTTTAGCATACCCATATTAGGTTAAAACACTCAAGATATAACTTGTACTATAAAAATGCCTCTAGCATTCATATTTTCTTAAAATCAGTCCTGTCTACACTGTTTATCTCTTTTCATCAGTTTTTATTAATTATAACTTCTATAACAATGAGTATAATACTAAAGTGTATACAATATATACAAATGTAGTTCTTGTTTCAGTGATGAAACGCGATAATTACATTACAAAAGTGATCTTGGATATTTAATGACGAACAACTGTGTGTGGCATTTACAGAATTTCAAATATTTGCGGCAAATACTTTTAGCAGGTTAAGTGTTGATCGCATCTTTCCGACCGTTTCCGTCAAACTTCGGATACGGCTATTATAAATAATAGCCGTCGTGTTCCGATTGGTCAAGAACGTATGAATATAAGCAGAGCAAATTTGATTATAAAAATGACCTAGGGTACATTATTAAAAGAAAAAATAAAAGTCAGACTTTAACAGTTGGTCGAGCTAAATTTTGGTAACATTATTTATTTTTTTCAGCATCGTCCATTTGTTTCTGTAACTGAGCAAAGGCAGCCAGACGCTTGTCCCGCCAATTTCTGCGGGCTGGCAGCGTATCCATGGGTACCATTTGTTCCATCTCAGACTGTACTTGATCAAGTTCTGGTCCTGACAAAAAATTGACTGGTTCTCGGAATGAGGCCATTATTCCTTCAAGCATTGTTTTATACCAGTCTGCATAGCTGTACATTCCTGAAATATATGTATTATACATTGTTTTATATTGCAACATTTTTTACAGAGAGATAGCAATAATACACTGTCTCAGAATGCATTATCTTCTCAAACATTTTTGATACTAGCAAATTAATTCCCGTCCGAAAATACGATTTTTATCGGATTGAAACTCTATTAATAGGGCATTTTGTGTAATTTAATTAATTGAAATTAAAGTGTTCAGCTCGATTGTGAGCTTATATATGAATTTCTGACGAGTCCGCTTCTTTTATGAGGAAACATGGTCTTGACCCTATAGTATAACTCGAACCCGCGACCCCTCGGTTGAGACGCTTACACCTTGAATTAATGGCAACCGCTTCAACTTTACTTATGGTTATGAATACATTTCCTTCCATTAATTATTAGTATTGAATTAAGAACATATATATGTATATGTATTTACGCTCAGCTAAATACATGCAGCTTGCTCAACTCTGATATGGATTCCCTCATTTTTCGATATAGCAATGGGTATATTTACCGTCTGCATTTAAGTACATGGTTTCAAAAGGTCCAATAAAAGCATATCTACGTCCCAATCCCGCCGTCATGACCTTATCCAGACCCTCGACGTCAATTACGTCATCCTGGAATAATAACGTGTGATCAGTACACTGAGGTAATCGAAATGCACGGTGCCTGTACCAACGTGACTCCTTGTGGTCTACATAAGACAGAAAACCCAAACAAAATGACGGTTCAGGAAGTAATTAATTTCTTCTATAACTTTTTTTAATATTGCATTACTTCATATGACCCCGCTCATTAATTTTTGTTAGTAACCCAAACGTAGAATGTTTCTTCACAGCAAAATCAGTATTTCTTTCGAAAAGGGAAACCGTGAGAATTTCTGAATGTTTATTTCACTTTACTTAAATTAATGAACTATTAAAGCCATTACATATCTTTGTTTCAATAATATTTTTCTTTTCTTTTCTTCTTCTTCTTTTATTATTTTTTGTATGTTTTATGACACGCTAAAAAAAGTCTTTTTTCTCAAGAAATTCCTTTCTTTGTTCATTTTTAAAAAAGTTTTTGATTCTGATTTGCTTAAATGCCATCGAACTATTTAGTACAGCGTATGGATAATTTTTAGTGTTCTTTAGATTAGGAATTTTAGAAACGATGGCATAAAAAAGGCGATTTATGGCTTTCCACATCGCTTTTCAAAAAGGTACACCCACCACAGATTTCATTGTATATGTACAAGAGTGCAAATTTTGTATTCAATACAACTGTTCAAGTAAAACACCAAACAATCTTTGTGAATCTTTAGTACAACATAATAGTTTTCGGCATTTTTAATAGCTTTGATCATCTTTTGGCCTACAGGGGCCATTGAAGTGAACATGTTAAACGGATATAGCTTACATTTATAAGTCTCCAACTTTCCTTGATCACAGCGCTCTGTATACGATTAAAGACAAAACCTTCAATTTCCTTTTTCAATATCACTGGTACCTGGCCAAGCTTTTCCATAATTGCTTTCGCTTTCGGGACCACGTCTGAATCTACCCATGGGCTTGGTACCAGCTCAACTAATGGTGCATAAAATGGCGGATTCGTCTGTCAAACGAAAGTGATATAATTATAACACAGAATAATAGTTATTATAAAACTTGACAAATGAACAAAAAAACTGGAAATAAGAAATATAATTGCATGTGTAGTTGTTTTTAAACGGCAAGTTGTATTGACGACAGAACCCTTGTACTTGTGGTAAAACATCATGGTTTGCTCATATTTCACTTCGACTACAACGTCAAGGTTATTTATTCATTTTACGGTGTTTTTCGTTTTATGACTCGAAAAACATGTTAGTAGAATCACGATGACCAAACGCTAAGAAATTAAATAAAATAAACCATGCTGGGAAAACTGTCATATCGCAACTATACATTAATATCTCTTCCATACACATATATGATAGATATAGAATCAATTAAAATAATAATTTTGAACTCTACATTTACAAAATTAGTTGAGAACTTTAATGTAAATAAATAAATTTACGCCGTATTTACGAAATGCGGAACGTGTTAGAATTAAAGTTGAATAACTAAACAAATGTTTGGTGCTCCTACACCCGCCTGCAAAAAAATCTTTTCTATCCATTACACCTAAGCCTACATGAAATATATTTATGTTGTTTGTTTTTGTTGTGATTTTTTTTTCATGAAACAAAAAGAGGAAATGTTCAAAGTACCGGATGTACGACGATGAACCTATTTTTGCGCTCGATATTAGCTGCTAGTTTTGATGGTTGTAGAGCGCTTGTAGATGTCGCCAGTATACAGGTGTCACTCAGCATTTTATCTATCTTAGCATAAATGGAAGTCTTTAGTTCAATACGCTCTGGAACACACTCCTGAAAAGAAAACTAAGTTATAATCAAGTTAAACTTTGTTTTTCATTCAAAAGCGTTCACACTAAGATATTTAATGTTTTACAAAATAAAATAGCGATGTAAAAAACCTTACATGCACAAAGACTGCGTCTTTAACACACTGTTCAATGTTATCGGTTGTTTTTATATTATTAAACTGTTGATCTGCAGTCAGTGATCCTCGTAAAAGTTGAAGACTGTCAAGTTCTTTCAGTTGAGCTTTAATATCCTCCAAAGCTCCGGAGAGCTGAGTTTTCTCAATATCGTACAACCATACTTCATACTCGGCGGCGGCAAAAAGCATAGCAAAGCTGCGTCCAATTAGGCCACTACAAGAAAAATAATATTATTATATATACTATATATAGTTCAACCTCGGTTTGCTCGAACTACCGCTCTCTCAAACAAATTTGCACAGGTTTTCCGAGTTCGAGCGAATGAAGTTTGACTGTATAGAATTTGGATGTTAGACAACTTGACTGCTTACAAGACTCGTGATTAAAGAAATATTGTTGCATTAACACCATGCATCCAGGTAAATTAACAGAGAAGAAAAAATGCGTTTTTTGATATGAGTGACGAAGGGCGTCACGCAAAAAAGATTAATGCAATATGTGTGACGTAGGGCGTCATGCAAAAATAGGGTGTCACGCAAAACAGCTTAATGCAATGACGGCCCTAGTAGCTTCATTATTTAAACATAACGCACTAGCACGTGGAAAGCATATGATGAAACAGACGTTTATGCAAGAATATGGCTATTGCAGCTTTTTCGTGCATTAACATCAGCCTACGGGTTTGGACGTTAAATGTGTCATTTAAAATATCTTTTTATATTTTAAGTCCCAGCTCAGACCTGCAATCGAATCCGTCAATTTTCGATAATAAATAACCATTGAGGTGTTCCGATTGCCTGACCATCATACGGCCCTCGTGGTCAATTCCTACACATCAAAACGACAAAAAAATGGTCGCTTTAATTTGATCAATGCTATTTTGAAAAATGTTGGACATAATTCCACGTACGGATGGCCAAATACCGTACTTCGTTCGAAAGGTTGCTTTTCCTATTTAACCAAGACACGGACTAGAAAATTGATTTGCCACCTTTAAAAAATAGAATATATAAAATGATATTTTGAAGAAAAAAGTGACATTGATTATGATACATTTTATAAAATGTTTATATCATACCTTCCAATAATGCCGACTTTTTCCTTCGTTAATTTTGATGCCATTTTACGAATTTTATGAACAATGAAACGCCGGGGTATCAACTGTTTTTAAGTTCTTGCACGTCAACTTTACATATAACGCAAACTATTTTTTATCTTTTTGCATTGTCATGAAAGGAGTTCTTCTTCTTTCACAAGGCCACACATATTCTGTATATGTGTTTTGTGTAACGCAATCTCTTTCAAACATACAGACATAAAAATATAGAACGATAAAACTTTACAAAAAAGAATATAATTATATGAGCTAATTAAGATCTCCTGCGTAGCTTGGATTTCATAAATAAATAAGCATTCAACTATTTGAATAAGGCGAATCATTTATTTTAGAATATATAGTTCTGTAACGACATTTCATCCGCGTTATGCACATTTCAAAACGAGGTTGTTTTGTCATTAATGTCATATCGGAACTCCTCGGCTTTTATACCAATTCTCTGCTGGTTCTTAAGGGAGAATCCCTTTCATATTAATTAACACTAATATTATGTTTTCCGATAGTAAATCTACATGCACATCACAGACCTTCAAACATACACAATAGGACACGGATCGATGCCCGTTGTGGCAGACAAGGGCAATCTATTTGCCTTACCCCCCACCCCCACGAACAAACACCCCCGACCCGCAAAGTCGAGGCCAATAATTCATCTAATGCTTCATTGTTCCTCTTGTTCATGCAATGTGTTTCAATGTGTACAATTTAGAGTTAATTTTAAATTGTTTGATAATTCGCGACGAAGGCTACACCTAGTTTTTAAAGACATCTTGGATCTAGAAATGAACGCGCAATAGTGAAAATCTACAGAGGCAGCTTTCGAGATAATTTCGAAATTAATCTACAATCAGGTTTAGTGATCTTTGTTTTAAGCCCTCCGTTTGAATATATGGCAGAGCCTGTGTCCCAGATAATATTGGTATAACTTTTGCATTTTAAGGTATAAAGATGTTATTTTCATCCATTCCTTAAAGGCGTCTTCTAGAAACCGATACATATTATTTTGAATCTATGAAGTGAAAAATTAAGACATACTAGTACAATAAACAAATGCAACTTGCCTTATGTCACCAAAATTAATGCAGATTAAACTGCAAATGACTGCATTAAAACTGCGCATGGATAACGTGCAATGTTTATATAAGCGTAAATTTTTTGGAGCATGCTTTATGTCAAATATCAAGGCTGTATGTGCATAAAAAGTTTCGGAGATTTATAAGACATGTATATTACGCAAGTCTATGTATATTATGCAAGTCTGTATCAATTTAGGTTTTTTTTCCAAGTTTCGCGACCAAATTTAATGCAGTCAGATACTTGCAAATAACATGAGTGATGTTGATTTATACAAATTTATTAACAGATTTCTGCATGAATAATACGTTGTTACTTTTTTGTGCATAAAACTTTGGTTGCTGATACATAATATTTATAACCTTGGGAAAACGAACACCTACAGAAGCCGCTATCAAAACGCCTGCTTAGCTCAATCATCGATGCTTTGGTTCATATCCGGTTTCCGGTTTGCGATTTCCGCTGCTTCTTTCGTGCATTTAATCTTATTCTAGATATGTGGTTCTCTTTTCTGATAATTTAGATTATTTTCAATATATCTTTCTCTCTCTCTCCAAAAATGTAGCTACTATTATAATGGATAAATTGATTTTATCATCTCATAAGAATATATTTTGAGAGGGTGAAGTGCATATCTCTACAGCATGTATCTTTACAAAAACGTTTGGTTTATATATACATGTATAATATATAAAAGCCAGTTTACCTCTTAAATTTGATTAAATTATACTTGTATTAACTACTTACGCGTGTAGTAAAGTATTCTTGTCAAAGATTAAATACAGCGATATTTTTTCATTATTTAAGTGTTAAACGCATGGTATGCTACATGTGTGCGCATGGTAGGGCAGGTGAACATATGGTGCTTCATGTGTGCGCATGGTAGGACAGGTGAACGCATGGTGCTTCATGTGTGCGCATGGTATGACAGGTGAACGCATGGTGCTTCATGTGTGCGCATGGTAGGACAGGTGAACGCATGGTGCTTCATGTGTGCGCATGGTAGGTCGGGTGAACGCATGGTGCTTCATGTGTGCGCATGGTAGGACAGGTGAACGCATGGTGCTTCATGTGTGCGCATGGTAGGACAGGTGAACGCATGGTGCTTCATGTGTGCGCATGGTAGGACAGGTGAACACATGGTGCTTCATGTGTGCGCATGGTAGGACAGGTGAACGCATGGTGCTTCATGTGTGCGCATGGTAGGACAGGTGAACACATGGTGCTTCATGTGTGCGCATGGTAGGACAGGTGAATGCATGATGTGCTACATATGTGCGCGCATTATTTGGCAATTTTACATATTTTATTTAAAAGCAAAAGACTTTATCTAAATTAAGTTACATTTTTAACTATTATTTTTATTATTAAAAAAAGACAAACATATTTTCAACAAATAGTAGCACTGAAATACTTTTTGTGTAAATATAGTTACTTTTTATACATTTTCTCATTCTATCTTTTTGTTTATGATCAAACACGTTTGAACAAGCTTCTATGCGCAAATTGGAAAAAACGACTTTATCAAAAAAGTATAGCAAATAAATGTACACCTGCAAAAACATATAGCAAATAAACTAACATAAGTAGGACCAGATGTTGGTTTCAAACTTATGTATATCGTGTTCACAAAGGTGGTAACTTTAGTTTGAACTGAACTGTAAGATATCATATTTAACTGCCTAAAAAAATTAATATGAATTGCATTATAATAAAGGTCGAAATGGTCATAATCCATGATCTAGACAGGGATGGAGGGTCAAATGTCTGACAGTCATTTAAACCTATTTGATGTAAGTCCATGATAATAAATTATTACTATGCACATACTGTACATAAAATTACAAAAATGGCTATATTCTTAACTAAACCTAACTTGAGACACGAGATGTTCTGAATTCTAATCATTTATTCCCTAAAGAGCCTTGTAATGTATACTTTATAAAATTTGGCTAACATGCTTTAATAGCGAAGTGCCTACCATAATCAGGGAATTTCTAGAACAAAAGTCATTAACATAATTTGTTTAAGTTATATAAGTTTCAACTTTGAGACACGAACAGGCACCGGAGTAGAACTACGGATCGCTCCTAATATCGATTGATAGCTTAATGGCAAGAAAAAAATCCAAAGACCTTAACTAAATTTCAACGAACAGCGGCGAGGGGCAAATAATTTGAGTGATAAAGGTCACCAACTTCACATCACTTGCTCCTTACAAGTGTTTGTGACTTGGTATTATTTCCGTGTAGAGTGAAACCACAAGTAGAACTTACGGAAGCGTGGTGTAAGGGGTACAGCATTGGGCTCCTAATTCGGAAGTTGTGAGTTCGGATCCCATTCGTGGTGGATTCTTTTCATTTCCACATTCCACATTGATGCCATTACTGGCTACACACCCATCCAGAAAGCAGTCAACTAGCGTTACTTAAATCACCATTCATAATCTGCATAAGGTTTTTGGAAAAATCAACACGTTTTTTGTTAAGGGATTTTATTTGACCTTCAGAATATTTCTACAGGAGTTTTAACATCAGTCCAATTAAAACATTAACATATAACAGGAATCTATAACAAGTGGCAGAAATCAAACATCTCAAACTTCACTCATACATTATTATTACATATCTAAAGACAAGTGAATGTCATTTTAACATTGTTTATATGTAATAAATCATTCTATAATATTACACATAATCTATGCATTCATGTGTACAGTGTTATAAATAATTACACACTTAAAGCATGTACCAAATGCATATGTGTAATAAAAGTATCTATGTAATAGTACATTTAGAAAAAAAAAGGAATATGTGTGTAATCATTAATTGAAAAAATAAATAAAGATATGCATATTACCAATGCATATGTGTAGTCAAAGACTACAAATCACTACATTTTACTATATATTTGTTTATGTACTTGGTTACAACAGTACATGTATATGTATATAAAGTTTGTCTAAAATGATATTATTTTGTGGTGATTTTTGTTTGGGCCAGATTCAAGCCAAATTGTAGTAATTAGTAGAGTTATATACATGTCCTCAATTTATTGTCTGAAGTCAAAATTTACTATTATTAGTAAACCAGAACTTTTTTTTAACACTATAGTAAAAATTCAAAATATTTTAGCCATTTTTTCCCCAATTACACATGTATCTTGTATAAAAGTTTTAAGAATAAAAAATGAAATATGCCTGCATATGAAATTAAATTTAAATAGCACTATTAGGTCAACAAATAGAAAATTACATGTTCATTAAAAACTAAGAGATTTTGAGACAGAAAATATTTACTATTAAAGGATATTGACTCAGCCCTGTAATTACTAAATCAAGAAAACTGCAAGTATTTTTGAAATATAAAGAGAATTTATAATTTGTCTCATACAATTCAAGATTTTCTAATAAAATATCATGATTTTCGAAAAAATTAATGCACTAAAATACTTTTCTATTTTTCTTTTATTAATATCATTAATATAATAACAATAAAATATGCATTAAAATTAAATAAATGAATATCTAATTTAATCATTACCCCATTTTGGAATTGGTACATCCGTCCTAAAAATTATAATAGACAAAATTTTATCTAACTAAATCAGCTTAACAAAACAAGAGGGCCATGATGGCCCTGAGGTCGCTCACCTGTATATAGGCCCCCCCCCAAGGGCCAATTTTTACCCAAGGGCTTTTATTTGTTTATTTGAACAGACTTGGTAGACACCCATAAGAAGATGTTTCATGCTAAACATCTAAGTTCTAGCTCATTGGGTTTTTTAAAAGAAGATTTTTTAAGTTTTTACTATACACATATAGTTAAAAACAATGACACCCCTGGGGCAGGGCCAGTTTTGACCCCCGGGCTTTTATTTGAACAAACTTTGTAGATATTTACTTAAAGATGTTTCATGCTTAATATCTAAACTCTAGCTATTTGGGTTTTTTCAAAGAAGATTTTTAAGTTTTTGCTATACACATATAAGGAAAATAAATGACCCCCGGGGCGGGGCCAGTTTTGACCCCAGGGCTTTTATATGAACATACTTGGTAGACACCCATTAGAACATGTTTCCTGCTAAATATCTTAGCTCTAGCTCTTTGGGTTCTTTAAAAGAAGATTTTTTAAGTTTTTACTATATGCATATAGGGAAAATCAATGACCCCCTGGGGCGGGGCCAATTTTGACCCCAGGGCTTTTATTTGAACAAACTTGGTAGACATTCACTAGAAGATGTTTCATGCCAAATATCTTAGCTCTAGCTCTTACAGTTCTTTAAAAGAAGATTTTTTAAGTTTTACTATATGCATATAGGGAAAATCAATGACCCCCCGGGGCGGGGCCAATTTTGACCCCAGGGCTTTTATTTGAACAAACTTGGTAGACACTCACTAGAAGATGTTTCATGCCAAATATCTTAGCTCTAGCTCTTTGGGTTCTTTAAAAGAAGATTTTTTAAGTTTTTACTATATATGCATATAGGGAAAATCTATGACCCCCTGGGGCAGGGCCAATTTTGACCCCAGGGCTTTTATTTGAACAAACTTGGTAGACACTCACTAGAAGATGTTTCATGCCAAATATTTTAGCTCTAGCTCTTTGAGTTCTTTAAAAGAAGATTTTTTAAGTTTTTACTATATGCATATAGGGAAAATCAATGACCCCCTGGGGCGGGGCCAATTTTGACCCCAGGGCTTTTATTTGAACAAACTTGGTAGACACTCATTAGAAGATGTTTCATGCCAAATATCTAAGCTCTAGCTCTTAGGGTTGCTTAAAAGAAGATATTTAAAGATTTTTCTTTCGGTTGCCATGGCAACCAGAGTTCTGCATGGAATTAAATTCTTTGAACAATTTTTAAAGGTGACCACCAAAGGAACATTCCTGTGAAGTTTGGATGAAATTGGCTCAGTGGTTTATGAGGAGATGTCATTTAAAGCAAAAGTTTACGGACGGACGACGGACGGACGGATGACGGACGGACGCCGGACGAAAAGCGATCACAAAAGCTCACCTGGTCACTTTGTGACAGGTGAGCTAAAAACAAAACAACAACATTGGAAGTTTTCTAATTTGGAATTGTTTATAATAGTAATCTGCAAATAACTGGAATGTTTCTGTAAAACTTTTATATATATTTCATATCTTTGGTTAAATATGTAAATTACTACATCTCTGATGCAGAAACTTATATTATTGATACATTGGCAATTGTATCACAAAAAAAAAAGAAAAAAAGAAAAACAAGAGAAATCCTAAATCAACTACATGTACAATGAAAAATTGAATAAAACGAAAGATAATGATATTTCATATTAGTCATTTGTTAGTAGAAAATATCCACCATGGAAACAAAAATAGAGACCCATAAAGGGAGATACAAAGGAAGGCTTGAGACCAAAAAAAAAAAATTCCAGATAAGTATTCACAATCATATATATTCCTACATTAAAGTCATATAACTTCACACATATGCTGAAAATCTCTACACATCAACAAGCGTAGAGTAAAAAAAAAAATCAATAAAATATCTTGTTTACACACACAAGGTGAACATAATCATAATGCTTATTTACATGAGTAATATCCCCTACCACACCATGATTGTAAAATTCAACAGTATTTAAATATGACAAACAACACTACAATTTAAATGTCAACAGTTCTTTCTTATTTACAATCCATTTTTTACAGTATCAAACTTTTGCACCTAGTCACTTTTTCCAGCACAGAATAAAGAAGAATGAAATTATCGAGAATCAGTAAAAATATCGTGTAAAACTGCAATAGTTTTTTGTAAACCACAATGAGACTGGCATACAGCCTTGTCCGGGAAAATATAAAGTCAATATGAATAGTAATGCATGTGCTGTTTGTTGGGTTGGTCAGGTTGTATGACCCTTTTTCAACTATGTAAAGGCCATACGGCGACTTTCCAGCATAACTGGTGGAGAAAAACCTCAGACGCCCCTCCACGAGCTTGCACCGATGTCTCATAAGCTTTCCTCATTGTGTCCTTCTTTCCAAAATTCAATAACTCTTAAGACTCAATACTACAAAAATAGGCTAAATCGGGGATACATCAATTTGATCTTAAAATATATATATGCTGGTTAAGCGAAATACTCAGATGACTAAGTGCAATACAACTGTTTAAAACCTTAATCTTTTGATCTTGTTTAAAGTTTTAAATAAATTCACTTATAACAGTGGATTCAACTGCATGAAATCAACAAATTCTAGGAAATTTCCAGTTTTCACATCTTTTTCCTTAAAGTATTACAATTAATTATTAATTTAGATTTCACTTAATCCATATTATGATACAGGACCAGTCATCAATTTTTAAGGAAAAATATGTACTGACGAATAGCGAACAGTGCAGACCATAATCAGGTGGCACAGAAAGGCCCGCTGATCTTGGTCTGCACTGGTAACATGGGTAAATTCTAAGCAGGCTGAAGGTTATATATACCCTGTTAGCTGTAAAAATTGATATAAGGATACTAGACCAGCTGGGCAAGAAAGTCTGTTGCTGAGTATAATGAGATACTGGCCTTAGTAATTTCCTTCAAATGCAAAAATAATAATGTAATCGCTTTTATCATATTTAGGGACAATGATTGCAGAAAAAGTAACAAATATCATAATACACATATTAAAATTTTCATTTCAATTTTTAAATAGCAGTTTATAGCACTGAATATATGTAACATTAACTTAATTTCTTTCCTTAAGGTATTAGCTTATTACTTAATTACATGCCATATATGCTTTAATAAATGCCCCAACACTAATAACACCCCCGCCCCCCTGTTATTTCCATAGAAAACTAGAACTATCACTAAATGTGATTAATATGAAGTTATAATGAATTCCAACAATTAGTCTTCAAGTTATGGTCCGGACAAAAGAAAGCAAAGGAAAGGTAATAAAGGGCAATAACTCTGTAATTACTTTAGATAGAGTTATGGTTCTTATGCACTGCACTTCCTCTCAATGTGCTTGACCATTGTATGTAGTTATATTGAATTCCAACCATAAGTCTTCAAGTTATGGTCCGGACAAAAAAAGAAGGCAATGGAAAAGCAACAAAGGGCAATAACTCTGTAATTACTTTAGATAGAGTTATGGTTCTTGTGCACTGCACTTCCCCTTATTGTGTTTGACAATTGTATGAAGTTGTTTTGAATTCCAACCAGTAGTTTTCAAGTTATGCCACGGACAAGGAAAAGTAACAAAGGGCAATTACTCTGTAATTAGTCAAGATAGAGTTATGTTTCTTATGCACTGCACTTCCTCTCAATGTGCTTGACCATTGTATGAAGTTATATTGAATTCCAACCATTAGTCTTCAAGTTATGCTCTGGACAAGGAAAATGCAACGGACAAAAAAAAGCAATGGAAAAACAACAAAGGGCAATAACTCTGTAATTACTTTAGATAGAGTTATGGTTCTTGTGCACTGCACTTCCCCTTATTGTGTTTGACAATTGTATGAAGTTGTTTTGAATTCCAACCAGTAGTTTTCAAGTTATGCCACGGACAAGGAAAAGTAACAAAGGGCAATAACTCTGTAATTAGTCAAGGTAGAGTTATGGTTCTTGTGCACTGCACTTCCTCTCAATGTGCTTGACCATTGTATGTAGTTATATTGAATTCCAACCATTAGTTTTCAAGTTATGCTCCGGACAAGGAAAATGCAACGGACGTCTGGACCGACCGACCGACCAACCGACCGACCACCGGGTGACTCCTATATACCCCCCCAAACTTAGTTTTTCGGGGTATAATGAATGCTAATATATATAGTCACCATGACAACTGCTGTTTATCATAAATCCAAAGAAATTAGCACACACTTTAACACTGCCAGTGCATCCAGTACATCTTTTCCATTGAGTTTTACATTGAATCAACACAGTATTGGTCATATAATGAAATTTATTGCCCCACTTTTGGAAAATACCCAGGGGCATTTATTACTGAATATACGGTAATATATTTTACTGAACATAGAAGTAAGCTATAACCCTGATGCTAACAAATCCTGAAATCAACCTTCTTGCTATTAGGTATTGCACTTTTGAATAAATAACAAGTAAACATACATAAAATGTACAAATACATGTAGTAACTACCATTTTACACAAAATTAATTACTTTAAATTTGTTTCCACATGTACTCCTCATTACATCATCAAATGATGTTTTTAAAAATCAATTTTCAGTGTTTTATTTAAGTTACCCCACCCCATTTTTTTTTAATAATATTGACAGTAATTATGAAATAAGCTTTTTTTTCCACTATTTTTATTTAAGTTACCCCACCCACTTTTTTTATAATATCTACAGTAAGAATGAAATGAACTTCTGTGTCAATCTCTGACAAACATACCTGACATTTTTCAACTTTTATATTTAACTTTGTTATAGTAACATATTGCCCTATTTAAACAATATAGACAATCTTTTTATTAACAGAATAAGATAGAAATGAGAAAAATAATATACAGGATTTTTTTCCAGGGTGTTGAACTGCTTAATGCCATACATGTATGTTCAGTTTTTATTTCGACTTTACCTTGAAAGTATGATCATGAGACAGCACATTCTTAGGCAAACCTTAAAATCATGAAAAAATTGTGAAAAAGTTAACTCAAAATCTCCTAAGATCTGCACAAGCTTATCTTAAATGATCCAAAATGAAAAAAATACATGCACCTAGAAATGTTTATTTCTGGGATATAAAATAACGGGACAGGCAACTACCAACTAGATAAGCCGTTATGTTGGTATCCAATTGACTGACAGATATGCGTTGTGTATCAATCCTTTATTGATACTGTTATTATAATATAAAGTACATGAACATCACATTACGACCATCAAAACACAAAAGGACTGTTAAAAAGGCCAGTTGGCTAATATTTCTCCCATTTTCTCATTTTTTTACAATGGGAAAATCCGCCTCCCCCCACCGCCCCTTTTGCAATAATGAACATGACAAAATGGCGGAATGTGTGCCGTATTGGATGAAAAGATAACATGGCAATGACATCTTGTTACTTGTCCTGTTTTAATATGTTCCAGATTTTTTGCTATCATTTTGACTAGAAATTATAAACAAATTAGCACTCATGATTATAAAGAACATTTATAGAAAAAAAAAAGAAAATAAAGAAAGAAAAAATATGCCAAAGGCTGAGAAAAAAACATTTCAAATATCTGTTTAAGGAATGTTTCTTTTGTTTCAATAAAAAAATAAATTCACTATTTCATGGAATGTGTTTCTGAAACAGTCTCCTGAATATAATATAAAAAAATTGTTACTTTTAATCAGTGTCCACAATGTAGCATCATTGAAATACAACCATAACTTGTTATTCAATTTCATTGTGTTAATAAAAACAGTGTTAATATAAATTATAATAATACTAACTCACAGTAATTGTAAATAACAATACCAAATGAAGACTGTTTTACTGATTCTGAAAGGTTGCTTTTAAAGATTAAATTAGCTTTACAATACAGTAACTAATGGTATAATATAGTAACTTATGGTTCGGTCCAGTATTGCACTGTTCAGCACTGTATTGCACAGTATTACATTGTAAACATACTTAAATACTATTCGTCACAATTAAAAATACACACATGTGGATGAATATCAACAAATTAACTACCAAGCTTAAAACTGCCATTTAATGTCATTAGTAATAAAACTGCAAACAAAAGATGATTTAATCAAATAACCATACTGTTGACCTTTGAACAAATTACAAAAATAGAACTTCTTCTTTTATTTATATTTCTTATATAAAAAAAACCCCAACATTAAATAAGAAAAATCTTAATTTCTTTGTTCACATATAGTAATAATGAAACTTAAAGGAACTCACTTGAAGGCCAAAACACATAAAATTTGATTTTCCTAGATAAATCAGCCGGGCCACTTAAAACAGAAAGAAATGCAAAAAATACTAAAGAAAATATATTTTGTATACAGAATTAAATATAAAATGGTATTATCTGTGCTTAGTCCATTTTGAGAAAAAGAGTTTCAAATACTTCATTTTTAGCTCATATTGCAACATGTAAATGATTATTCTCGCGAAATAGAGTAAGCAAAAATGATCTGAATTTATGCAAACAAGTCATTAGTCCAGTCAACCCACTTCAAATACATGTATTACAGAAATCTCAAAATATATTTCCAGACCTATCACATCAAAATACCTCAGTGGAGTCCCTTTAATAAATTGGTTGCTTACTCCAAAGACACTTCAATCGATAAACCCATTTCTTCCAACCTATCAATTTGTTAATAAGCTCATTCTAATATTGCATCATGTGCGTAACATCAGGTATTTACATTACTTTCACACTCATTTCCTGCCACTGGACATTTTCTTTTGAAGTCTATTTATGCTGTTGATAAAATAACAGGGTCAAAAATTCCAATGGGGCTTTAACCAAGCTATAAATGTGGCTTATTACAAAAAGTAAAATCTATTTATAGTCTCAGTAAAAAGTAAAATCTATTTTTAGCCTCAGTGAAAAGCAAAATCTATTTTAAGTCACAGTGAAAAGCAAACTCTAATTTTAGTCTCAGTGAAAAGTAAAATCTATTTTTAGCCTCAATGAAAAGTAAATTCTATTTTTAGTCACAATGACATACTCAACCTAAGATTTATATATAGAAGTATAGCTTTGGCTTGTACCAATGTACACAGGATAGAAAGAAAGGACCAACCAGCACTTGTATGCTCATGGTTAACAATAAATTAACAGCAGTTGAAATTGTACAACAATAGTGCTTTTTTTTTCTTCCGCATTCCCATTCTAAATTAATATTTAAGTATATTGTGAACGAATTTTTGTGTCGCGGTAGATAAGCAGAAACAAAAAAATCTACAACTTATCTGGATTTCCTACAAACACTGCGGGGTGGGGACATGGGCGAGGGATAAGAACAAAACAAACTAACAAACAGAATATCACAAAATCATAAAGAGATAGAATTGCACCGAGGTATTAACAAAATATAAATAATTGCTAATATATATATATATAATTATTTCTGTCAATAAATATAATAATATTTAATATAAAGGTGATCATCATCACTAAATCATATATCTCTATAGACAACAAAATCAACAAAATTCCAAAGTATAATCTAGAATTAACACAATATATATATTACGTATATTTTTCACTCTAAAGGATGAAATATATAGTGTATCTAATCTTAAATATTGTATATATATATATTTATACAAAAAAAAAAAAAATGCTCGCATAAGTGTTGGAATGCCATAATTCACTTCTGAAGGATATACAATTTAACGTCCCAACATACATAAAAATCATATTGGACTGATATACCCTGGCACATAATCATATTGTATCATATATCAATTCATATTGTATCCCTACCAAATCATATCATCAGTTAATCTTCCTTAATGAATTAGTTGTCAGAAAATATACAAGTATAAGTAAACATACCCTAAACTGGAGAGCATAAAAAAAATTAAAAGAATTTTAAAAGAAAAACCTAAGAAAAAAAAAAGTAAAAAAGAGAGAGAGAGAGATAAAGATTTATGCTGACTGAAAAAGTTGTGAAATTGAAGTTCAATTTCTTGTAATATCAATATAAACAATTAATGTCAAAACATGTCAGAGAATAATGTTAAAAAATACTGTCAGTTTTCTTTTTATCAAAATATTCATTTTGAAACATTAAGATTCATCTGTATTGCAAACCTCCCAGTTAATATTTCAATATCAAAAACCAAAAATACACTGAAAGATTGGCATTCAAAAAAAAACTGGAATCATTGTGGAATGAACAGAAACCTTGACATTGGGTACAATAAATATAAAAGAAACTGTATGGAATGGAATTTTCCATTTTCTGAAGTGTCAAATGTTGGTCACTACATGAATCTTAAGATAAAGCCATAACTTGAGCAACATTTATATATACATTTGTAAGCATTGACTGTTTTTAATTATAAAATTGTTGCATGAAGTTAATGAAAATAATTTTCAATAGAATATGAAGATGAAAAAAATGTTTCTTAATAAAGAATGTGTTCTCTTTTCTTGCGAAGAAAAAAACAAACTTCACTGGAATGTTAATTTAAGTGTCTTTGACACAAATATATAATTAAACTTGTGAAAGAAAACAAAAGGAGTATTAGACTGTGTTTTCATTAACTATTTTGCACATATCAGCTGTGTGAAGGGATGAAATTCGGCAGGAATGTACAAAATGGTTGTATTACACAGCACAAAAATCCAACACAAGCACATTTTTAAACCGCAGTTTGGGTGATACTATCAACTACCTGTGAGAATGTACAATAGAAAAAACACACTTTTGTCAACATGATCTTCTGGCATACTATAAATAGAACACATGTGACACTTTTTCATATTGTGCTAAAAATAGAACTGTCAGATACGATAGCATTCACTTCTACAGCTGCTTTCACTTAAGTGTTCCATTTTTACAAACGAGTCATAATTAACATAAAAATTTACAAAGAGGAAGGAATAGAACTTCAAGATAATCATATCACTGACAACCTGTCAATCAGTAAGTAATGAAATTCCTTTCAATCAGTCAATACATATTTCTGGACTACTATAAATTGAAGCCCAAGCACTTTTCTTCTGCTAATTTCACAAATAAAGGTATGATAGTCCTACAGGAACATTGCACCTGGAAAACAACATTTATCAAAGGGAAAACATAGGGGGAAAGAACTTGCTTAAAAATATAACAGATTATTTTGTTTTTCCTTCATTTTCCTTTTAAAGCTTTAGGCCATAGCTAACAACTAACAGGTATAAGTCATCCACAAAGTCTGACTACGTGCATGTATTAAATGGTGCCGCCTACATCTAAATATATGAACATCACAATTACTTCATAACACACTGTCAAAACAATTTTTGTGATGATTTGATTCAAAAGAGAATGGTGTACACAGTGCAACTGGCATCGAAACTCCAGGCATCACTTCTACTTTGCAAGAGAAAATTACTTACAGAAAAAAAAAAAAAAAATCCCGTTAAAGCATTCAGACATCTGAACAATTTAGTGGCGCATTGCGTAGCATTCCACATTCCATAACAAGTAAATGCGAAGGTTTTTTTTTGTTTTACCGACAACTTCACAGCTGAAAGCGGATCACGCTCCATCTTGCATTAAATTACAGTCTATGTACACAAGTGAGTATAATATCAAAGTCAGCACCTAACACTCCCTACTCCATTGTCAACAGAGTATCACTTTTATAAATAATAATGATAATATAAAAAAAAAAAACGAAAAAAAAAAAAAAATCAAAAACAAACAAAAACCCCTTTCCTTACTTGCATTACACTTGGCAAAAGCCTCGTTTACGCGTAAATATTTTTTAACATAAATCGGACATTGAGTAAGAGCCATAGAGGAGGAACCTCTATCACTTCCTGTGCAGTGAATAAAAAAATCATCGTCTATCACTATAGCATTTAAAGACTGCTTGTAAAAACAGTTCTATGTTTTAGTTTACGATTTTCACGTTTATTTCTTCTTCACAAAACACCATGAAAGTCTTTCCACACACACAAAAGATAATGTGTTCTTTTTAACAAGCTCATCTTTTCTGGTTTCAATATTCCAATAATATCTTTTCTCAATTTCCAAAATTGAAATCAACACACGTTTTCTTGCAAATATTTACTGTTATTGTACGGTTTCAGTATTTTTTACAGTTTTCTCAACAGCTGGTTCCCCTCTGTATTAAAGAGTCTCATTTTCTAAAACTGGTACCATTTCTTGTCCTTGTATTTCAGCATTAATTGATGAGCGGTATTAGCATAAGCCTCAGCTTGCATGGACATCTCCTCCGTTTTATCACCAAGCCCGGACAACTTCTCACCACGTTCTCCCAGTAACTGTAAGAAATAAAACATAAGCTATAGACTTAAAAGGTTGAAAATTGCTTTTATAATCTTAACCCTTTCCACACCAAATACCTTAAATGGATTTGTCCAAATTACAATCTTGACAAACTTTGCACTAGATATATGAGCCGCGTCACGACAAAACCAACGTAATGCATTTGCGACCAGCATGGATCCAGACCAGCCTGCGCATCCGCACAGTCTGATCAGGATCCATGCTGTTCGCTGTCAGTTTCTCCACTTGTAATAGGGTTGGTAAGCGAACAGCATGGATCCTGATCAGACTGCGCGGATGCGCAGACTGGTCTGGATCGATGCTGGTCGCAACGCATTACGTTGGTTTTGTCGTGACGCCGCCTATATTTTTTCCATTTCAATTATAAAGGTCATAGGGTGATTTTACTCACAAGGCCAATCCATGCATTTAAGCCAACAACTTACATGAAAGTTTATAAGTCCCTGATGAGATTTGAACCAACTGCCAATAGGTGCAATTAACCTGAAGTAAGTGACCTTAATTATTTAGCCATGTAGAAGCCTTTTGCAAATCTCTTTGACCAAAGTAACACAAAACATGAGCAACTTTCAATTGATTCAAACTCAAAACCCCATACCCATAGACTTATATCTCTCACAACTTATTTACATAGAAGTCTAGGAGTTATTACATTGAACATTTTAATGTTTCCTGCAAAATTGACATGTCTATGCCAGCTATATAGAGCCAGTCAAGCCGGTACATTTGTACAATCTGACTAAACTTGATCCTCTTTGCTGCCCAATTTGATCAGTCTGTTACTGAAATCTCTCAAATGCACAAGGGGATCGTTTTGAATTCAAAGCACAGACTCCATTATACAAATTAGGAGGGTGTGAACCCTTAACCTGCTGGCCTCTTAAGCTGTTGGCATTTGTCACAAGAATAAAGCCAGAGAAGCCTGCACATCAGTAGAGTTTGACCAGACTGGATCCTATTCAGCCTGAACCTGCTGGAGCCAACAGTCACTGGCATTTGTCACCGTTATAGAACCAGGCCAGTCTGCATACCCCCAAATAGGCTCCATACGTTTGGAAACACAATTTTTGCATCTCTATACTGAAATCCCTTTCTATTCTAAATGGAATGTTCCCAAATTAAATCTGAGCAAATTCATTCTACAAATTTAGAAGGGTACATATTAAAGTGTAAAGTTTTTGTATCAGTTTTATCATCTGTATGAATATTTTGTGAGGTGAAATAATAATAAGTTCGCACATACCAATCTGGCCCTACCAACTTCACCACCAACAGCTGCTTGCGCCTGTGCTTGTAGGTTCTGCATACCACCAGAGCCTGGTACCCGCGTTGCTATATTACGACCAACCTTACCACTTCCTTCACCAACTGTATCATAAAAGAGAATTGATTTTTTGGTTTTTCATTTATATAAAAATTTGCAAGTAGCAGATAAGTCCTCTCATCAAGTAAACTTTACTTATTGCAAATTGAATTTAAAAACATATGCTTAATGAAGTAGAAAAACCAAAACTTAAGCAGTTAATTGAAAAAAGAAAAACAAACCCAAATACCCAAGATTCCTCTAGACTTTAACCAAAAAAGGGTCATAATTCAGTCAAAATATGTGTAAGAGTTATGCTCCATGGGCATTGATCTCCAATTACGCTCTCAAATAAGTGTGTGAAGTTTAAAACCGTGCCCTTCCGGAGTTTTTGAGATATCACCTTGCGCTAAAACTTATCCAAAAAGTGACCCTGATGCCTGATGAGTACAATAGCTATTCCTATTCTTCGAATAGCTGAGCTAATAATGAATCTCAAATTGTTTTTTTTTCCCCATCATAATGATAAATGAAACTTACAAAGTTCTTCTCTATCCAATGCGGAAGGTCCTCCCCCAAACAGGTTTTTGAAGAAGCTCTGTTTAGGAGCATCGGGGGTTTCTGTAGGCAAGAAGAGCTCTCCCAGCATCTCATTCAGGTTATCACTGAAATAATCAAACCATCAGATTACATTCCATGAAAATCAAAATTTAGGGAGATATTGCACTATATTATCAAAAAGAGCTGTCGGTAGGACAGCAACACTCGACTATTCTTAGTGCTTGATAGTAAAAAAAAATGCTTGATACAGTTACCTCCTCCTGTTTACAGGTTGGGGTCATGATGGTGAACAAGTGTGCAAAGTTTCAAAGCCATATGTCAATGGACTTTGAAAATATTTGAACTATTACAAAAACTTTAATGTAAATTCCAAGTCAAAAAAGGGGCATAATTCTGTCAAAATGCTTGATAGAGTTACCTCCTCCTGTCTACAGGTTGGGGTCATGATGGTGAACAAGTGTGCAAAGTTTCAAAGCCATATGTCAATGGACTTTGAAAATATTTGAACTATTACAAAAACTTTAATGTAAATTCTAAGTCGAAAAAGGGGCATAATTCTGTCAAAATGCTTGATAGAGTTACCTCCTCCTGTCTACAGGTTGGGGTCATGATGGTGAACAAGTGTGCAAAGTTTCAAAGCCATATGTCAATGGACTTTGAAAATATTTGAACTATTACAAAAACTTTAACATAAGTGGTTACGCGGACGCCGACGCCGACGCTCGGGTGACTACAATAGCTCTACTTATTCTTATCGAATAGTCGAGCTAAAAATTATCCAAATTTGCCACAAAAAAAATGTTCATGTATTCCATTCGCAAATGGATTTAATTTGTTATGTTTTCTTAATAACTTTGTAGTGGGTAATATAATATGATGTTTTCTCCTAACCAAGTTTAACTATAGCAATCCTTTACTCGTAACCAAAATAGATTTATAGTTCCTTTGCTACTTTACATGCAAGTATGTTACTATATTTACATGAACAATCAGTTATCCTAGAGGATTCAACCAATATAAATTTATTGTCTGTGGCTATGTCACGAATATTACTATATTAAGTAACAATGTCACACTGACATTAGTAGGGTGCACGAGCAACATGATATCAATACACTGAAATAATCTGAAATTCATTTCCAATAAAATCCCACTCATGACCTTTGAATAACATCATGCAAGACAGCAATCCTACTAACATATGTTGGAACAATTCTAACAAGTGCAAACACATGCCTTGTACTTATGTTTATGACATGAAAGGTATTCCTTCAACCAAGAAGGAATATCAAGAAAGGCTTCAAAGGTCTGACTGTTTTTAACCTTTATCCAGCTGAGAACTTATTCTACAATAGCAACCAGTGTAGACCAAGATCAGCTGAAAAATCTGTGCGATCTCATTAGGGGAATGCACTGTTTGCTCTTCAGTCAGTACTTTATTTTATTTTAAATTGAAAATTTCCCTAAAAATTATATATTGTTTTGTCCAGAATAAATGATGGAAAGTCCATTTCAGATATTTAGTGCGGTAAGGGTACAGAAACTTACCAAAAGTCAGCAGAGTATGTAATTTTTTGTAGTTCTGTCGGTGAACACATATACATTGCATGTCCATGGTTACTAAAACAGAAAGTTCTTGCAACTCTGAAATACAAATGGCATTTAGCTATAATTGTTTTCAATTTTATGCTCTACTTCACAAGAATTATAAATAACCCATGTTAATTATAAGGAATTCTGCAAATAAACATTTGAATTTATCAGATATATTCAATTCATTAACTAAATGGACAGCCTTTTTGCATTGAAAGACAGTTTTTATATTTTATCATAAACACTTGTCAATAATTGACAATTTTCCCTGCTAGTGACCAGTCACATATCTCACAAGTTAACTAAATGAGTGGTACGAAAAACCAGATGGGCACCAATGTAGCCCCTGCAATTGTCATAATTTAAAGTCAGTTGCGCAGTAAATTAACACACGGGAAACCGCTGCGGGGCTTTCGCGGAACCAGTGGTTCTGATAATTGTTAATTACCAATGTCTCTTCCTAAACTCGAAGCTTATCATGATGTGGCTGGCCAAGAAAGTTATCAACTGTTTAAATCTTACATACTAAGCTCAACTTGTCAGGCTGTCAGTTTTACATATATTGAACGCGAGAAAACAGTACGAATGAAAGAAATTACCTTAAATCAGTGAGAGCAAGAAAATTGACATCTAACAGCAGTTTGAGACTAGGTAGACTGTACACCATTATGTGTCCGTTGGCAACGTAACAAGCCAAACATACACTCTCACCTACAAAATATAAAATATAACATTTCAATAAATAGTATAATCAAACTTTTGAAGGAGACCATCTCCTATTTTACCACATGTACACAGTATTAAATAATGCAAATAAATTTCATTGCTTTTCCCCATTCAAAGTATTATGATGTATTTTTTTTTCTCAGACTAAATCAATAATGGCTGATTTTCCTTTTCCAAACAAAGATAGGTTTGACTGTTCAATGCTTCAGCCAAATTTTATAATTCTCTTCTCATACTTTTTTTTCTTTCCTTTTTTTTTTAGATCTCCAAGAAGGTTAGACCACTAGCTGTAAGATAAGAACTCATTATACAATCATTCAAAGTCTGAAACCTGAGACTCAATGTGATCAATTTGTCACCTTAGTGCAGTAACAGGTTATGTCCTTCTAGGAGTTAACCAGTTATTGCACAAAGATGACGAATTACTAAAATTTTATTATTTCAACATTGAAATGCCTTAAAGTCATAAAGGACAATTCCAATTTTAAAGAAGGTGATCAGCAGGGTATGGGTAAAAATAAAAGACAACGTTCCTTCACATATCACTTGAACAAATCTTTTCACATCGTGTTCAATACAACAATCTGAATATGTGCAATTGTTGACAAAATATATTTATGCTAATTCACTCCTTTCAGACACTTTAACAAAAATTTAAGAGCTGTTTCCCCAGATATAACTGCTCTTGATTCCTGAATCTGATAATGATGTAGTTGTTTCAATAATCCATTGTAAATTTATCTTGGAAATACAGCAGACGAAATATGTTTTTGCTTCAAATTAATTTTAATGTCTCGGGTCTTGAAGCATGGAAACTGTCAACGCGTATTGATTCCAGTTTCGAACCGTTGATACATCACTTATCAAATAATGTGTCCACAGCAGTTTTAAGGTTGATGCATTCCCTCAAACTTGTGTATTCAGACCAATACGTAAACAATTATATTAAGGATCAAGTTTGTCTGTAAACTCATTTTTCCTTTACCTTACATTTTACATTTATTAGCAACTTTAGGCTCTGTGGTAAGTTTCTACATCAAAATGTTTTATAAATGTCAATTTTCTTGGGATATTTTCCTGTAAAAGTAAGCTTAAGGAAAAATATATGTTTACAAAACAACTTCATTCCTACTATCAACATAGGTAAAATATGACAGTTTGCAAATATTTATATGTAAAAAGAACCCCTGGAATTAAATATGGAGAACATATTTATGGTAAAATGTTAATCTCTGGAACTTAAACATCAAAACACAAGTTTTCAAGTAAAATCAACATATAGACTATAAATTAAAGCAAGAGATTTACCCATAAGATTAGCTTATGAAGGAAGTGGTTAACCCCTGAAAACAATGAATGTTCAATGAGTTTAAGGAAGACGTTTACCCTGAGATGAATGTATCCTCAAAAAAAATTAGGTCTAAACAAGAACTCTGTGTGTCTGCGAATGGCCAAAGTATGAGCTATTGTAAGATATACAACTTTACTATGTTAAATGACTTGATTGAAAAAAAAAATGAAAACAACAAGATCAAGTTATTGATTTGACATTTATCACTGTGACCTAGAACTTTGTCTTAATGACCTTTAAATCTATAGGGGTCATCAACTTGGTATAAGCAATATTCCTATCAAGTTTCACAAAACCTTGGCCTATTCCCTTTCATGTTATTGAGCTGACAAGGATTTACCAGTGTCCCTGTGACCTTGACCTACTGACCTTGAAATCAAATGGGGTCATCTACTGGTCATAGAAAATGTTTCTATTTAGGTTCACAAAATTAGGCTTATATTTCTTCTCAAGTTTTGACTGGACAAAGATTTTTCATACCATAATACAACAGAAGTTACCTTCTGGCATATAAAAAGTTTTTGTCCAATGTTAACAATATAAAAGAACAGTCCAGTTTGCTCAATAGGTAGAGTGCTTGCCGGTGAATCAGGAGATGGTGCATCTTTTGTTATGATTATGATCATTAGATCCTTTCTACGGTCATTTACACTGTACCTCTGCTTTGGCATGTACAGAAGTTATCAGTTCCTTGCGAAACTGAAGGCAACTAGTACTGGTAAACTGCAAGTTGACAAGCCTGATGGCTGAACTGTGCTCTGGTAAATTCAAAGCAGCTTACTGCTGTGATTCAGAGTGAAAACTACCAACATCACCAATAACAATATAAGTTTTATGTTCAACATAGATTTAAGGAAGATGTTTACCCCTGAGATTAACTACATCAGCCTTTATAACGAAGGATGACTCGGATATTCTGGCCTTGTAAGGACATGTCTGTGATGGCAAGGACACAACCTGAAAACATTTAAAAGAGCAGCAAGTTAATGTAGAATGTAGCATATATAATTTCAGTACTACTGTAAAACACTTATTTTTCGCGAGAACCTTATTTCGCGAATTTGAGGCAAAATGTCCAAAATAATTATTTCGCGTCAACATGAATTCGCGTCTTCCCGAAAAATGTGAAACCGGAAACCCGATGTCATTCGGATATTTTCTGTCCTGTCCGTTCACTAACTTTGCGTCGTTTATTGTGCGACGAATGCATTTATATCTGTATCGATTTTTCTGATAGCTTGCTAATCTTCTTGTTAAGTGAAACCGTCTTTCTAAAAATATGTCAATAAAGTTTGATAATTATTTGTTCACTGTGTTTGTCATGTATTGTCCCTGATTATACTCCGTGCCTCTAGCATTGTTACTACCACTGATTAGCCATTCAAAGGCAAGCAGACGAAAATCAATTAAACGGTACTGTAATTTGCCTAACCTGTAGCAAACGATTATGTTTACCCTCCGGCTTAAACTGTAGTACAATACAATAAGATACAATAAATAGAAATGTTACAAACAACTCGCAGGTGCTAAAGTATTTGTACCAAATACCGAAACAGTTATTCTGAAAATCGTATTTTCTGTTTTTTTTTCAGGTACATGAAGAAGGTGATTGTTACGCATTAATTTGTTTATACTTAATTCTAGTGCAAGTCACAGTTACCTTCCTTGACACAGGTAATATGCAGCGAAGAAGGTTTTTTTTCCAATTCCTCAATAATACTAAATTATTACAGGAGTAATCTGTACGATATGTATATACTGCAACACTTGAATAGCTACATGATGTAACTAGAACTGGTTTCGATACTTTCCGCAGATATATATCCATGTGTACGCATTTTCGGACAGTGTTCATTTTCGGACAAGTGTATAGACAAAGTGAAATATTCGCGAGAAATATGAATTCGCGTCTTAGAAAGCTCGCGAATATTAGCGAAAATAAATTTCTCATGAATAATAAGTGTTTTACAGTATCTCTGTCACTCAGTCATACCAGCAAAATGATTTGTTTGGATTAATAATTCCTCAGAATTCTCATATATGGTAATAGGAAACCATTCTCTAACTTATCTCCTGTACCACCTGCTCTGTTGTAGGTTCAAATCCCAATTAAAATGTTAAAAAGTTTCTAGAGGAAGCAAATCGGTAAGTCAACACTAGAACTATCACTAAATGTGATAAATACCCCCGCAAGACTGCTTCAGAAATGAGGAAGTTACAAGTAACAGAATACCTTGTTAAAGAATTGAAAAAGAGTTATGGTTGTGGGCAATTAAAGATAAGTGTGGTTTTTGTATGTTGCATTTCCTTACAATATGGTTGACCATTGATGAAGTTTTATTGAATTACTCTGTAATAAATCCAGAAAGAGTTACACTTCTTGAGCACTGCACTTCCTCTCATTGCGCTTGACCATTGTATGAAGTTGCATTGAATTCTAAACATTAGTTTTAAGTTATGCACGGAACAAGGAAAAGGAACAAAGGGTAATAACTCTACAAATACTGAAGATGGAGTTATGGTTATTGTACAATGCACTTCCTCTCATTTCGCTTGACCATTGTATGAAGTTGTATTAAATTCCAACTACTAGTTTTCAAGTTATGCACTGGACAAAAAAGTAACAAAGGGCAATAACTGTAAGTCAAAATAGAGTTATGCTTCTTCTGCACTGCACTTCATCTCACTGCCCTTGACCATTGTATGAAGTTTCATTGAATTCCAAACATTTATTTTTAAATTAGGCACTGGACATTAAAAAGTAACAAAGGGCAAAAACTCCTAAATGAGTCAAGAAAGAGTTATGGTTTCTGTGCACTGCGCTTCCTCTCAATATACTTGACCATTGTATGAAATTGTATTGAATTCCAAATAGTACTTTTCAAGTTATGCAAAAAGCAATGGAAAAGTAACAAAGGGCAGTAACTCAATAATTATTCTAAACAGAGTTATGGTTCTTGTGCACTGCACTTCCTCTTAATGTGCTTGATGATTGTATGAAGTTGTATTGAATTCCAACCAGTAGTTTTCAAGTTATGCTCCGGACAAGGAAAAGTAACAAAGGGCAATAAGTCTGTAATTAGTCATGATGGAGTTATGGTTCTTGTGCACTGCACTTCCTCTTAATGTGCTTGATCATTGTATACAGTTGTATTGAATTCCAACCATTAGTCATCCAGTTATGCTCCAAACAAAAATAAGCAATGGAAAAGTAACAAAGGGCAATAACTCTGTAATTACTTTAGACAGAGTTATGGTTCTTGAGTTTTACACTTCCTCTTATTGTGCTTGACCATTGTATGAAGTTGTTTTGAATTCCAACCAGTAGTTTTTAAGTTATGCCCCGGACAAGGAAAAGTAACAAAGGGCAATAACTCTTTAATGAGTCATGATGGAGTTATGGTTCTTGTGCACTGCACTTCCTCTCAATGTGTTTGACCATTGTATGAAGTTATATTGAATTCCAACCATTAGTCTTCAAGTTATGGTCCAGACAAAAGAAAGCAATAAAAAAGTAACAAAGGGCAAGAACTCTGAAATTACTTTAGATAGAGTTATGATTCTTGTGCACTGCACTTCCCCTTATTGTGCATGACCTTTTGAATTCCAACCAGTAGTTTTCAAGTTATGCTCCGGACAAGGAAAAGTAACAAAGGGCAATAACTCTGTAATAAGTGAAGATAGAGTTATGGTTCTTGTGCACTGCACTTCCTCTCAATTTGCTTGACCATTGTATGAAGTTGTATTGAATTCCAGCCATTAGTTTTCAAGTTATGCTCCGGACAAGGAAAATGCAACGGACGTCTGGACCGACCGACCGACCACCGGGTGACTCTTATATACCCCCCCCAAACTTCGTTTTTGGGGATATAAAAATGTTATTACCAGCTAAAGCGTTAAATAGCAAACAAGAGACATTGCCATACTTCATCCACCAGCAAAGAAAGGAAAGACGCCAAACAACCATAACTATTTAAGTTTTTAAATAAAACTTCTTCAAGAATTACAAAACCTAAGAGTTGCTTTGCTAAGACAGTTGGCTTGACTTAATCTAGCAGTTACAGCACTGTTGTTGCAAAATAAATCTCAAACTAAATACATATTTCTAAATTCTGTACTCACCCTTGCTTGTTTTTCTGAACAAATGATTGCAAACTGTCTATCTGTAACTTCTGTTGAAGAACTCGGTGATATCTTTAATTTTTGAGCTGTAGAAAGAAAAACTTATTTGAATACATGATAAAAGTATTCACGTTCATTTATATATTCCTACTAAAGTAAGTTTCACCTACTTCAAAACTGAAACAAGAGCCCTACAAGCAGTGTTAAGTTTCATCTGTTAAAGAATTAAAAAATAAAAGAGGCCATAGCTCCGAAATATTATTATATCCCTTGCTTAAAAACTGCACCTTGTTAAGATTAGCAAGTACTCCATGTTTGTAGTTTATAACATAATACATTTTAAATGGTTGAATAATGGGTTACATAAAAGTTTTTGCATGGTGACGACAACCATGCCGCAGCCATCATTATATATTGTAGCTTGACTTTCTCATGAAACAGACAGGCTTAAAAGGTAACTACTCCCTGTACACAGCCACATATAGGATGACACATATATGAATGTGAAGCATTGCTAGAGAATCCAACTTAAAAATTAAGGTCTAGAGTAAGTACATGTACAGTCAGGACTCAATACATCGGAATCCATTATACTGACAAATTCAAATAACGACAGTGAATTGGTGGGAGCCAAATTTTTTCAACGTTATTATAATCCTTTATAACGGAAATTCGTATTCCGACTCAATAAAATTGGAAACCAAACGTGTTATTTTCTATACAATCAGTACCCGTTAAACTGACACTAGGCGTATCAATTAGCCGTGAACAAAAGCCACAAGGTGTTAAAACAGGTATTGTGAGCTTGGTTAGTTGATTGTTACACCTTATTACAATACCAACGTGTTGTTGTCAGCTGAATTTTGTTACACATGCCAGTCGCAGTTTTAAGGAAAGTTACGAAAGTTCAGGCAAGGATGTGATAAACTATTTAGAACAACAGGATACCCTCTTCGATCCGAAATATTTAGACACTGCTTGGGCATTGATGTCTGCTTTAAACAATACAAAATCAAACAAGGTTCAGAAAAGTATCAAAGACTTTTTCCGTTAATTGACAAAGACAACAAACAGTGTGCAATCAATTTTTAAAGTTTAACTTTTAAAAGTCCTATCATTATAATGTTTTATCATTTTATTATCAATCTTTAACTATTTTAGTTGCTATTATTTTAATAAAGTTGTTGTATTATGTGAATGATATGTAATGTGTATAATAAAGTGAACACATAAACACAAAATTCTTTTACATTATAGATATTTATTATAAATCTAAATACATAATGTTCAGATACCAGTGAATAAGCATATCATTACATGATGAATGATGAAATTCAATATACTGACAAATTCGATATACTGACATATGATTTGGGAACCAACAGTGCCGTTAAAATGAGTCCTGACTGTATACTTTCATACCTAAAAGCCACAGATTTTTATTCTAAGTAACACATTTTAAAGGTGTTAACTCTTGTTTAAAGGTTGCCATAAGTGGGTCCCACATGCAGCTTTAAAATAAACGTTCACATACAAATGCAAATGAAGAGAAAAGCAGTTCAACATAACAGTCTGCAAGTACAATGTATAGCAGAAAACAAAGGGTCATAATCTTCAGCAAATCAGGGTTTATAACTCCCAAACAAATTCTCTGTTTCCAACAAAACAATTTAAGCATCAACAAGCTTACGTGTAGCATTTTGTGTTTTGGAGTTTTTTGCTTGGTCATCTTTCGAAGAATCCCGCCATGCACCTGACGTAACTGTGGGTATAATCATACCATTACAGTCTAAAAATGACATACACTGGATGGCACCTTTTAACCGAAATATTGTTCCTGAAAAAGTTGATAAAAACATTGGGTTATCCGTTAAATAATTTATTTTTTTTAATTTTCCAGCTACTTGGATTCTAAATCATACTTATGGAGATATAAATTTATTCACAGATTCTTAAACACTGACTACCCAAAATAAATAAATTGAAACAGATTTTTATTTAAAGTCAAAAAGATACAACCCTATTTCTGTGCCACAGTCTTTTATTGTGTAGATATTTTCATATGACCACAAAAAAAATCTTACCACTAGGTGAAACTATCACTGGTTGAGACAACCGTTGCTCCCCTGAAGGAGGAAGATTTAGCACTATTACCAACACTGAGCCCAGGCTTGTTCCCACCCACAAACAGGGGCTTGTAAAATTATCTGAAAAGGTGGAAAAACAAATGAATATCATAACTATCACTTGTTCTTTTTTCTTCTTATCTTCATGTTTAAAAGAAGATATACATCTGATTTGAATATTTCCCACAGTGCATCTTTCACTACAAATCTGAGAGGACTTGAATTCAAGAAATTATTTTTGAACTTCTGCTGCTGTTGATCTATCCCAGTGTGAATTTTTTTATTAACTTGCTTGTTACTAAACCCTTAACCTTTTACCCCATGAGCATATTGCGAAAAATGGCCGTTTTCATTGAAAAGCCTCCTGTAACAAGTTCAAACTGCTATGAAACTGTAAAAAATGCTTCAATACTAATGAAACTTGGCACAAATGTTGACTACACCATAGCCTCTGTAACAGCATGCTCAATGGTAAATTTTCTGTTACCATGGCAACGGGGGGACGTCTCAAAATTGCCAAAAATCACTATTTTCCATTGTTTTTTCCATCAAAACTGATTTCAAAGTGCTGCAACTTCTCAATGAATGGAGATAGAGTAAAAGGCATTTCAGCGTCGGTTACTAGTTACCCTAAGATGGACCTGAGGCCATTTTTAGCCTGTCACATGTCCAAAATTTTCTTGGAGATGAGGGGGACTCCGCCCCCCTTCAAACCCCCCAAACAGAAGGGGCACATCCCCCTTCTGCAACCCCCTCATGTAATATTTGGATTGGGACAGCGCCGAAAAAGTGGTCACTTTTTTTAACAACATTTCTCAAACGAAAAAACAGTGTTTGGGCCTAAATAGGGCATTTTTTCACTGTTTGAGGCCTCAAAAAGGGGGGGGGGGGAAAGCCGTCGAAACACGCTTATATAAGGGAAAAGGTTAACCCGCTGACCAATGTATTTGCCCTGAGTTCATTCAAAATTAAAGTGGCGGTATTGCTGATTGGTTAATGCATCAGACTAGTAGTCTATGTGGGTTCAAAGCCAGTTAGGGGCAAGCCTTTGTTTCCTTGGGCAAGAAACTTTACAGTCATTGCTCAAAACTGGTTGGTTGCAGAAATAGAGCCAAGAGTATAATGTCTATAATCTTGTAGCTTCCTACAGAATCAAACTAAAGTAAATTCTGTATAAATTAGTAAAGTTTAAGGGATTTTGATACAAAATACAAAAATTAAACTACCAATAGTATAGAGCCTAGTCAAACTACTCAAATGTGAAGGCTGGCCTTGCTCAAAGGCTAATCACTCCAAGGTCTAGCAGGTTAGAGGTTTATAATGCAGGTAAAACTAGAACTATTATAGCTTTTTTCTATTTCCCTTTCACACCATCTCAGTGTCATGGCCCCTCAACTCATGCATAAGCTCATTTTCTTTCATTTCATTGGTCTTTTCATAACTTTGCTTCTTCCACTTGTTTGCCTTTTTTACATAGCAGACTAAAAAGTATTTCTCTAAAACCATGCAGTTGTTTGTCTAGACTTCAAATATAACAGGAGTTTTGGCAATTGCAGTAAACATAACCCAACAAAAACAGCATATCAAGAGGTATGTGGCAAAATAAATCAAGCAGCACCTCATCAACAATCATATTGCCTTATAATTAAGTACCCGAAAAATTGACAGAAATCTAACATGAAATGTAGACAGATTGTCCCTTTGTTCCACAAATAATGGACGTTTCTTGGGTTTATGATGACAATATGAAAGACAGCCATATCACAAAGAAAATCTTTTGACGTGTAGACATCCCTTGCTCAAACCTTTCATGCGTAGTATCTGATTTAAAACACGAGGCTAAGATAACAATGTTAGAGGCAGAAATTTTATGTGGTAGGCTCACATTGTATTCTTGAGACTCAATTTTTTTCAAACAGTCACAGTGGAAAAAACAACTTTCGACTAACTACCTCACAAAATATATCACAAGCTCCCAGACAGAACCTTAACTCACAGCAGAGAATGGTGACACACCCAAACTCAAATTGGTCAACTTTTTTTAAACATTATTTTTGTTTGGCAGTTAATGTTGCAACAACATTATCGAGGTCATATGGCAACACTTCTGCTTTACAGTTTGGGTGATCATGTGACACTTGGGTACAATAACATTGGGTCACTACTTATGGCTTCCACCATACACAAATACACATTAATGGTTCATATTTTTGCAATACAGCTATTGTACTTTTCCTGAAATTTGCCCAGAACATGATATATGTTTACACAATGTTATCGTAAACAGATTTTATGTTTTGTGATCACCGACCCTATTTATAGGGAATAAATAACTGCATGATTTAAAAGCACTTTCCTAGGAGGAAGACGCATGTTAACGGCCCCTGCTATCAAACAAATAAAAGCCTTATCTTAACAGCAATATATTTCATGATTTAACATGCATTTTTTGACAAAAATAGCTTGCTGATATAAAGAAAATCGTACCAAATTTGCGAGTATAAGAATCAGCGAAGACAAGACACTGGATGGCTTCCTTCGACACATTTTCAAGACTGGACATACTCGAACTTCGAGACCGGGAAAACGATGACCCATCATTCTTGTCTGAAAAAATACAAAATTAAACTTATTCTTATTTAAAACAAATCAGGGTAAAGTACTATACCTTTATGCTGATTTGAAAGTGACCTTTATCTATAAAAATACGAGTTAAAAAAATCTTCAATGTTTCATTGTCAAGATACTGTCTTAACTTTTAAAAATTTCTTTTAGCTTGCAAACTCAAAATTTACCTTGATACTAAAGTTACATATCCAATTTCGTTCTTCAAGAAATTCAGTCTGCTTTTAAAAATTTCCAAAACAAACAGTAAACTCTGCTTATAACGATATTCAGGGGACTGTCAAATTTATATTTCTATATCTGAGAGGCAACCAGTTTGAAAACAATAATTGGGACCGTGACAAAAGCATTGTTATAAAGTGGTATAGTGTTATAATCGGTGTTTTTATAAGTAGAGTTTACAGTAGAATTTTCTGGTTTATTTATTAAGAACTTTCGCTAATATCCCTACAATATCAAAAAGGAGTATGTTATGTAAAATAGTAAAAATAAAGGGGACAGACACACTCCCTGTATTCTTTGATGTCAAGATAATTCCTAGGGCATCATTATTTGCACTTTCAATTTAACATAGAAGCATGTACTATCATAAAGCATAATTAGATCATTTATATAACAATATAAGAATAAGAAATAGTAACTGTGTTGAAAAAGTGATATCTTAATAACTGTATGAAAAAGCATTAAAGCTAAGATTATAAAATTTTAGCTACATGATACTCTTGCTGAAAATATGTATATACAAAGTTGTTTTTTTGTTTTTAGTTTTTAATCAATTAATTCAAATAATACAGAAAGACCTGATCTTGGTTTTAAAACAAAAGAAAATTTACACATGTTGAATTATTTTCACTTTTTTTTTAATTTATCTTTAAAAAATAATACAGCATTGAAACCTCTAATTAATATGATCATTTAGAATAATTTTCATGAGAAGTACATAGATTGTTAATATAATTCATAATGTTCTTTTATGTAGCAGGTCAAAAATAATATATATAATTTCACCTCTGGTTACCTTAAAAACAGAAGCTTTTGAATATGAAATGTTGTTATAATAGTATATGATATATTTTTCTAAACAACTAATGTTGTCTAAATATATGTACTTGAATATTTGTACATGTAATGATGGTAAATTAACAACTAAATTCAAAATATAACTAGCACTAGTATAAAAGCATTTATAAAGCCTACAAGAATATGTGGTATATATCTGTCAAAAGAATAAAGACAAAAATGCACCTTTTCCCTGCTGCAAGTAAAAAGCTTAGGAAAATTAAAAACAAATTGTGTCACCTTAGTGCAGTAACGGGCTTACTCATTATATAATTTAATAGGAGTTAACCCATTACTGCACTAAAGTTACGATTTATGTCTGTGGTCTGAAAAATAATGAAACATGATGCACACATGAAAAAACAAACAAAAAACAACAGCCACTGTTACCTATATATGTAAAACAGTCTAGTAACAACTGGCTGGCTATAAGGTAAAATAGAAAAAAAAATATGCAAAATTCATTCAAATTACAAACCTTGTGCAAGTAGAAGATGTACATAAATTTACCTTTTTTGAATGCTTCAAGACAATTTAATTTAACATATAAAAGTGCAGTTGTGAAATTTGTTGCTGTAAAAGTAAACAAAGTTCATTCAAAAATGTGCAAACAAATGAACAAAATTCTTCCTGTTGAATGGTTTGGCCATTGTTTTAACAATTTAACATTGCCATGACCTTATTTGATATTGACCTAATGCCACACTTTTTCATCGAAGAAATTTAACAACAAACTATTAACAGTCTGCAATAAATGAATGGATAATAATTTGGTAATAACACCAGTGCCTGTCAGCATCTCCAGGCTCTATGCAGTTGGTTACTAAATAACCCAACAATTTTCACACTCAATTCCCTAAAACTAACAATGTACCATTCCAAAATTACAGGACAAGTCCATTATATAAATTCAGCAAGATAAAGGTTATTGTCAGGATTTGAACCCAAAGTGGTGAGGCAAAACCAGCAAGCCATTCAAAGTCATCATCCTTAACCACTCGGCCACAAAAGTTAAAAGTAACCAAGATTATATAACAACTTTGGCAGCAAACTTTTGCCATTGAAACACAACAATTTTTCAGATTGTAAAAAAAAAACACGTCATATTCCAACCTGTCATTATTAATCAAAGCTAAACAGCACAGAAATCATTAACCAAATGGACAAAAATATCTTAATACCATTATGTGTTCTATTATCAGAGGGATAAATTGTAATGATTATTCAACAGACTAATTGGATATCACAAGCCTCAATGTATGAATGAAGCCTCCACAAAATTTCTCTTTTCTCATCTTACAGGGTTTTGCATGGGCAGAATAGTTGCAACTTCTTATGTGTTTCAAGAGTTTCACACTGATCCGGAACAAATTGCTCAAAATCTATTACAGGCTTTAAATCCTATGGTAAAAGAATGACCAATGGACTTCAATCATAATTATAGTGATGGACCAGAATTGACATTGAAAAACATAGGCCACTTTAGCAGCTCAACCCGACAATAGCCACCAAGGTCAATAGAAACCTCAAGTTTTATCCTACTATGCTATTCTGGTTGGCTAATAAACCGAGACCAAGTCTGTCATAATATGTAATTAAGTGCACAAATAGATCAAGTACCAATAAACTTTGAAGGTTAATGGCCATTAGACATGACAAGTTCACTGAGTGCATCCAGTCCCATGTTGCCATATACTCCCACTCAATGCAAAGTTTATTTTTAAATAGAAATTGAATAAATTACAATATTTCACAAAAGTAGAAATTTGAGAGTACATAATTTTTATCAAATACAAATTAATGTACAAATAAGTTTCAAAAGTAATACTTGGCATATTTCTGTCATACATTTAAGAAATTACCACACAGATACACGTACACATAAACAAGGAACACTATACAGACATAGAGACATAAAAAAAGAAAACATATATTGGTAATATCGAAAAGTTTAAAAAAAAGAATAGGAAAAAAATGTGTAACATCAATGGTTTGCAGTCACAGACACAGGACGTTGACAAGTGCTCAAAAATTTAAACTAAATTCAAAATTATTTCAATATCTAGATCCTCGGACGGACATTTAAATGACAAATATTGAATCAAAAATGCAATTGTGGTGACTATTTCGTTTTTCTAATGCCTAACATACCATTACAGCATGCCTATGTTACTAGTATAAAATACACGCCAGCCTGGATACTGATAGGTGCTTCATTTCAGTACATAATATTTAGATATAGAAATTGCTTAAACTAATAAATTGAATCGACACGCTCCCAAAAAACAGCAAAATTATTCTAGGAAAACAATCTTGGTGGGGCAAGGTTTATTTGAATTTGTAATTGATAATGGTTGTGTCATCAGATAATTTACACAATAACAATGACAAAAGCTCCCAGATGCCACTCAGACTTGGCAACCTACATTGAAAAAGAATTTTGGCCTTTGTGACCTTGCCCTTATCCAATTTTAAAACCCATTGATGTAGACTTTTACATATCAAGCATTAAAATATCTGACAATAAATGAATTAAGGCTCTACGATGAAAAATAGAACAGTCTATCTTTAACTTAAGTGACCTTGACCTTAATGAACCTCATAATTCATCATAGAACAAATTAATGCTCATGAATGAGAACAACATTCTTTGGTCTCAAGTAACACATATCATTAAATATTGTCTGGGTAACTTCAATGACTTTGGACTCCATCAAACTTAAGGTCACCCTGCCAACCTCATAGAATGGTAATTATATTTATCCCAAAGGTACACATGATCCCAAATATTTAAGGTACACATGACTTGTATCTCTCTATTTTTAAACTTGGTGACCTTGACCATATCAACCTCCTACTGTACATAAGAATAGAGGTCCAAACTAGGTAGCTAAACACCATATGCAAGACATCTGTCAATAAATGAATGTGATATGAGAAATGGTCAATTAGTGTGAGGATTAAAAGAAAAAATAGGTCTCTATATGCTTTCCATTTTTTGTACCATAAAAACGTATAAAAATAATGTTTATATTAAGAGATAGCACTGCCTCGAGACTTTCTTTTTTCAAGGAATCATGCAATTCAATTGAATACCTTGACATAAAAATGGAATTGACCGGACAGGTTTGTAGTGGGGAAAAGGGTCATACATATAAAAATTGCTAAAATATTCTAATATTTTTTATAACAAGAAAAAACTTTACAGTGTGCGGAAAAGATTAGTTAAAAAAGAGGATTTTTTTCCATCACCAGTTCATAAAACATTCTGTTGTGCACAGTGAAGTATGAGGACTTCTTTAATCAATCTAACTAAACTAAAAAAAAAGTACATTTTCAAATGTACAATTTCAAGAAAAAAAAAGAACTGACCTGAACTGACAAAAATATATTTTTTTTTTAAATAAACCAATAAATTCCTTTTTTTTCGTAAAAAAATCAAACAAATAAATTTGCTTATTTATAACTATGCAAAAAAGACAAAAATTTCACTTTATTATTATTTTTTAATCCAAAATGATACTGAATGGCTAAAAATGATTGTATGTATGACAAAAAAAAAACTAGAAATGTGTCCATAGGACACGGGTGCCCCCACCGCGCCACTGTTCTGTCAATCTTTTTACTAAGTCAAGGGAAATTACTCTACAAATACTGGATAAATCCACAAGCAAAACCCCAGGTGCAAATCTAAAATATGCTGAGCAACCTGCCAATAAGGTAAAATGACTATGTCAAATCCTTTTTGAGAAACTTGCGACACAAGTTGAAAATCGCAAAAAAGTGAAGGGCAATAACTCTAAAAATACTAAATAAATCCAGACGAAAATACCTGGTGCACAACTGCACATGCTAATCAATATTCCTGTAAAGTTTCATGACTGTAGGTCAAATACTTTTTGAGTCACGTGCGACACAAGTTCAAAATTGCAAAATTTTACTAAGTCAAGGGCAATAACTCTGAAAATACTAAATATATCCAGAAGAAAATACCCAGGTGCACAACTACACATGCTGATCAACATTCCTGTAAAGTTTCATGACTGTAGGTCAAATACTTTTTGAGTTACATGCGACACAAGTTGAAAATTGCAAAATTTTACTAAGTCAAGGGCAATAACTCTGAAAATAATGAAAATTTCCAAACGAAAATACCCAGGTGCACAACTACACATGCTGATCAACATTCCTGTAAAGTTTCATGACTCTAGGTCAAATACTTTTGAGTTACATGCGACACAAGTTGAAAATTGCAAAATTTTACTAAGTCAAGGGCAATAACTCTGAAAATACTTAAAATATCCAGACGAAAATACCCAGGTGCACAACTACACATGCTGATCAACATTCCTGTAAAGATTCATGACTCTAGGTCAAATACTTTTTGAGTTACATGCGACACAAGTTCAAAATTGCAAAATTTAACTAAGTCAAGGGCAATAACTCTGAAAATACTAAAAATATCCAGACGAAAATACCCAGGTGCACAACTACACATGCTGATCAACATTCCTGTAAAGTTTCATGACTCTAGGTCAAATACTTTTTGAGTTACGTGCGACACAAAAGTGAACGGACGGACGGAAGGACGGACGGAAGGAAGGACGGACTGACAGACGGACGGACAAGGGTAAATCTAAATGCCCGCCACTTACGTGGGGGCACAAAAACCAACTCAATTCTGTGAAAAAAATTAATTGTATTACACCAAATTTAACAGGTAATAAATACTAAGTGATAACACTAGACAAAACTTGATCCAAAACAGAACCTGAATTCAAATGAGTTTTTTAATTTCTTATAAACCATTAACATGTCTTCATTAAATGAAGGAGGTTTTTTCTTTATCATATTCAAGATGTATTTGTATCTTTTTTCTTTATTTTCAAGAATCTGGTGAAAGAAATAAAACCAACTCTGACAATGCGGAAAAAATCGACTTAAAGCACGGAATGATTCAACATGACCATAAACTTACCAGAGGCACTTGAATCTGGTTTTAGGTACACCACTACATATCGAAAACAAACAAGACGGTTATCGTATAATTACTCACATATAAAAATATAATTATACAAACCACTCTCCCAAACAATTACATCACATTTTTCATCTTAATACTTTACTTAATTTACATAATTTTATTACCTTCTTAGTAAAAAACCCGATTATTTATTTTACGAAACAACAAGAGCTGTCCGTAAGACAGCGCGCTCGACTTTTTTATTGCTTGCCAATAAAAAAAGTTTTTGCAGTAAAAGGCAATACAAGAATCTCTGTATTTTTAAAGTGAACAATGGCCATGAGCATTAAGATATTTAGTGAAGAATTATTTTACTGAATTGTGTGATACCCTTGAACACTGCAGGTTCAGTGGATAGGAATGAATTTTTTTAGATTTTTTAAGTTTTTTAGTGCTTGCCTATAATACAAAACATTGACAGTTAAGGGCCATAATTCAAATAAAATCTTTGACAGAATTACCTTCTCCTGGACATGTTTGGGAATCATGATTGTAAACAAGTATTCCAACTTTCAAATTAATATCTCAAACAGTTCAGTCAAAAAGTGGACTGGTACTAAAAACTTAACCAAGATTCTAAGTCGATAAAAGGCCTTAATTTTTAAAACAAATCCTTGACAGAGTTACCTTCTCTTGCGTACAGATGGGGGTAATGATGTGAAATAGCATTAAAAGTTTCAAAGCAATATCTCAAAGGGTTAAGGCAATAAGTGGATTTTACCCATATTCAATGTATTTTCTAAGTCAAAAAGGGGCATAATTCTGTCAAAAACCTTGACAGAGTTATGTCCTCTTGTCTGTTGATGAAGGTCGTGATGGTAAACAAGTATGGTCAGTTTCAAAGCAATACCTCCAATGGTTTTGAAATAAAGTGAGGTGGTACAAAAAACTTAACCAAGCTCAATACACTTTCTAAGTCAAAAAAGGGCCATAATTCTGTCAAAAACCTTGACAGAGTTATGTACTCTTGTCTGTAGATGGAGGTTATGATGGTGAACAAGTATGGTAAGTTTCAAAGCCATACTTGTAATACTTCTTCTGAAATAAAGTGGGGTGGTACGAAAAACTTAACCAAGGTGTGACGCCAACGCCGACGCCGGGGCGAGTAGGATAGCTCCCCTTTTCATAGAAAAGTCGAGCTAAAAATTGATTATTTTATTTTACAAAACAAAAATAACAATGATGAAAACTGCAAAATTACAACTGCAGAAATTAAATTATCTCCTATATACAAAGTCCTACAAACTAGTACAATTTTAATATTTCTTGATTGCATATCTTACATACAAGCCATCTTGCCAGATTCTTTGCACTATTATGTAACTTTTTATTATACTTTTAAAATACATTTCAATAATATTCTTCAGATGATGACTTTCTATCTCTTTGTGTTTTTCAAATGTATATTCATTCAAGTTTATACTTTCTAGTTTTTATCATGGAGGAAAACCACTAATGCAACTTCATACAATATTTCAAGTGTATTGCAATGCATTAATAAATGGTCTGTCCTTGCTGATTAACAACTTTCACCTGACTGTGCAAATGAATGCCTAGTTGGTGGAATTTTTTTTTGTAGTATTGAGAAATTGAAAACAAGAGGGCCATGATGGCCCTGAGGTTGCTCACCTGTATATAGGCCCCCAGAGCGGGGCCAGTTTAAACCCAAGGGCTTTTATTTGAACAAACTTTGAAGACACTCATTAGAAGATGTTTCACAATGTTAAGTTTTTACTACACACATATAATGAAAAACAATGATCTCTCGCCCCCCCTTCCTCCCCCCCCCCCCAGGGCCAATTTTCACCCGAGGGCTTTTATTTGAACAAACTTGGTAGACACCCATAAGAAGATATTTTATGCTAAACATCTAAGCTCTAGCATATTGGGTTTTTTAAAAGAAGATTTTTAAGTTTTTACTATACACATATAGTTAAAAACAATGACACCCCTGGGGCGGGGGCAGTTTTGACCCCAGGGCTTTTATTTGAACAAACTTTGTAGACACTTACTAGAAGATGTTTCATGCTTAATATTGTTGTGAAATTTGAAACTTGTCTGTTACTAAAAGAGTATTCTTTTAGGATGGTATATCTGGACAACATTTCTAAGCTGGTTAAAATGTTTATGTTAACTTTTACTCATCTTTTGTTGTAAAACAATTGACAGAATATTGGCACAGCTCAGTTATTTTTAGATTATGAGCATACCTCATTCCAAATTTGGAAAGGTCGCGCAGACAAAGGTCACGCGACACTTAAGGTCGCGCAATAGGAAAGGTCGCGCAGAATCAGCTTTCCCATGCATGCTAGTTCCAAATATGGAGAGGTCGCGCAATAAGAGGTTGCGCAGTCTAAAAGTACAAGGTTTAAGTTATTTTTAGCCCTTCAGCATCTCAATTGTTGTTAACAAAGCATATTTTGGTCATATCAGATTTTATGAATGGGATTCCTTACTGCTTTATCTATGTACAGGTTACTTGGTTCAAATGTTGAGCTGTATGTTGTAAAGCTGGAGAGATTATATTTCTGTTGTTTAACGAATTATCAGTCAGTATTATAAGTTTATAGAAATGTCAATCAGTAGTAAGTGTATTGGTCTTATAAGCCATATATAGTACATATATCTTTATTAATACAAGTATATTTTGCACTATTAAGTTGCATTATTGGACAGATAATAATTATGCTATTGAGTGTTAACATGTAAATTTATATAACTATTATGTATTTTTGTACTTATGTTTGTATTGTACAACAGTCTGTATACCTGAACTAGTTGCAGGCCAATTTGAACATTGTTAAGGCATTGTCAGCACTTTTAATAGGTTGCGCAACATTCAGGTCGCGCAATGAGTTGTGTGCCAAACTGGTTAGCGCAAGTGGGTCGCGCGACAGTCTACTTTTGCACACCACCCTAGCTGCGCAAACAGAAGGGTATATAAGCTGGGAACTTTTCTAGCTGGGTGGGTTTTTGAGGAGTTTTGAGTTGGAGTTTGTTGAGTTGAGTTGGTTAGTTTTTGAGTTAGTAATTGAAGAAATGTATTTGTTGTTGTTAAGAATTTTACTTTGGTTTTGACTGTTGATAGAAAATAAAATGATGCATTATTTTGATTTACTGCAATAAATATAATCCTGCTTTCACTTGGACTTGACTTGTTCATTGTACCAGCATAGAGAAATGGTTGACTTTTAAGCGAAAAGAGTGAATAAACAAGACTTTTCACAAAAGGGAAGTTTTCGTAACAATATCTAAACTCTAGCTATTTGGGTTTTTTCAAAGAAGATTTTTTAAGTTTTTACTATTTGCAAAAAAGGGAAATCAATTACCCCCCCGGAGGGTGGCCAATTTTGACCCCAGGGCTTTTATTTGGCAAAACTTTGTAGACACTCACTAGAAGATGTTTCATGCTTAATATCTAAACTCTAGCTATTTGGGTTTTTTCAAAGAATTTTTTTAAAGTTTTTACTATACACATATAAGGAAAATCAATGTCCCCCGGGGCGGGGCCAATTTTCACCCCAGGGCTTTTATTTGAACAAACTTGGTAGACACCAATAAGAAGATGTTTCATGCTGAATATCTTAGCTCTAGTTCTTTGAGTTCTTTAAAAGAAGAATTTTTAAGTTTTTACTATATGCATATAGGGAAAATCAATGACCCCCTGGGGCGGGCCAATTTTGACCCCAGGGATTTTATTTGAACAAACTTGGTAGACACTCACTAGAAGATGTTTCATGCCAAATATCTAAGCTCTAGCTCTTAGGATTTTTTAAAAGAAGATATTTAAAGTTTTTTCTTTCGGTTGCCATGGCAACCAGAGTTCTGTATGGAATTAAATTCTTTGAACAATTTTTAAAGGTGACCACCAAAGGAACATTCCTGTGAAATTTGGATGAAATTGGCTTAGTGGTTTATGAGGAGATGTCATTTAAAGTAAAAGTTTACGGACAGACGGGCGTACGCCGGACGAAAAGCGATCACAAAAGCTCACCCTGTCACTTTGTGACAGGTGAGCTAAAAAAAGAAAAAAATAAAAACCCCAAGTTTTACAAAACTTGTTAACATATCAATCCCTATAACACTGCAATTAAATTAAAAGGAAAGGTTTTATAATAAATCAATACAAAAACTACATATATCTCAAATTGTTATATAAAAAACTTTTTTTTATTATTACTTATTTCATAGCAAAACTATAGGATATATGAATAAATAATGCATTTCCAGAAGTCGGTATCTTCTTTTCTTATAAATTTTCTGTTCTATTCAAAATAAAATTTGTTTAATTCTACAAAGTTATACTAAACATATTCAAAATCAACATGCCCAAATAAATGAAATAGAAAAACAAGATATAAGAAAATAAATACACAATTTAAAGGAACAAATAAACAACATAAAATTAATGGTTAAATCAATGATTAATTTGGGTAAGATTATTCTTCTTCATTAATTCACACAGAGTGGTTATTTTTATAACTGACAGGCCTATGCAGTTGGTCCGGCCATGTTACCAGAGGCCAAAGAGGTCTTCAGACTCCATGCTTTTGGTACTCAGGATCCCTTGAATTTACAATGGAATGTTCAAAATTCAAAGGTCTATCATACAAATTCAGCAGGGTTAAAAAACAAAATAAAATTTTTTGGAGCTGGCCACATACAAAACTGATTGACAACTTGTCTTAAGCTTTTTTGTATTGAAACACCGTATAATAATATAGCAGTGACAAAGTCAAAGCAGAGCGAGTTGACATTACATAAATTCTGCAGAGTTAAGTTTTAACTTAAACAATCTTAAACAATCTCCCCAGCTGGGAAAAATCAAATAATTTTTTACAAATATAGTAGTGTAAGGTCTGGTTAATCTTAAATCAATGTCCAGTCTAATAAAGAAACCATCACAAAAAGGCTTTAAGTGCAACTAGAACTGCCACTCTCATGGTGTGAATACCCCCGCATACCACTTTGTCAGAATCAACAGTGGCCATTTAGAGCTCAAGGACAACCTCCCTGCCAAATCTGAGGTTCTAAGCCAGTGCATTGCTAAGTTATGTATTCTACATACTTCAAATGTGAAAATGTCAAAATCAATACACTGCGGACAGGTATTCTTAAGCATTTGAGCAGACAAGCTTATTATAGTAAAAAATCCCTGTGACCTTGACCTTTGACACAGTCACCTTAAAATCAATAGGGATCATCTACTAGTCATAAACAACCTCAATACCAAATATGAAGACTGTTGACCAAAGCATTCTAAATCAATTGAGCGGAAAAGCTTTTTAAGTCAAGGCCCCTGTGACCTTGACCCGGTGACCTCAAAATCAATAGGGGTCATATACTAATCATGACTAACCTCCATGCCAATTATGAAGACTGTGGGTCAAAGGAATCTCAAGTTATTGGGCGGACAAGCTTTTTTAAGTCAAGGCCCCTGTGACCTTGAACTTTGACCCAGTGACCTCAAAATCGTTAGGGGTCATCTACTAATCATGACTAACCTCCATGCCAAATATGAAGACTGTGGGTCAAAGAAATCCCAAGTTATTGGGCAGATAAGCTTTATTTAGTCAAGGCCCCTGTGACCTTTGACCCAATGACCTCAAAATCAATAGGGGTCATCTACTAATCATGACTAACCTCCATGCCAAATATGAAGACTGTGGGTCAAAGGAATCTCAAGTTATTGGGCGGACAAGTTTTTTTAGTCAAGGCCCCTGTGACCTTGACCTTTGACCCAGTGACCTCAAAATCAATAAGGGTCATCTACTTACCATGACTAACCTCCATGCCAAATATGAAGACTGTGGGTCAAAGGAATCTTAAGTTATTGGGCGGACAAGGAAAAACCGACGGACGGCTGGACGGGGAGACGGACGGACGTCCGGACAAGCTGATTCCAGTATACCCCCCTTACAACTTCGTTGTGCGGGGATATAAAAACCTGAGACAGAATGTTGAATCATTTTTCTGGTGCATGAAAATGGGAATCAACACAAAATCAAAGGAAGACTGATAAAGAAAGTAAGAAGAAAATAAGTGACAGTTTCAGATGACCACACATTACAGCCCTAAAGACTGAAAAGTAAAAGAAAGCTGATCTAGCAAAAGAAAAGAGAGAAAGTATCTGATTAGGAAAGAGAGAGAACAGTAAGATACTATATGTGACTAAACACCTGTAAAGTGGACAAAAAAAATTATGTCAGAAATCTGTAAAGTAAACTTTCAAAGTTGATAAGTCACTGTACAGTAGTATTCTTTACAGTGAACAGAAATATAATTAAAAATACTGCTCTACAGTAGAGTTTCCCGGACTGTTCAGAAAAAATGGACTGATATACTGAAAAATGAATTGAGTCAGGATTAAAAAACAAAATAAAGCTGTACAGCATGACAAGTTAAAAGAAATAAAAACTGACACTGTACAGTACAACTTGGTAGAGTTTACAGAAATAAAAACTGAAGATGACGCAAAAATAAAAGAAACTGAAAATCACAAAATGACACTTTTGAGAAAGTGGGTGGGATATATGCACGATGAATGGTGCAACATTTAAATGATAATACAGCACCTCCACTGTAGTTTGGGTCCTCCGTGGACGCCACATTTGAGACTTTCACCAATTTACGCTGAGTACCTTGTGATCGACTTCGTTTCAGTTCAGGGCCCGGCTGTTTAACACCACGGGCTCTATAAGTTGTAGGGCTCATGCAAATGCCGTTTATCTATAAACAAGTGAAAATCAGTACAAACCATACAAATAACTCTTCAATGAAACGAAATCAGGAGAACTTTAACTAAACCCTATTACATGGCCAAAATGATAAGGAAACCAAAAAGTCTGTATAACTCTGTAATCTTCTGAAAAATAACTGTTTAAAATGATAAAAACACACCAAATAAATTAATAACAACAACAAAAAGAAATATACTGCAAGTGCTAAAAGATCTGACTAGGCCAAAAAAAGTGATGCATCTGGGCTATACAAAACCATAGCAGTCCTAAAACCTTTGTTGAAAAAAACAAAATGAATAGAAATCATAACAACTGGACATAATTTATCTACTTAACATCTATTCAAATGGCACACAAAGAAATATTCATCACACCTTTTAAAATCATAAATACCAAAAACAAACACCTTAAATGCAAAAAAAAAAAAAAAAATATTATCAAAATTCTTTTTTCCCCAATCCAAGCCTACAAAATAATTTCACTTTCTTCATTTATTGTTCTTCAATTTAAACAATAAAAGAAGTGAATTGCCTGCGAACATAGGCAGTTTTAATACAGAATTTCATTTTTTTTTCAGTCCAAATTTTCTGTATGACTGGTAAGCCCTGCATGCACCATGTGACAAAAGTTAAACCACCCTAACAGAAAATCTGCAAATAAAAGAAATAAACTTTTATATCACCTAAGAGCAATTCTGAAACATGCATGTGTTCATAGTTTGCTCGAAGGGTACATAAAATTGGACACTCACATGTCTTGAGAATGGTATTTCTTTAACAAGAAACCTACACTTTTTAATGCTGGATTTTTTTTCTGGGGCAACATGAATTAAATACAAGTTAACAATAAATTAAATGACCCTATCAATAAAATTTTATTCAAAGCTTCAGTTGAAGGGAAATTCAAAACTAACTGTCAGAATTCCACCGTTTGTTAATAAAATCTGAGAATTCTTATATAAAAACCAAATACTTCTTATAAAAGTCAGAATCAATAAACATACAAATATTATATCAACTTTAATAATTTCATTCAAAATTGAAATGACTGCTAATTGGGTTACATGATCATTACATATACTTCTTAGGTTAACCATCCAAACATATTCCTAAACAATACCTTACTTCATTGATAACAATCACAGAGGGACAAATAATCCCAGAGGTAACTTTATAGAAAATTTCTTTATGGCATGTGAGTGTTTTGAAACTAAATGTAACAAGTCAATCTAAACTATATAGACAACATTACCACAGTGAGTTACGTGGGTGTTGATACATGTAAACACACTTATCGAACACACCCTGCTGCACTGGCATGCCTTACCCTGAAAATAGTACGATAAAATAAAACGTTTAATATCATGTCACTTGCATAAACCAATACCCTGAAAATAATTTAGTAGTATATCATAGTATTTCTCAAAACCAATACCCTGAAAATGTTAATATTTGGTCATATTAATGCCCTGGAAAATATTAATATTAGGTAATATTAATACCCTGAAAATGGTATGGTTAGAGTGAAATGTCAGTCTTGTTATATCGCTGGCAAATACCCTAAAAATATGATGGTGGAATAAAATGTTTAATATACAGTATCAAAACAAATATACTGTGAAATATTATGGAAGAAGAAATTAATCATTTCTCTTTCGGCAGTAGGTCAGTTACACATTATATCCCTGCAAAAGAAAGAAATGGACGAATCATGTCCTGTGTTAATCAATTTGTCAGGAATATCCTTAACAAATGAGAGAGAATATAATGTTTTTGCTATAAATTTGTACTTAACATCTCACCAATATTAAAGTATAAAATAATCTAAAATGAAAAAAATTATGAGAATGATGCATATACTTTTACCATTACAGATTTGTGGCATGAACAAAGTCAGGATGGTATTTATTTTTTTAATTAAACTTATAACAACCCCTGGTAAAACAGATCCATGCCCTTCATCCATCAAATATATATTTGTACATTTACACTAGGATGTACACATATCCACTCAAATATGAATAAACCTTAGACATACGCATGGCAAACAAAAGTATGAGAGAATGTAAAACAAAACATTATATAAAGCAAAAATCTAAAAAATTAAAGTTAATATTAATGGAGGTACAACTACACCTTGAATAACACCAACACAATATATTAATGATAACTTGGTAACACAATAACTAGATACATTCACTACAAAAATAAATAATGTACAAAACATACAAAAAGAATATAGAAGATTACAGATTATATACAAAAACTGATCTGTTAACCAATTTATTGCAAGCAATATAAGTAACATTATGCACAGCAAAGTCACTCAGTTTCAGGGTCGAAATTTTTTTGAAAGTCAACAGTTTCAAACCTTCTGTAGATTTACAAAATAAATCTTTTATCAAGTGATAATGAGGCCAAAAAACAGAATTTTCTTGACCTTGAAAATGAGTCACTAAAATCAGAGCATGCAGCACTAAACAGACAAAGAAAGCTAGGAAACAGGCAGCTCATAAACCTACCATGGGAACCGTTCACCAAATCTCTCACGGTCATTTTATTAAACAATGGTTTTGAGTTGCTATTATCCTCTGTTAAATCATTCACTAGTACAATTTGTTCTTCTCTCTTTTTAACTTTCTTCTCCAGTTCAGTTTCTTCATCCTCATCATGTCTAAGCACTAACTGTTTCATTTTTACACTCATCCTTCTAAAGAAACCATTTTTCTTTTCAATCATTGCATCATCTCCACCAGCAATACCATCATCATCGGTCAATATAGAGTCTTCATTCTCAGACCTACTTCCCTGACTTGCTGCATCCTCGTAACTATAACTCTCAGCTTCCGAAGGAATATCACTCTCATTTTCACTGGAATGTTTTCGGCGCCTTTCTCCATTTTTATCATGCTTTTTACCATGTCGGAACCTTTGCTTAAATTTCTTTATTGAGTATTTATGACCAAGATGATGTTTGGATTCAGTATCAGAGTCTATGATTTTCACTTGAGGAGATTCTGCTTTAAATTCAACAACATTTTTCTCTGCTTTGAGGATATCTTCATGAGATTTACACTTTTTCCTTTCAGAAATGTTGCTTGTCTCATTATCAGTTGCAGGCACTAATGGTAAAGAGGAAGTTCTTACAGTCATAGCTTTTTTGATAACAGGTGACAAAACCTCCATATTTTTGCCTTCTATGTGATTCTCAGATTCTACATCTTTTCGTAATACAAGAGGTGTAGGAGGAATGACGACAACACCTGGAGATAAGTCTGTTGGACTTGTCACGTTAGAGCTGTCAGAATAATACTGACTTGATAATGATAGATTATTGTAATCAAAACGGGTGCCAGAAGGTGGGGCAGTGTTAGGTCCACTGTCATGTTTTGCTTCATTTGTAATATGCAATTGTTTGCTTGTGCGCCTTTTTCGTGGAGGCGCTACCGGGCTTAAGACATCAGGAGAGGTGGGCTGAAAGCAGGAGAAGAAAACAAAACTAAAAATAAAATAAAATAAAACCACAATGAGTAACATGTCTGGACAAAAAGCAAAGAATATTTTTAACAACAAGCATTGATTGAATGGGACAATTTTGTTGAAATATAGAAAGAAAGAACTTTATCAAATGGGTTAATTAAACAAGAGGGCCATGATGGCCCTGAAATCGCTCACCTGTATATAGGCCCCTGGGGCAGGGCCAATTTTTACCCAGGGGCTTTTATTTGAACAAACTTTCTAGACACCCATTTGAAGATGTTTCATGATAAATATTTAAGTTCTAGCTCTAAGAAGACTTTTTAAGTTTTTACTATACACATTAAGGGAAAAAGAATGACCCCCCCCCCCCTCTTGGCGGGCCAATTTTGTCCCCAGGGCTTTTATTTGAACAAACTTGGTAGACACTCACTAGAAGATAATTCATGCTTAATATCTAAATTCTAGCTCTTTCAGCTTTTTAAAAGAAGATTTTTTAAGTTTTTACTATATACATATAAGGAAAATCAATGATCCCTAGGGGCGGGGCCAATTTTAACCCCAGGGCACTAGCCACCTATTAGAAGATGTTTCATGCTAAATATCTTAGCTCTAGCTCTAAAGGTTTTTTAAAAGAAGATTTTTTAAGTTTTTACTATATACATAAAGGGAAAAACAATGACCCCCTGGGGCAGGGCCAATTTTGACCCCAGGGCTTTTATTTGAACAAACTTGGTAGACACCCACTAGAAGATGTTTCATGCTTAATAGCTAAGCTCTAGCTATTTGGGTTTTTTAAAGAAGATTTTTTAAGTTTTTACTATATACAAATAAGGAAAATCAATGACCCCCCGGGGCGGGGCCAATTTTGACCCCAGGGCATTTATTTGAACAAACTGGGTAGACACTGACTAGATGATGTTTCATGCCAAATATTTAAGCTCTAGCTCTTACGGTTTTTTAAAAGAAGATATTTTAAGTTTTTTCTTTCGGTTGCCATGGCAACCAGAGTTCTGCTTGGAATTAAATTCTTTGAACAATTTTAAAGTTGATTACCAAAGGAACATTCCTGTGAAGTTTGGATGAAATTGGCTCAGCGGTTTATGAAGAGATGTTGTTTTAAAGAAAAAGTTAACATACGGACGGACGAAAAGTGATCACAAAAGCTCACCATGTCACTTTGTGACAGGTGAGCTAAAAAGTCATTTTTTATCCAAACAAGAGAAAAACTAAATATAAATAACAAATACAACAATGAAATACAACATTTTGACTAGGAATATTGACTATTTTAATATTAAGTTGTGTCAAGCCTCATTTGATATCATATGACAATAAGTCTTATAATAAATTTTATCCTGCTTAGTTAGGTTAAATTGAATTTAAAAATAAGTTTGTGATTTTTCTTTTTCTTCAAAATCAAACAAAATAGTTTTAAGCCTATTCATACTTATTCATACTTGTATCTTTTTTATTTTCTTGTTCTTTCATTACTTCTAGATTTTGTTATATTATCTTCATAGTTAATACTGATACTGATTTATGTCTAGGTCTTGTGACCTTTTTTTTTGTCAACTTCAAACCCTACTTTTAGGTGATATTTTATGATATTTATGCTCTTTTATTTCTAGGACTAAAGGTTAACTATAAACAATAAACAAAGCAAAGACATTTGCAATACAACATTGTGACAGAACATGCTTGGGTTGACATTTTCGAAATGAAAAAAAAAATAAAAATTGCTATATGTTTTAAACTCTTAATTAGCCTGCCAGCAGCAAAATTTTCTAGCCATGCAACCAGAGCAGATGAAAATCCCTGCTGTCTAATCATGGTCTGCACTGTTTGCTATTTAGTTACTACATATTTTGATTTTTCCCCCCTAAAAATGATAAATGGTTTGCTCCATATTGAAAGATAGTAAAGTCCATTTAAGATATATAGCAGATTATAAGTGTTCCTTGATCACAAACTTCACTAATATATGACTAATATTTTTCTAACCTACACAACTCTTTTTTGTATGTTGTACATATGACATTCTCACCCCAATTATGACACTGTCTTCCTAAACATGACATTTTTTCACCTAAATTTGACATTTTTAGAGCTTAAATTTGGCTCTTTCATTTGAATCATTAATATTGACTCTTTGGTGAAATATGATAGTTATAACCCTCATTCTTTCATTGAAATATGATATCAATTTAACTAAAATATGACATCATTCTCTTGCAGGGCTTTTTTCACAGGTTGGGGAAGCAGCCCAGCCCTTAATTTTGGGGGAAAATTACACAGTATATTTGCAAAAGGGGAAGAAAAAACTTGATGTAAATTCAATTTTTGGGATGATTTTAAAGAAATTTTCTTTGGGGAAGCAGTCCTATACCGGCCCCTGTTATAGAAGGTAAAAAGGCCCTGTCTAGGTTTTGATATCTTTCATTACCAAATTATGAAATATTCACCTAAACCTAAACATGAAAAAATTTTAAGCTTACTTCACCTTATAGTAATACTGGCTAAACCTAAATGTTAATGAGTCTATATTCACAATGATGTGATGATGATGATCATATGTGTTGTAACAAGGCTACAACTTTAAAATATATATTTATAAGAAAGAACTTTCCTTGAGCAAGAAATTTCATTATTTTGATAAGTATAATTAACTGCTATTTTTGATCCTCTTTCCAAAATCTATGGCATCTACTGGTACTTTTTGGTCATATTGTGATGTTCCAGCTTTACTGGTGGAGGAAGACCTCAGGTGCCCTTCCGTGCATTATTTCAGGCACGAACGGGCACCTGAGTAGAACCACCGACGTTCCGTAAGCTAGCTGACATAAATTAACCTAATGTCAAGATCTTTCACAAGTCAGATACTAAATTTTACACTGACTATACACTGACACACCATGTTCATTTAACATAACTGTGAACAGTACCAATGTATAACCAATATTCAAAATTCTATACCAAATTCATAAAAATATAACATTTCCTTCTAAATTCAACATATCAGTTTTAACAATGTTTTAGTCAATATTCATCAATAGTTTCTGAGTGTAACATTTTACAAATGTGAAATGAGATTTACATTTCTTGTTATATTTGTTGTTTTTGAAAAAACCCAACTTTCAGAACTTCAGTTGGATATAACTGTAACTGTAACAGTAATTTTGTTTTTGCACAAAAAATGAAAGAATTAACTGGTATTGACCAGAATTAAGCCAATATTTCTACTGAAAATTAGCATGGTTTACTGTGTAATATTTTAGCAACATTAAATTTTTTGTTCACTATATTTCCCCCCCCCAGAAACTCGAAACCATTGACAAATTCTGACTTTGCATGGTCAAACAACTTTCCAAAACAATTTTGTACAAAGGTAAAAATACATACTTGATCACTAGTTGGTGACCTTGCCCCTTCATCATTCAGTGCAGGGTTACTCCCATCTAGAGGCTGGGGCTGCATAGGCTTCTTGCCCCTCGGTGAGCGTGGAGCCCTCTGATAGGGGTCCATTGAACCTATAGGGGTCAATATGAAGATAACAGAAATATTTCACAGCACCAAATCCCTCTGTTCAAACACTGTACCAACAGTTGATATGGGTGTAAAGGTAAAATTAGTTTCAGGTATAATAAAGCAAGAACCGGAGGTATTTGTAATGGAAAAGATGGAAGCATGTAATTTACCGGGAATAAACTGACTGGAACTTAACTTACCGGAACTAAAGTTTTAATCCAACTGAGGAAAAACCGAGGCTATAATTATTGGCTTAACAGTAATAAATGTTCAGGATAACAGAAATTTCGGTAAAATGGGTATTCATATGTAAGGTAATTTAAGCAAGATTCTGAAATAGATCTCCTTTTATATCCAAATTTCAACATTTATGCATAACAAAGTTTATACTAATAATACAATTGTGTTTTCCTAATAATGGTTATCTGCTGGAAGTTTGTAACTTGATTTTTGTTTGTTGTGTTTAAAGTTAAACAGCTGGGGCAGACACTAAGCAACAAAAGCTTAGCAGTGCCTAAGCATTTTATACTCCAGTTAATGATATGATAAATATTTTACTGAATAAAACTCTTTCGCCCATATGACTTGCAATTTATTAAGAAAGCATATGCAAATATATCTTATTAACAAAGGCATCATCTCTTTTTTCAAGCATTTTATTGCATAGCTTTTGTAAGCTTATAATTTATTATCATATACAGTTTTAAAGAAGCTATGAAAAAATTTTTGGCACAATTTTCTCCTTTTTTTACTCAAGTTTTATTTCAGCTCACTCTTACTAACTTGTTTGTTTGAAAGTCAACTGTTCTATTTAAGTTCTAAATCATTTTACTCAGATTAAATTTGGTACACTGTTATATTACTAGACTAATTCAACATAGTTGAGACTAGTTCATCATAGTTAAATGTGTAGCTCTACTTTGTACTAATTTGACCCGTTCACCATATAAAAAGATGCTACTTTAGGTAATCATCGTCAATTTACAGTGACAATACTATCTAAAACTTGATTCACTATATACAGGATTGATGATCACATGACATATGTTAACGATACCATTGGGTCACCACTAACTGCTGTGCCAGAACTTTGTGACACAATGTTACCATATAAACATTTTAAAATAGTCACAGGTACAGCCATTAGCCATGACCTAATGTAAATGTAAAACAAATGTCACATGATCACCCACCCAGTTGAATTCCAACCCCACCCACTACAGTTGCTCTCATTTTTGTAATTGTCAGATTTCTGATAATTCCAGGAAGCGAATCAGAGTTCAGGAATAAAGTGTCAGTTTAATTTGTATACATGAAGTATCAATGCTTATAATTGGAAGTATACATGCACAGATGCAAGTACTAAGAGTGGTTTTGATTGGATAAAATTCTTTCATATCAGTCGTATATCAATGACATTCAATAAATTCCATTTTGTTTGTATGCAAGGAGAATATATAAAAGAATTTGATTGGTGGAGACTATTGCAGAATCTATTTATAGAAGCGGAAAGCTATATCTGTCGTACCATACAAGTCAGGTGTTCCAAGGTTGAGCAGACACGTTTTCTGAATGATATCTACTATTGCCAGGCCTGATTCATTTCCAAATGCTAACCTAAAACAAAGAATAAGAAAATTTTCAATTCCATACTTGTCAACTTTTCCCACCTATACAATCACACTGTAAGATAGATATTTAGTGCTGTATGTCAGATAATAAAGTTGATTTTTTTCAAACCTACATGAGAATATCACTATAGCTGTGTTTAGCACATGCTTAACAGTATTTGAATTACAGTACAACACGAGAGAGGCAGGGGACCTATGTAAATCACATAAACTACTTTTTCATGATCAGCCCATTATACTAGTTTGGTAAATGGTAGTTGAGGTATTTTTAAATGTATACAATTAATGATTATGTATAAAAAACCTTACTAAACTTGACTGTCATACTATAAGTTATAAAGCTCTAGTAACATAACTTGTGTCATGTTATATGACCAATACTTACAGACCATATGAAGAATTGATGGATATACTAGTTATATTGCCCGGGTGCTCACTGTCCATCCAGGTCAACAGGCACACAATATCTGGCTGGTACCCTGCCCCCCATTTCCGTGCCCCACTTCTCACCCGTAATGCTGTTATCTGCTCTGGCTGTAAAAATGACAAAGTATGATCATACTAAAATTATAAATCTTATCGCCATTTCCACACACCACCTCCTCCTTTTGGTTAACAATGAATTCTTATATGGATAGCATTTTCACCATTACATTTGCTATACTAAATTCATACAGCTCTTTACTTAAGGTATCACATTTTCTTCATTCTTTTTCCTCAAGGATTCACTTAGCATAAAGAGCCCTTCCACATTCAGCATAGCATTTTCTTAAATTCATTCCCTTTACTTAGGTAGTTTATGCAGCTCTTCACTGTATAGTTTATTTTGAACGCTGATTTTAACATATTTTTGGTCATATCTTGGCTTTCGGTATACGTTAAACTGGCTTTCCTGGAAAACTTACCAGTATTAACCAATTTCTCCACAAATAACCAACAACTAATCCTGAGCCAAGTAACTTTTCGACTCAATGTCCAAGATCAATTATCATTGAGAAATTCTGTTTCCTAGAGTACAAGCATTACCAACTTTACCTTTTTTCTTAAACTAATCAACAATGATTCTCGTAGGGCATTTGGAGCAGATTATTTTCATTGTTTTTTCAACACAATTATCTATCACATTATTTATCAATTTAGTAGATATCTTATAAAACTCAAATATTTATCCCATAAAATATGGACATAAGATTTGTATGGCCCTAGCTGTAGTATCATTTTATCATACTGTTAGGGGATAATTACACTCCCTCTCCTGAAAATACACATCTATATCAAACACTTAAAATCATGCATTATCCCCTTAACACAAAAAAGTCGTAGCACCCAGAATTTTCCCTCAAATGTACAAAGATTGTCTGCATTGTTAAAAAGTAGAAGCTTTCTAAACAATCCAAAAGAACCACAAAAAAACAACTGCTGACTGAGCTCCTTTAACCTTTCACAGCTTGCTGATCTAAAATTAAAGCTTCATATAATTTACGACATAGCCACTTTAATAAAAAATTGTAGTTTACTAATTGTTTTTCTTCCTATACTATGCTATAACACAATAACTACCTCTGTGCAAGAGAAAACTGATTACTATTTTTCAGGGAAACTTTTAGTAGAATTTCAATAATTGAAGATGAAGTTTCCTGGAGCTATAAAAGTTCATTTTGAAATCAGTCTGGGACTGTTAATAAATATTCACTACAATATCCAGTTAGAAAATAGATCCAGACTGAGACACTGATCTCTAAAAAATCTGAACAGACTTTCTTGTTAAAAGAGTGAGTACACAAAACCAGTCTACAATTCAGTTATAATGTACCAAGGTTTTTGATTTGGCGGATCCTTTTTCTTTGGTTTGAAATTGATCAATGGCAAGACTTATCTTTGACCTCAGTTCCTTTATGACTTTGGTCAATAGGCAAAGAATATAGTATTTCTTGTTTGGGGACCTTAATGTGGCCTGATATATGATCCTTCACTCTTAATACTAATAAGGTATTGATTTGACAATAGAGTCATGAAATGTTTGACCATTTCTAGACATTATAGATTAACCTCTGCCCTGCCAAATTTCTAAAATGGACTAGTCCTGCTTCCATTCATGGACCTATCCATTATGAATTTTAGGGATATCAAGATGAAATATTTGAAGTAAGTCAGCCAACAGTACTGAGCTTAGTCAGACTGCAGAAATGCAGAAGATCATTTGATTCCAGCATGGGGCAATGGTGAATTTCAGATCCTTTTTTTTTGCAATTTCAACACTTCACATTCTTGATCAGTAATTTGAAAAATATTAAGCATAATGCAGGAACCCATGGTAGATTTGAACATCATTGCTTCATCTAAAGTTCTGCAATAAATAATATAGTTTTCCTATAACAACCTTTCAATCTAATTTTCAGAAAAAAAGCAGAAAGGAGCAAATCAAAATATAATGGTTAATGACCAATGTTGCCTCCACTCCCTTCAAGAAACTTGTCTTTTCCTTTCAATATATCTAAAGTCAGAACGACTTTCATGCATGCACTTTTAATCTGGGCATTAATGTTACAGTAATAATTGTAATGAAATATATCAGTAAAAAAATTTAATAACATAAAATTTACAAAAGCTAGTGACAATGAAAACATTAATTACATGAAAATGTCAATATACGAGGGTTGTCCCAAAAGTCCGTGACAAATTTTATAGACGGTTCATTTTTAACGCCAATATATAATAATTCACGCATATAACCATTAAGTTTATTATTTAACATTACAACAAATCATTTGCAAAAAAATTACTCTAGTTACTTAGAAATTGTCAGTATTAACGACATTGGTTAGAGTTGCTGGCGCACGTCAAATAATTTGCATTTTGTTATAAATAGGCTAAGATTAATTACGTATATTTAAAATATCTGATAATATGTCTGCATAATGTCACATTGATTTCCTCTGCTGCTATGTTTACATCATCTCAGAAAATTTTAGTTAAATAACTTAACAAACAAAAAAGATACGAATAAATGAAAATACCTCATATAAAATAGGAAAGTTAAAATGGCGACGTTAGAAGTATTTGCGGCGCAGTGAACTGGTCACTCAGGTTTTGTGACTATTTGGAGATGACTCATGTTACGATTTTCACAAATATACCAAATAGAACAGTTTAGCAACATATCCTGAGCATTTGTTTACCAAATGCATAAACGGAACCAGAGGTTTGCGCTACAAAAAGCGGAAGAAAAGGAAAACACGAATAGGAAGACCGATCTCCGTCGCCTATTTCCTACAGCTAAAAGCAGGTGCAACGAGACCGAAATTTCACGTATAGCAAAATTAATGTGGCCATCCAAACATTCGACAGACAATACCAACCACATGACTTAAGTCTGTAAATGACGATTTTTGGGTAAAGCTGCACCATTTTGCGTTAAAGGCCATTATGAGTATTAGAGAAAGGCGCCTTAAATAGATTTAACGCTGACGTGCGCCGCGATTCAGATAGTTGCCATGGTATTTACGGCATATTTTTGTTGTTTGTTAATATTTTTCTATGTAAAGTTGTGAAAATGTTTCAATTATATGGGTTTATAACATATTAAAATATCAAATTCGTACCTATTTTATTCAGCCTTTCAACACTCTTGTCACAGAATATTGGGACAACCCACGTACTGCTATTTTGCGCCTAATGCATTTATATTATAAAGTTATTTCTATTATACTCATAAAAGTCATACCTGTGCAAAAACATTTAACATGACATGTCACTTTAGTGCAGTAATGGTTTTACAACTATTAAATTTAAACCCATTACTGCACTGAAAGGTGACAAAATTATTGTTTTAATGATTATCAAAAAAAAAAAAGCCTCAAGGAGCACTAAAAAAATTGGCTAACTATTCTCAAAAGTTTTATCTTGGCAATTGTTGACAGTGGCAGAAAATACAAAATTTCTTTAAACATACAAATTATAGAATGTAATACTATAGTTTATACAGTAATAATATAGAACTCCTTAATTGATAGATCCCATACTAACAGCCTTGTGGTTCCCATATAGGGCCAGACTAGCCAACAATTCTTTGCAGTTTAACCTGACCCCTTCACAGCTCAATCTTAACACTTTGATATTGGAACCCCTTCATATAATAATGGACCATTACAAATTCAAAGCACTGGACAAGTCCATTGTACAAATTCAGCAAAGCAAGGGTTATTCACGAAGGGGAACACATTTTTATAAGAGATGAAACTTTGAAAAAGGTTATGCTTTAAAAAGCACTCTTGCAAAGGTCATATTTGTTTTCTGAGGAGGAAATAAAATATTAAGGTATTATTCAGTTCTAAAGAAAAACAAGAGCTGTCACAGGAGACAGCGAAGCTCGACTAATAAAATACTGGACGCAGTAAGGAGGACAAAACTATGAAAGAAAAATCAATTATGTATAATTATGTATTAAGTTATAGTAAAAAAATAACATTTGTTAACATTAATTCCAAGATCAAGGGGAATAATTCTAGAAATAGTCATGCTAGAGTTATGGACCTTGTCACACAACATTTGTGTAATGATAAGAAATATATATTTGAAGTTTGAAGTAGATACCTTAAAAAAGTAAAGAAGTTATTATATTTCTTAAAGAAAATCCTAAGTTCAAAGAGAGATAAATCTGTAAATATTGCTTCAAGAGTTATGAACATTGTCACATAAAATGTATTTGATGATTAGGAATAAGTATTTGAAGTTTGAGGTAGATACCTTTAAAAATAAAAAAGTTATAATAAAAAATAACATTTTTCTAGTAAAAAAATCTAAGTTTATGGGGAGATAATTCTTGCAATATTGGTGCTAGAGTTATGAACCTTGTCACATAAGATGTGGATGATGATAACGTAAATATATTTGAAGTATGAAGTTGATCCCTTTAGAAATAAATAAGTAACAGTAAAAAAATAATATTTTTTATGGAATATTCTAAGTTCAAAGGGAGATAAATCTGAAAATATTGGTGCTAGAGTTATGAACCTTGCCACATAAGATGGGGAGGATGATAACGTAAATATATTTGAAGTATGAGGATGATCCCTTAAGAAATAAAGAAGAAACAGTAAGAAATAGCATTTTTTTAGGAAAATTCTAAGTTCAAGGGGAGATAAATCTGAAAATATTGGTGCTAGAGTTATGAACCTTGTCACATAAGATGGGGATGATGATAAGGTACATACATTTGAAGTATGAGGTTGATCCCTTAAGAAATAAAGAAGTAACAGTAAAAAATAGTATTTTTTAAGGAAAATTCTAAGTTCAAGGGGAGATAAATCTGAAAATATTGGTGCTAGAGTTATGAACCTTGTCACATAAGATGTGGTTGATGATAAGGAACATATATTTGAAGTTTGAAGTTGATACCTTAAGAAATGACAAAGTTATAGTGAAAAATATTTTACTGCACCAAAACTTTAATCTAAAATCTGGACGCGGACGCCGACGCCGGGGCGAGTAGGACAGCTCTCCATATACTTCGTATAGTCGAGCTAACAACAACA